ATCACCTGAAAAAAACTTATTTCTTAAAATATCCTCGGTTAATGAACAAATTAAAAATAAAGCTCTTCTTTGAATCAAACAAAGATAGATAAGAAAAAGTCTAAAGGAAAGTTCAATTCATCGAGAAATGCGATAAACCTCGAGGTCGGCGCACTTCTTCTTCCAGTCGACCGGCACAGCTTTCGGAGCGACCGGCGCCTTCACCAAAGAGCTTCTCATGGAAGCTGGTCCCCGAATTGTTCTCGTAGCTTCGGCGACGACAGGCCGCACTGGCGTCGAAGATCTTCCTGTGGTTCTCAGGGGGACAGACACCGAGGCAAGTCCCGGAGGGGCCTCTTTCTGCACCGATGTCCTCGGCGCGGCTGGTCTCGTCACTGAGGTTTTTGGACTCATTGCGTTTCCAACACCTTTTGTTACTTGAAACTAGTTATTATCAACGAAAAATTTTGTAGTGAATTGTCCCTTCTTTTAGTAAAAAAAAATCCGAGCATAAAGGGCTTCTTTTGTGCGTTCCTGCTTCAAGACCTGTGATTTATAGGTTAACGGTGCCTTGACCTCAAAAAAAAATTATCTTCTTTCGAAAAAGAATTCAACAGTTTTTAAAAGCGCAGAACTGTTGCAAAAGCAAAAAAATTGTTCTATTTCAACCAAATTTAGAAAAAAAAGATCAGTTCACTTGTTCTGACAGCTGATTGAGGTAAGACACGTTGGATGCTCCGCCTTTTGATTTTAGTCGTGGAGAGCTGGCCAACTGAAAAAGGACCAAAAATTTGAAACAAAATTTTTCGAACGAACCTCTCGGTACGTTCACTGTTCGTACTCGTAGCGGAGTCGGTAGATCTGAGCGCTTCATACCTACAAAAAAAGTCTGAAGATTATTGCTAAAAGAAGACGTTCTACGATTGGAAAACCACCGACTAAAGCGCTTTAGCATATACATAATAAAAAAGAGAAGAAAAAAGTTGAGTCATGTTGAAAGTAATTTCCGCAATATTCGAAATTATCTCTCACTCTCCGAAATTGAGCTATCTTTTTCGTTGTCTGACGATTATTTAGGAATTAGCGGAATCACTGGGAACACACGTGTTGATATACGTGTAGTATAAATACTGAACACGACAATGAAAAAAAAATCCCCGCGTTTGCTGATCGACTGTAGGTTTGATCTGCGCCCCAAAGAACCCTTTGGACTCCCCTTCGGAGGATCCATGGGTTTTTCGTTGAGTTTTTTTAAATCTAGGCGGAATTGGAATTCCGGGAGAGGGCGTAAAAATAAGCCCTTTAAAGATTTATATATCACAATATATGAATTTATATTGTAACTTTTGCGCGGGAAATCAAAACCTTGAAATTTGGAATTATTCGAATGTTTTCTACGACAGTTTCAAACTCGCGCATAAAAATCACCGTAAAAATTGATATATTTCGATATCCCGTTGTAGGACCCGTTTTTTTCTGAAGGCTCCTGAAATTCCAATTCTGCTTATTTCCCGAAATAATTTTGAACAAATAACGCGACAATTCTCAAATCGGGTACACATGTTCTTCTCTTCTTCGATTTCTCTTCTTAAAACCTTGTTTACCAGTTTCCCGATTTCAGCGGAACCTCTTTCGGAAAAATTTCTTCAAAGGAGAACCTTTCTTTTCGAATGAGTATTGATTTCGCCGCCCATCAGCGATTAGCGCCACCCGACCTGTCAATACATATAGCTGTCCGTTTACTCAGCTGTTTGTCTTTCTTTTTTTTTTCCTAGAGCCCGAATATATCACGCATTCCTTTATCCAGTTTGTCTTTCTGAAGTTTCAGTTTGTGAAATTGATAGGAAAATGTTTTGTAATCGTTTTCAATGATTTCAATATATTTAATTTATGCTTTCGAGATCTCTGTGAAAGTTTCGAAGTTTTTTTAAAAAGTTAGGTAGCAGAAACTTATTCACATTATGTCTAATCTGTTCACAAATTCATAGTGTGATTGAATTTCACAAATCTATGATGTAGTTTGAGGCGTAGAATCACCGCATGAAAAAAATGGTACTCAAATGGCTCCTCGCCGCGAAGCTTAATGACATTTGTCAATTCTTTTCAAAAATAATTCTTTGTAGAAAGGAATTCCGAACAGACTTAAGTAAAGAAGAATCTCTTTTATTCCATGAAGTAGTTACAGTTTGATCAATTTCTTCACAGTGATATCGATAAAAGAAGTTTTTGCCCTTTTTATTCTTAATTTATTTCAAAAAATTGAGGAAATAGCTAAAAGCTCGTCTGTTTCATTGATTCGGACTTTTGACTTTGACCTACAAGGACAAAAAAAAAGTTGGTGTTTGGTTACAGTGTTGTTGTTCGCGTCATTTCGACCGTTGGGAGGGGCGCGCGAATCGATAAATACGTCGAGCCAGTCGTAAACATGCGCTCGTTCATTCTCTGCTTTTTCGCTTTTGTTATCGGTACAAGTTTCTCTGCAATGGTTGGCGGCTGGACTAATCAGAATGCCGATGACTCCGAGTACATGGTTAGTGCATTCAGTTCCTACCTAAGGGATTGAGAACTACGAAAATTCTAAATGAATCCTTTAAAAAAATTTTTTTGAGAAAAAAAGCTGCAGAATAGGATTTCCGATTCGAGGTTCACAAAGCCTGTTCAAATATATTTTTTTAGCTCAATGCTTACTTTCAGAGAAAGTTTATACCATTTTCAAAGTAATTTTGCAAAAATCTTAATTATCTCTGACTGTCCAAAAGTTTTTTTTTCACTCCATTACGTTTATTCTAAATTTTGCAAATATAACTTGAACACGACTTTACAGTTGATTCTTTAGAAATTTTATTATTAGAAAAAAAGAGTTTGGAATTCAAAAAAATTTTTGAAAAAAAGTTTGATGTTGCTTTTATTTTTTTCATTGTCAAATTTTTATTTGCCAGTCCGTGAACTTTTACAACGAGTACAATGAATTACAAATTAAATAGGAATTAGTTTTTTTCCTTTTATTTTTTTCAATTAAAAATTACTATTCTAAAATGAGTATTTTTTTCCAGGATCGTGCCTGGAAGGCCGTGTCGAGCATCAACGACAACGCCTCCAACAATGGTCCTTACCACTTCATTCCCATTAAGGTATAATCATTGTTTGTTATATTTGAAGAGGAAAAAAAGTATATACTCTTAAAAAAATGTAAAATTATATAAAAAAAGTATGTATACTATAAAAAAATATACATATACTCTTAGCTTTATAGAATTTTATCAAAAAAGGAAAATCCTTTTGTTCAACTTGTAATCTTTCAAGTGAAAAATTACGAGGAAAAGTGTTCCATTTTGCCGAAAATTGAGTTTTTTATTGAAAATCTCGCTTCTCGAAAAAACGTCCGAGTTCTCACCAAAAAGCTAAACAAATGTTGAGATTTAAAGCGTTTATACGAATTTTCTGCTTTTCTAAACTGTCAAAAGAGCCCATATCAATTTCAAAACAAAAAATAGGTTTCCATGACGAGCTTTTGTTTACATGAAAAGCGATCACAAAAACAGAATTTTTGCTTCATAAACACTAAAAGCTGTTATCGCGATTGAATTTCTCGCACGATTCGATGAAGCATGAGAAATCAGAAAATGATAAACAGTATTTGGAGAAAATATCTCAACAAAAGCATTCCCTTCTATTTTTTCGGATAAACACATCTTAATAAAAACATTTAGAAATAATTTCTGAGAATATTAGTGACATATTCCAAAATATTTTCGAAAGTATTGAATTTTAGGACAGTTGAAACTTTTTGATCATTCTTCGTCTTCATAAGAACACCGAAATACTTTATAGTTAGGTTTTTTTTAACGAATTTGATATTTTTCCAGCAGACTGATAGTTGAAATTTTCTTGCTCAAAATTTTCGAAACTAAATATTTATAATTATAACGCAAAAATACAATCAAAGTCCATTTCATTTGTGAGCTGGGGTTGTGGGCGCCACTGTAGTCGAAGCCACGTCGCCGTTGTTGAGAACGACGATCGCAGCGGAGCCTCCGAGAAGGGCCGCCCAAATCGCCCAAAAAAGGGCCAGTAGAACGTATCTTCAAAAAAAAATGATAATAGTTCGAAAAGAAGACAAAGATTCCTAGCAAGATGAGATCGTAATAAAATTCAAGAGTCGAAAAATTTATATATTTTTTCAACTCACTTCTTCGATTTTTTAATGACTAAAGAATTTCTGAAAATTCGATCTTTGGCTGTGTTTTTGAACACTAACGCAATGTAAACCTTCTTTACCGCTCTTTTAAGACTAGAACCCGTTTTTCTCCACTACAACAGTGTAAATTGGACTGTTGGGTATTGTTCTTCAGTTGTCCGATGTTTCTTTGAGAACCAACTTTTTCGATACAGAGAATAAAGAAAAAAGAACCTGGTGATTTTCCACTTGGTTTCTTCTCGTTTCTTCACTAGCTCCTCATAAGAGTAGCCGATGATTGGCTCTTTATGCGATGACTCTTGCTAAATAATATTATTTCAAGTGTTCAAATTATGTTCCTTTGAAAAGAAAGTTTTGTAACGGATTAAAGTTCGTAATCTATTATTAATTTTATCATTGAAAAGGGTGGTTTTTGACGTCTTAAAGAAGAAGTTTTCTCTTTGAATTTTGTAATTTACGTAAAATGTGCACAACAACTTTGAAGTTGTAGATTCATATACCTGCGTAAAATTCCAGAAATTAATTTTGAAAGTTCCCATTAAGACACAGAATCAGACTTAAACTAGACATCAAAAACGTATTTGAGCCAGTTTTCAGAAAAAGTTTTTACTGGAAAGTAGTGGCCTTTCTTTTTGGAAGCACCATAACTCGATCAGAAGCGACACAAAGAAATATTTTAATGTACTGAGATAGTTATTCTTTAGAAATCATCAGGGAAATTTCATCTTTCCGAAACTTTTTCCTTCGTAATATCCTTGTAAACCTTGACAGAAACTGTTGAAAAGCCGCTGATAGTATTATTCCTGGTCGATGGCGAATCCATTTCTGCTAAAATCGAATAACTTTCGGAATGCGTTTTGAAAATGAGCGGAAATTGATGTGTGCAACGTTTTTGGTGGTCGAAAAGAAATAAAAGAAGAAAAGAACGAGAGATAAAATGTTGAAGAGAAACGAGCCCCAAATGATAAGACGTTGAGCAAATTTCGTTTTTCGGGAAATTAATCACCATTTATTTTCAAAGATTCAATTTAAAATTTTGACAAAACGTTGAGAAAGGAAATTGAATTTGAAAGAAAAGCGATTGTTTTTTTCCAAAGTTGACCTCTTCAGATAACTTTTTTTAGACGTATAGATTTTTTTGTTTCAAGAACCTTCTAATTATTGTGAATCATAACGCAAAACATTTTTTTGATTCAAAATAGAAGCATTCAAAAAAACGAAAAAAAGTCATGAATACCGTGCTTTTTTTCATCTTTTTTTCTTTTTGGGTAAACAGAAACTTGGAATCAATATTTTTTTGTGATTTTTTTCTCTTCTTTTCATAACAAACAATGGAAGGAGCACGTGAAAGTTGAGAATAAAAGAAAACAAGATAATGAATATTTTTTCTCGGAATTTCATGAGAAGAAATCATACAGAAAATAAGCGATAATATAAGTTAGAATAAAATTATGAATTTGAATTCTTGCAGGTAATCAGCGCCAAGACCCAAGTCGTCGCCGGAGTTCAGCACAAGTTCGAAGTTGTTGTTGGCCAGTCGACTTGCAAGAAGGGCGTGAGTTTTTTTTTTCTTTTCATTTTTCAAAGGAAAACTATCAATAATTGGAAGGTAGTCAAATTTTGTTCATTAAGCTTTTTTTCCCATTAAAAAAATATTTTGCAATCTTTTTTTCAAAAAAATTCCTTTCATTCGTATCAAAGAAAGCATTAAATAGTTCAAAAATTGTTCTTTCAGACTTCAATATGAGGATTTTTTTCCTATAAAATATCCATTTCTGAAAAATGTAGGAAAAAGTATTCTAAAAAGGAATGTTATTTTTCAGGACACTGACCCCAAGACGATCAAGGCTTCCAACTGCCAGCTCAAGGATGACGGAAGTCGCGCTGTTAGTTTTTATTTTTATGTTTCAAGATAGAGGGCTTCAAAAGAACGTATTTTTCCGATTAAGCTGAAAATTTCCCCAAAAAATGAGATAAAATATTTCATGATTGCAGATCTACGAAGTGACCCTCTGGGAGAAGCCGTGGGAGAACTTCGAGGAGTACAACGTCCAAAAAGTTCGCGACGTCGAATCCAACGAGCAATTCTGAATCTCCACAATCAATACTCCGTTTTTTTGTACACCTGTGGTCAAAATCCCTCTTTCCCGCATTTATATATATTTTTTTAATGTATCATTTTTTTCAAACATTCCCGGGGACTGTAAATTCATTTTTGTAAAGTAAATATTACATCTCTCCAAATTTTGAAAAAAATGACGGAAAAATCGTTCTTATAATTATAAACATGTAAGTTTGGGTTGTAGAGAAAACGAAAAGAAAATATTCGAGGTAGAGATCTGACGAGATTGACATTTTTGTTCAAATAACCAGCATTGGGGGATAAAAATGATAGTTGAGCGAAGAAAAACCAAAAAGAAAACGAGCGAGTAAAAGGGTTTTGATGATTATTATGAACGGAGATATATATTATTTTTCATTTTGAGATTTCATTTGTGACGCGATTCGTTGAATCGAAGACGGACCAGGTAACGCATTTTGATCTGGTTCGTGTTGTAGACGATATATCTGAAAAAATGTGAAAAACTTACTTTGTAGGGAACAAAAAAGATAGAAAACTGAAACTTTCTGACTAGTGAGAGCACTGGCGCGTAAACTTGCGAATTTTTTCTTGAAAATAAATTTCTTTCAATCTTTCCTGGACAGTCGGAAAGCCAATGCTCCGAGTTGATCAATTCTTTTTTTTTTGATATTTCAATAACCTTCTCTTAAAAATAGACAAGAAAGGTAAAAAAATCGAAAAAAATTCTCTCGTTCGTAAAAAAAAGTTGGAATGAAAACCCACTCATTGTACAGAAGGGCAGAGTTCAGGGCAGTGTCGATTTTGGCCTTTCCGAGAGGAATCACGTAGCCGTCGGGGTGCGCGTGATCGTCCAGCCGGTTGGGACTTTCGCGTCCAACTCCTGAATTCTCTGTTACAATACAAGTTCTCTAAAAATCTGAACACAAAAAGGCGTTTCACACATGCTTTGTTCTCGCTATTTTTGAAAAAAAAACTACATGAGTTTTGACTTGGGAACTCAGATATTAAAAAAATACAGGAAAATTTTTCAAAATTTACTGCATTTCATGCCTTTTTTTAAGCCTTATTTTCGATGCTGACGGTTTCATTTCAGCTTTTTTTTCGTTTGGTAGCTTTTTTAGATTTGATTTTCAGTTCACATTGGACCATATTTGGGGTAAAGATACAAGTTTCTTACCAATAGTGCAATGAAGAAAAATCACAGAAGTAAAAAAGCTACCGTATCCACTGCTTTTTTTCGCACTTTTTCATCACACAACTGCAAAAAAAAAAAACAGCAAGAAAAAGGCCTTGCAACGAAACTTGATCAAATTTGGTATATGGTATAAAAAAATTTTTAGTTTCAACAGAAAAACTTGATTAATAAAATAAAAAAATCTCATAGATTCATCCTCAACCTTTGAGAAAAAAATTTGCATAGGTGTCCTGGAATTTCCCTAGATGGTTTTCCTCTCATTCACTGGATGATTTTTTTTCATTTTTCATTTGTCTTTTGTTCTCGATTACTCTCAAAATACCTTTAACGGAGCCGAATCCCTTGATGGAGTTGGCGCTGTGGCCGACGGAATGGAGTTCTTCCTTGCAGGTTCCCAGAGCGACCTCGCACAGGAGCATGTAGCCCTCCTCGCCAGGATTCGTCTGCCAATTTCATTTGTCTTTCAAAAACAGAAGATCTCACTCTGCAGTAAAACGAGCTTTTCGTGAACATGTCGGCGAAGTAGACGCCCTTTCCGAACATGTAGCCGGTCTGAAATCGATTTTTTCTTTCTTTCTGGATGCAAATTTTCGATAATCCTGTGATTTAATCGAATAATTTCTATCCAAATCCGTTTCAGATTACATTTAATCGCGATAGAACTTACTATCTAAATATTAAAATATCGGAATTTTCAAATGTTTCCGTTATTCCTTCCGTATCACCTTAAGTCATACTCTTCTTTTTTGTTTTCTCTATTTCCCTTATCAAAAATTAAATTCTTCTCTTTAGCCCAAAAACCATACAACGGGAGCTTCTGGCGGCGCGATCCTGAGTCCCTGGCTGAGGATTCCGACGTAATTCATCTTGAGGGATCCGTGCCAGAGTAACATTCGGTTGCCCAGTTGCCACTGGAACTTTTCCTCTTCTCCATGTCGCTTCAGCTTCAAAATCTGAAGGAAAAACGGGATAATTGTTCAAGCATCGATTTTGGAAGAATTAGAATACTTTCCTTAGAAATTGAGGTCGAAAAAAAAATTGCGAACATTTTTCTGAGATTTCAACGGGAAATGTTCATTTTTTGTTGAAGGGTAACCATTAAAATATGGAATTTTTGATTTCGGAAAAATATTTTTCCAATGGATTCGTGTGTAATAGACGCGCAACAATTCTTCCTAAACAGTTAACATTTTAATTTTTGGAGCATTTTTCATAATAATAAGGAACATAATAAAGTTTTTTTGATATATTCAAAATTCTGGAATGGACAAAAAAATGTCGATTTTTTTCTTCTTTTTCAAATTAAAACTTACGTATTTTTCTTCTAGAATTTGAGCAAAATCAACAAATTTTTCCAGTCGAAACTCCAATAAATCATGACTAACATCGAGGAGCTCGTACTTGACGACGTGAGTCGACCCGACGCTGTTCTTCAGGTATTTCTTCAGAACCGCAAACTCGGCCGTGTCATGGGGCAGAGGCTGAAAATTCCTTTATCATCCAGAAAGGTTCACTTCAACTGAGAACCTCCATGTCACACCTGAGCTCTTTGTAATGAGCATCAACTGGGTCCAAAGTCGCCGGAATCTTCTTTTTGTCGTTTTTAACCGTCTCGTAGGCGTATTGAATCTCCAGCAGGGCATCCAACATTTCTGTTTTTTGCTGAACAGTCTCATTCGTTTAAAGATAGACCAAGATGATTGATCCCTCAATTTTCACCTCAAAGAGTCTAGAAATCTAACGAAGATGCGCTTATGAATCAAGGGCCATTTTTATCAAATTTTTTTTTTCAATCACTTAAGGCGTTCCTCAAAAACTCCTTGGAGAAGGCACTAAATTGGCGACTAAAACCACCTCTATAGAAACCATTTTGCGTCTTTTAGTGGTCATTAGAGTAGATTTTAGTCCTCTAAAAGCACCACCTAAACTCCGAAAAAACCATTAAAATTTAGTTACTTAACTGGCCACTTATTTGACTAGAGGCCACTAAAATGTCAAAACCCCAAAGTGACCATTAAACAATTTCCCAGTAAGTCTGTTCACAGATTCATCGACAGAAAGGCCAAAATATCAGTTCCTGCATCCGAACCTTGAGAATCCCGACATTATCTAGCAAAATCGGCTCGCGCATGCCGAAATTGTGAGGAATGTAGGTGTAGAACTTGTTGGTGATGTCGATGATTTTCTCGCGGCTCGGCTTTTCGGCCAGAAGGGCGTTTTGGAGCTCGGAGAGGACATTGAACGCCTTCATGATCTGCTCTTTGGAGAGCTTTCCGAGGGGCATCTTCTCCAGGTCCAGCTGCAAAATTTACGGCTTTTATTGATAATTTTCTATCATTTCTTCAAATCTTTTTTTTCTTTCAATTTATAGTCTGAATTGATCTTCTCAATTTTTCAAGAACTTTTTTTTGAAATTGAGCTCAAAATGAGAAGAATTCAAAATTGCAACCTCAAAGCTCTGCATAGCGGCCTTCATGTTCCGGACGTCGAAAATGGCCATTAAAACGGTCTTGACGCCTGATGGAAGCGTCGTTTTCGAGCCCGGCGCGACAACTTCAACATCTTCTTCCTGTATTCATTTTTTGATGATTTCCAGAGATATTCTAGTATTGAGGCTGATAGAAATGTAATAAGAACCCTTTTTTCCTCTAAAGAAGGTCTAAACGCCCTGGAAGTTTCTGAAAACTATCAGAGTTCTTGTTGAAGTTATAGAAAAAGGTTCTGGAAGCTATGATTCTAGAATTTTTTTTGGTTTTTGTTACTTTTAGACGTCTGTTTTTTAAAAATCATAAAGGTTGAGACATACATAATCTTCATTGGTAATTAAAAAAATAGTTCAGACCTAAATGAAAAATTTCAGGTATATCATGATCGTACTTACTTGTCAATATTGAACCAAACTTAATTTTTTCAACTTTCGACTGATTCCAAAATTTGCACATCTTCTAGAAAAAACCCACAAACTCCTTGTAGTCGTTCTCGACAAAGTTCATCTTTCCGGCGAACTTGCGGAAATATTTCCGATTCTGCCATTGATTGCCCGTTTTCTCGTGGAAATGACTGAATAAGAACATATAGACTTTAAATCGACTAGGAGTTCTCACAAATGGAACTTTTGGATGGCACTGGCCTCGTTGCTAAATTGGTCCTCGCAGGTGCCGCCGACGGCCGTTCCGACGCGACCCCAAGACCGGAAGAGGACGTATCTGGAAGGATTTCGTCGAGATGGAAAAACTCATGTCTCCGACTTATAATCATATGAGTCGTGCTTCAGAAGTTGCAGCTTGTAGTAGGAATTTCGGTTGTCTGCGGCGTCAGTCATGCTCATCGCGGCTGAGTAAATACCTAGAAGAATAAATTCGATCAAAACTCTTCTTCAGACCTTTCATTCTTACTGTCAAAAATTTAGTTCCAAACACTTTTTTGAACTAATAATCACGGGCAAAGTCCAAAAGGTCTCAAAAAGGACTTTCGGAAAAAATGTCTCAAAGGTGCCTTTTTTCTGGATCTTTTTTTCCGAAAAGGCCTTTTGAGGAGATAAAAAAAGAAGGAGGCGGGAAAAAGGAGATTCCGAGAAACTTTTGACACCTTTTTGGAACTCAAAAAGGAGCTTCAGGATCTTCTTTTTAAGACCTTTTTGAGGTCGTTTGGACTTTGCCTGTGACTATACTTTTTTCAAAGAGTTTCCCGAAACTAAAAAAAATATCATTTGGTCAGAACTCTCTTTGATTTGTCGGTCCGGTCTCAAACTAAACGAATTCCTAATTTGAGAATATGAAAAAAAAAAAACACCCTTCAATCTCACCCGTTTCATCCCGAAACACGTGGTAGGACGTCGGATCGGAGAATTCCGAATCGACGACGGTTCCTTTTTTGACGACCTGCGTCGCCATCCCTAAAAATCCTCTCATTACAACTATTCATCCTAATTATTCAGACCAAGTTGGACAGTTTTATAGTCGCCTTCGAAGATTTCAAAGGCGGATCTTCCTTCTTGCTGGAAGCCGTACTTTTTGAACGCCGACTGGGCTCCTTTTCTGGAAGGTTTGGGAATTGGAAAATGAATTTCGGTAGGGAAAACGAACACAATCACTGCCTGATCTTCCAGGGAGTAGATTCGCTCGCTCAGGTACTGAAATTTCGATTTTTCGAGATAAAAACGTGGAAAAACTCAACCTTATTGAAGGGAGCGGTTCGAAGAAATTCGTACTTTATGACGATATTTCGGGGAATCGCGAAAGGAGATCGCGTCGGATTCTTATCAATATGTGTGCATTTGGTAAACTCGGATACGTAGCCAAGACACACGTAGGTTTTGTGGGAACAACTGAAAATTATGGATCATTCAATTTACGACATCGAAATGATATAGTTAGGAGGAAAAAGCACATTTTAAAGATACAGTGGAAAAAAGACTGTTAGACGGTGTTCTCTGCGGCAAAGACGTTCTGTTTTTTTAAGGTTCCGAAAAGACTTCACAGATTATCTCGAAGTTGAATCAAAGGATTTTCTTTCCGTATCACAGAAACTAAATTTCCTTTTGAATTCAGAAGTAATGAAATTCCAAAAAAATTTCTGTGAGTCAGAACTAATCACATAAATAGGCCAGAGACGCCAAACAAGAGGATGCTGGTCCTTTTTCAGGAGTCAAAAGAGACCTTCCGTTGTTAACGAGACTGGTTCGCTCCCTGAAGAGGAAAAGGGCCTTTCCTCGACGTCTCTGGCCTGTTTCGAATCTTTTGGGTTCCCTCCTCTGGGCAGCCCCCGCAACCCGTACCACTCTAAAGGCGTGACTGAGAACTGTGCAGCGGCGTCCCCAGCGTCCAGCCGCCCTCAGTTTTCAGTCTCATCCCCGTCGCCACGTTTCATTTTTCTTTTTTCCGCAGTTTATATTTATTGTCGCATTTTATATTTGTTCTATATTATTATATTGTATATTTGTTCCGTTCTATTTTTATTTATATGGTTTGATTACCCAAAGTTTGAGATGAATTCTTTGTTGGAATGTCTTTAACGGAAAAGTGAACGAAGAGTAAACAGAGGGAAGAGCTCAGCTAAAAAATGAGCTCTTAGAATGGACAACTTTTAGAAAGTTGGTTAAAATAAAGTCTTATTTTTTCAGAGGATTACTCTTCCAGTCTCTAAAAAAAGTCTATGAATTTCTTTTCGAACCCTACTTGACCAATAAGAAATACAACTTTTTTTTTCCAACTTTACCTATAAACGAGCTGTCCAAGACACTTTGGACACGGCGCCGGCTTGCCAAAAGTTCCAAAGTCCACAACTCGTTCGACTATCTTCAATACAAATTTCTTTCTTCTCAGAATATCCTTCTAAAACCTTTGTACTTTCCTTGGGAACTTCGATATTGTTCGATTTGAGCATGTCGATCAGATCGTTTTTTGAAACATTTTCGAGTGCTTTCCGGAGCTCCCACATCACGTCTGACTGGCCCTAGAAATCGGACTTGGCATGAAAAACGAGGAATTTGATTGAATTTTATAAAAAGTTAATTGAGAAAAACTATGAAACAACTTTAAAAAAATAAAATCATTTCAACTTTTTTTGAAACGAAAGGCGATATGTGGAAACTCGAACTCAAACGCAATTTTTTTGTCATTTTTTTGATAGTTTTTTTCAAAAAAACCTAGTTAAATTTTTGAACTCTATTCAAATGAATAAAAAGATGCGTTTACTGATTTTTGAAGAAAGAAAAAATAATGAGAAGCATCCCTTTCGATTTTTTTGCATATGAACCATTTTCCATTTTTTCGAATTCCGATAGGTTTCTTTGACTTTGATGTGACCTCACTCGAAAGTTAGGAGCTTTAAAAACTGATACTTTTAGAACCTTTTTAAAGTACATCAATAGTTTTGGCGAAGTTTTTGGACAAATCCCGATCAAAAAGTGCAATGACCTTTCTTATAAGAGCCACTCAAACCTTGAGCTTTTCCTTCCTCCTGTTCTTTTCCTCGTCCGCCGGATCGTTCTCATTCCGCGGCCGTTTCGCTTCAGGCTGTTCCAACTTCACGTGGCTTGCTTTCTTTTCCATTTTCGCCGAGGTTCCAGCTGTGCTAAGGCCACTGAAGAAGAAAAATAGCCATCTACTAAGAAGTCTAGGTGTACTCGTCGACGACGACGCAGTCGCCACTGACGTCAGCAGCCGTCGGATTTCCATTTCCGGCCGAGTTCATGGATTCGGCTTCGTCCTTCGATTCGGGCTTCGCGACCTTCAAAAATTCTTTCCGACGCTTTTTATTGAGAGATGAGAGACGAAATTTTTTTCATAATTTTTTTAGGTTAAACAAATGTTTCAGTCATAAATTTAACATGGACGTGAATATTAAGCGGCAAGCATCTTCATCTTTTTTTCAAAATGTTCCTTTCATTTTTTTCATTTTCGTTTTTTTCTTTTTATAGTATTCGAATTGAGAATTTTTTTATTAACTGGATTTTTCATGGATAACTATCGACTTGTGAATTGGAAGTCATAATTTTTTTCAAAAAAATAAACGATTTTTTTTGAGGTTTTTTCATTCGAAAAAAAGACTGTTTTGAGCATCTTTGTGTTGCTCTGAAATCTATTTTTTTGTAGAGAACGTTGAGCTTTTTTTCTTTTATGAAAAAAAAGCAAGAGAATGAATGAATTTCATGTGTACATTACCGTAGTTAGACGAAAAGACGAATCTTTTTATTTGTTACAGGAGAAAAAAACTAACTTTTCATGTTTTATCATAATTGAAAACACTTTTTTTGAAAAAAACCTACGCTTATTTTTAACATGCAACCACTCCTCCGCCTCTCTAGCCTTCTCAAATCGTTCGATCCTCTCATTCGAAGTACCGTTCTTACAAGGTTCTAACGCGATGACTCACAGGCAGAGCGGCGTCCCGGTTACTATTTTCCGCGTTGTTTTATTTTGCCTTTTATCGATTCTTTTCTTTTAGTTTTAATTGTTCACTTTCTCGTCCCTATAACTGTATGGCGCCAAAAAAGGATTAAGAACCCGACCGTTTCAATACTAACAAAAAATAAAAAGTCGTTTCAAGATTTTACTGTGATCCCTAAAAACTTGAAAAAAAATTAGAGAGGCCTACTTTTTTCATAAATAAAGTGGTTTTGACTTCAGAATTCTCCCAAAAACTCCTCGAATCCTACCGGCTGCGGAACTTTCTGCTGCTGTTCAAGAAGTAGCAATAAATCCTTCTCGGCTTCCTTCAGAGCATCGAATCCGACAATATTTGATACCTCACCCTTAACATGAAAACATCAAAAAACTCTCCAAAGCCTTCAAAAAAACCTCATAAGTACACCCGTTTGTGAAAACGCACACGGCATGATTCCACTTTGATTTCCTTTTCAACTGAAAAATTTGCGCTTATATTTTCGAAAAACAAAATAATTGAACCTTAAGTTCGTCTTTGTGGAAGAAATCTTTGCAAATATCGCATTTTCCTCTGAAAAAAGACTTGGAATGGTTCAAAAATGAGAGGAAAACCTATTGGTGGCAGAGTAATCAGCTTCGAGTTGGGTAAAATTATTTGGAACTGGGGACGTTCTTGATATTTCAGGCTTGCTCTTGGAACTGTTGAAAGCCTCGAGTTTGCCGCGGACTATTTCCTGGAATTTTTTTGAGCCTTTTTTTTTTCGATTTTTGACCTGTTTTAGCTGTGAAAATTTTGTTTTAATTTGGGGTTGAAAAACTTCTGATACTACGTTCGCCAACTCTTTGATGTACCGGACACAGATTTTTAAATTTCAGCATGAACAAATCAGACTTCGCAAGGACGTTTTAGAAAATTTCAAGTTATCAATTAAGAGTTCGGTAAAAGGATCTCTTGAAACGCTGGGAAACGTCCGGGGCGCGTCCGGTTTGCGTTACCAAAGGGGGAAAAGTTCTTTCATTCAAAAAAAAGGAGGTCCTAAAGCTCTGAAACCGCACTTTCCACTACATTTTGATAGTTTGTTCTGACTTTTTTCGTCTTTTCTCGAAAAAAAAGTGTAAATATTTTTTGAAAGCTCTTCGTTTTCTAATTCATTACCCAAAGTCCTAAGAACTCTTTCTTCTTCAAATCTTCCTTTTTTCTTTCTACTTTCGTAATTCTCCCTTTGAAGTTTTTTTTTTCACTTTCGATCATTATTAATAACATCTAGCCAAAAACAAAACTGTTGATTTTGTGCTGAAAAAACCTGATCTTCCCATCGCAGAAGGTCCATTCCCTTGATCGAACTCTCGTTGATCCGATCTTTGCCCGCTCTGAGCTTTTTTTCCAAAAGCAACTGCTATGGTGCCAGTTATCCTGAAGGCCGTCGAAGAAACGGCTCGGCTCCAGCGCCGAAATTCGCATCGAGCCCTAATTTTATGAATAATTTCGATTCATTTTATGAATTCAATTAGAAAAACTACTCAAACAAGTCAAAACTGATTTTCACAGAAGCTTTTTTGATCATTATTTTTTTATTTTGCTTTTTTTTCAAAAATGTTTACTAAGGAATATAAAAAAAGATTTATGAAATTACAAAAAAAATAAAAAAATGTAGTTTTTTTGAGAGTTTCCCGGAAACTGAAAAAAATATGATCAAATTCAAAAAAATAGCGCCTAAATTTCCTTATTTAAGAATATGTTTTATTGATTCTGAGTCTATCCCTCTTATAAAAAAACTACTTCATTCCTTGATTAATATATATAATGAGATATTCAATTCATTCACAAAATAAATCTAAAAAAATATTGCGGATTCGAGGAATTTCAAAAAAAGTGTCAATCATATAACTAATTTTTTTCAAAAATTTAGAAACATGCTTGAAATGGATGACCGAAATAGTGATCAGAAGATAAAAACTATATTTCTCCAAACTTTGATCAGGGCTTTTAGATTAGAAGAGGCTCCCAAAAACATCTAACATAAAAGAAAAAATGAAGTTCACCTCGGAGATTAGTTCTCTGCAAGCTTTACAGGCGGCTCGGCCAGACTTTGCATATTCTACAGCATATGGTAATTGACATCGTTTTTCAAGGGATTCGTGAGAATCCATTCTCTGGAAAATTGCAATTGTTGAGCTAGAATAATGAGAACGAAAATGAAAAAATTTTAACGATAAAAAAGTACTTTGTTCAAGAAAGATTAAAAAGACGAAAAGATATAAATATAGCTGCTTCACGGCTGGCTTGAGCCATCGGAAAAAAGGTCCTGACACCAAAAGAAACGAGATAGCGCGTGGTTGATGGAGAGGGCAGACAGGCCATGCCTTTTTGCGTCTCAATCTTACCGTGACTCGACTATATTCATAGGAAAGTGGAATCGTGAAAAAAATATAAGTGAATAGAACGATTCATTGCATTTTTGAACTGTGTGGCTTTTTCGAAAAAAATAATTTTTTTAAAAAAAGCTGCTCCGTAGAAAATTCGAAAAATATCAATAGGTATGAAAATACTTCAAATTTCTTTTTCATTTCTGTTTCCTTAGAAATATCCGTGAAATCACCATGTCATGAAAGCTAAAAAGGAATTTCTTCGGAATTTGACAAAACATCAAAGATAAAATTAGGATTCAGAATTGGAAGCTAGAGAGCATACGATGTTGGATAGGTCTGACATTTATACTTCTCTGGCCTCTCAAAACTTTCAAACATTCTCTTTCTGGAGATCGGATTTACAGAGGTTGCGTCTACTACTTATAAACGCTAAAGTGCTCCCTAAAGAAGCAACGTTAGGGGTCTTTGAATGTAAAAATATCAAGAGGATAAAACTATCAAGTTTTATTAAAAACTTCTTTTTAAATAATTGGATAAAAAAAATAATCGGAAGAAAACTATAGGGGCCACCTAAGTAGCCCTCTAGGGGGCACGATTTTGTGCCCTGTAGGGGCTGTATTTTTCCCTATTCCCTCTAGGAACCACTCTGGCGTTCCTAAGTAGGGAGAGATGAAATAAAGCCTTTTGGGTAGAAGAAATCAGAAATGCAACAAAAAATGAACAAAAAGTACATTTTGAAGCAGACGGAATTCAACAAAAAAAGTCAAAACATCATAATAAAAAAACCTTTATCACAATCTTTAGAATATCACATATAACAAGTGCATATTTTGCCATTCAATAAAACAAGAAGAAATATAACCAAGACGTGTTCGATAGTCAAAACGCAGCGTTTTCGTACAAAAAAAAATGATTTTTTTTCTGGGAAAGTGGACAGTAGAATCGATTTAAAGCCGTTTCTAGTTTTTCCCACGGCACCCGTCAACCAATCAAAACAGTGGCTCACAGCAGAAGAGTTTATCGAGAGGGCGCGAATAATCTCGAAAAACAGCGCTCGCTAATCTGAGCAGCGATCGAAGACGCGCAACATCGGCGCACCACAAAATGATACTATTACGAAGGAGTTGCATCCAAAGAAGAACCGCTACAGGTTGCGCTACCACGATTTTTCGACAGCAACAATGACAACTTGTTTTTGAAGATTTCCGAGACATGCTCCAATTTGACTAATGAACCCGCGATATAGAGTGTTCAGATTTTGAATTTCCACTCATAAAAATTATTTTCTGTTGGTCTTTGAAGCCAATAAATTACAGTGAATTTTCCACAGCTTGAAATTCAAAACTTGAAAGTCTACAGAAGATGAGCACAACATATAATGTAAGGATAGTCTACGACTTTTTCGTTTGATTTTTTTAAAATTGAAAAAAACGAATATAATCAATGGCACAAGATTAACTGATGAGAGATGTAATAAAGAAAACCTAAAATGTTTTTTTCTTCCGAAAAATGTGTGCAAAGATAAAATGCAATAAAAATGGAACGAATTGAGATTTCTAGGTAAACAATGAGAAAAAAAAGGACGATAAGATAGTCAGAGAGCGAGGGAAATGACGTCAGAACAGACTAGAAATTACTTAAAGCACGTTTTCTGAAATAGTGTAAAGTGTATTCAAGAAAAAGTTTGGAGGGGTGTTAAAAAAAGCAAAAAAAAATGTAGTTTAGATTTTTTAAGATATTGAGTTTATGGAAGGAAATTTATGAAGAGCTAGTATGAAAAAAAAATCAATTTTTCAAAATTTTCTCTTCCACTAACACATTTTTCCAAGTGACTATTCAACATTTCACAGCGAAATTCTTCTATTCAATGATTTTCCAATCAGACACGTTTGTCGACTTCGACCAGTTTCTTGGTGAAATCGACCATTTCGGACTGGCGTTGCTCGAGAAAATCGCAGTACCAAAAAGGGACAGGGACGGTCGCCAGATGGAACAGAGAGTGAGAGTCGAAGATCCAAAAGACGGGGACGAAATCGAGGATTTCCAAGACGACAGCTGCGTTCATCCACACGAGAACTCGGATCAGTGCAATGTCCGAAGGTCGAAAACTACCGTAGTCGCGGTACCTTGAAAATTTTTCAAGGTCATGATATCAAGGCTTCAAATATTGAAGAGAAATATACGGTAATTTTTTAGAACAGCTCAGAAATTAAAACAAAAATTCTGATCGCAACTCAACCTTCTATATTCCCTGGAAAAATACTTCAAAAACAACCTCGAATAAATATGGTAACAGTAGACCAAGGCGCTGACCACCGAGCAGCCAATACAGACAGCCATGTTGAAGCCGTAAAGGAACTTTTTCTGAACAAAAAAGTCAATAATGCAACTTTTGACAGATTAGAATCTCACCAGCATGAAGCAGACGTGACCAACGTACCAAATGATGAGGCCGGCTATTAAGAATTTGTTCCTGAAAAAAATTTAGTGCTTTCAGTATTGAACTCATGTACCAGGTGAAATTTAGAGCTTTTTTATCTTCCAAGAGATAATTAATGTTAAGGCGTTAAAAGGTCCCTCTAGTGATTTTGATACATTTTTTTCCGAACGATTCCTTGGAATCGAACGAAAAAGCCGGCTTTATTATTTTATTTGAGGTTTTTGTTGACTGTTAAAACTCACAAACGTCGGCCGTTCCCCGTGTAGGTAAGTTGTGGATAGACGAATCTCAAGGAAGTGTACAATGTGACCAAAACAAAGGCGAACGCAGAGAAATAGTCCATATATTCGGTCACAGTGAAATCGCGTGCATGAAAAAGCGTCGAAGAAACCCTAAAAACCCTTGAAAATCACTTTTACTAAAATTATCTTATGATCCTATCTGAAAAACCTGAGCGGGCGTACCCGTATTGAACCCGTAAAAGCGTTCAAAATCTTTGGTGATTTGTCTCGCAAACTCGCAGTCTTTTTTTAAAATTAATTTTGCAATAAACTGAAAACTTTTAAGTCCCATAAGATCTATCATGTAAAAAAAAGCCATAAAATATTAAACCTTAATTTAACACTATAGAAAAGTTTAGCCTTGAGCCTAATTTTCGTTGCTTTTTCAAACTCTCCAACAAGAAAATTTCGATTGAAATCAAACCAAGTAGCCATTCCGATGCGAGTCAAAGCGAGCCAAGCGTCGCGATTTTCCAAGTTCCTCATGTTCCGAACTCGCGTGTCCATATAAGTGAAGGTCATGAGGTTCATCAGGGAAAAGACCACCGAAGCTGGTTCCTTGAAAACTTCAAATATTGAAAAGAGAACAACAGAGAACGATTGAACCTGAATGATACAGTGGAAGAAGCCGAAAGGACAGTCGACGTCGATTGCGACAAAGGGCCATTTTCCGTGGAACTGCGGCACGTACCCCACGTGGCTAACTGCGGAAATTATTCTTTGGAAATTCCCAAAAACTCCTACCTTTCGAAGATTTCTACGGTCTCCCACATGCACTTGTTTTTGCATCTGGAATAGGTGCATGAAATAATTTTTTTGATAAAATCAAAATATTTTTGTCTTTTTAAGTATATATGTATAGCTGATTCACGGCTGGGTTGAGCCATCAAAAAAAGTCCTGACACGATTTTTGCATAAAATAATGAAAGAAGCTTTTTTTCTCTTATTTTGAACTTTACAGAACTTGAAGACTATCAAAGACGAACCTGAAGCATTCCCCGTAGCTCCATCCATAACTCGAAAACGAATCTGGACAGTCATGAGCTTCCCGACAATCTTTCGTACAACGGTGATAATAAACCGTGCTAAAAATTTATCCTGATAAAAAAAAATCACCACATCAAACAGTGCTCAAAGAGGTTCCGCAAAACTCAAAAAAAAAAACCGTCAGAGAACGAGAAAATATAACTAAACTTTCAAGAATCTCATAATTTTGACTTTCGTGGAAAAATTTTGAAAAACTTCATGGAAATTTTTTTCACTAACTTATCTCCTCTGGAGGCTTCGCAAATATACGCTAATCCAAAGCTCAGAATTAATAACCGCATCTGAAAAGATAAACAGATTTTGTTATATTAAAATCTCTAATTTCGAAGTATAAAAGGGTTCAAAAAGCCCTCAACTTCATTGAAACACCTAAAAAAAATTACTTAAGAAGAAAATTTATTGCGATAGGGAAAATAAGAAGACAAAGACACGGAACCCGCTCACAGGGATCGAAAAAATCGAGATATAAGAGAAACGGGAGATTAAAGGTTGTAAAATAAAATAAAACCAATATAACACGATTTTTTCTTCTTGATAAAGCGCTAAATCCATCTCAACTGTACACAACAACATTCTGCACAAGAAAAACCAACGGTAAAACACACTGGAATTATTTTTTCAAATCAAAAAATCGTCAAAAACTGACAAATGGCGGTTTGTGAACTAAAAAGTTACACGTCATTTCATTTCAGTACTAAGAAAGTGCGTAGAAAATATTGAAACGAAAGAAATCGGATTAGAAAGGAACGGGGGCAGTTAGGAAAAGAGTGAAATAAGTTTTAAAGCTTCTAAATTTCTACAAAGTCTAAAAATAACCGGGGTACAAAAAGAATTGAGCTCTAAGATTGGAATTGAACAAATTGCGGTTGAGCATCAATTGTCACAGGAAAAGAAGAAGAAGATAAAAAAACTACTACAGAAGTCTAAAAATCCCGTTGGAATCCCAGAAGTCGAACATTATTTTTGGAGTGGAAGAATGGTCAAAGCCATCACCCGAAGTGTTTCAAATTGCAAAATTACAACATTGATTGGAGCTTTTGAGCTAAAATAAAGGTGTAAATCATTGGAATTTAAAGTGAAAGAAGTGAACAAAAACTACTCGGATTCGTTGACTGAACTCGGGTGTGTGAAAGGAATCGTCACCAGGTAAAATAGAAGCGGCGTCGGGACCACGAAAATCGCCAGAAAACCGTACTGCAGGCCGCTGAAAACGAGAATAGATTGAAAAAAAAATAAACTTCCTGGGCCGTAAACGGAAGATTCCGGAAAATCTCATGAAGTAAAAATTTTTTTCGATATTTTAAAGATATCTAGAAACTTTTTTTACACTCATCTTCCCCCTAATTGAACGTTACTTTGAGGAAAAATTTGAGAATACAGTTTTCCATTAATCTTCAACCTGATTGTGAGAATAAAAGCCTTAGCCACAAAAAAAATATTGAAACGATTTTTCAGATCTTCAAAAATGCTGAAATTATCATTTCTCTCAAAAATCTTAAAATATTTCAAGTTTAAATGACCAATATAACTGAAAGCTGATAGAATAAAAAAGAACTGAAACTTTTGAAAAAAATGCAAATGAAAAGAAAGAAGGCGACGTACAATGGCAACATGATGGCGACAACTGCAAAAGCGAGCAGAAGCGAGTTGAGCGAAAGAAAGAAGATGTGCATCGGCGACTTGACGATCCTCACTACAAATTGCCTCCTTTGGTTGAGCCGAATCCATCAAAGAAAGTAAAAGCGTGAAAATTTCAGTTTTAGAACAATTTCCTGAGCCTAACAGGGGACACTTTAGCTATAATTTTGGTGCTCTTTAAAAGAAAACTTGAATGATCTACTGCCATTCGAGGAAACTCTGAAGCTTGAAATTTTTTGAATCCGTGTTATTACAGACATTTTGGATCTTGTGATTGATTTTTTACAAAACGAGAATTTGAAAGGAAATTAGAAATTTGAGTCAAAAAAAAACTTTCTTGTAAACCCTGATCAAACTACTCTCAAAATAAACTTTCTTTTCATTTTCCCAACAAATATGGATTGAAAATAATGTCCTATGCTTACCTTTTCAAAAGGGGTTCAATCGAACAAAACTAAAAACTTGCTAACATCAAACTATATTCTTGAATTATTTTTTTTGTTTTTTCCGTAAGACACCACTCAAAATTTTCAACTTTTGAAGAAAAAAAAGCCGATTTTTTTCAAAAAAGTGGAGAAAAAACGAACGGATCATTTCGCGCATCGTCCTCTTGCCATCCATCGCCAAGTGAACGACGTTTGCACAAATTCCCCAAAGAAGTAAAATATACGGGAACGAATAATACACAAAGCCGGCCTGAAAAGAGCTACTTTTGAAAATCGAAAGATATCACGTTGCAAATCTAAAATTTTCCGAAAACTACAAAATTATTAATTTTTTTACTACAAGTTTTGTGAATTGAGATTCGGCAAAAGTTCTCTAAAGACAGGAAAAAAAAATTTGTAAGCTCTTAATTGGGAATAAGCCTCCTGGCCAACTTCCTTGGCTTTCAAGCAAACATTCAACTAGAAAATGTTTTTAACACTAGTTTTTTTTTAAAAGTAAAAGATCCAAACACCTTATATGCTCATAAAAGTTCAATTTGCTCTTTTTTTCAAACAATAAAACAGCTTTTGAACAAATTCTGATTATATTCTACCAATCTCATATACCTGAATGATGTTTTTCTCTTTATTTATAATTCTGTGAAATCTGTCAGAACGAACCAGATAAGCATGAGCGCCAGCGATGATCGGAATCGAAAGCATAGAATAATAATAGGGTTTCCCATTCAACGCCTTGTACATCAGAGTACAATAGACGATACTTCGGAATATCACAATCGACACAACCAAAACGGTCAAGTGGAGGAACGGCATTGAATATCTGGAAAACGGTTCTAGAGTGCTTTGTGAATTCAAAATCTTCAAATATCAGAAAGAAATCATAAAAAAAGGCCACTTTGTAAAAAAAAATTTCCGAGAAGAAAAAAAGTGTAAAAAAAAGGCCTCTTCTAACCAAAGTTATGAATTTCATATATAAGCTCATCTTTTTTTCAATTTTTTTAAGTTTTTTTAATGATGCTAAAACAACGGTGTAATCAAAACGTATAATGAAAAATGTAAATTTGTGAAATTCATTTTATTAATCACGCTTCTAAAATCTTAATTTTTTTTCTAATGAGCAGAATTATTCGGAGCGCAATGAAACAGCCCATCAAAATCACTATTCGGCTTTTCTTGTTTATTTTTTTTGAAATTCTCGCCCACAAACTCGATAAAAAATCACTCCAGAACTCACAAAGGATAAACGACTTCATATGAACATCTCAAAGTCTTTGTATAATCGATAACCGGATTGTAATTATGGGGAAACCTGGAAAATATTAATTATTTTAACAAATACAAAAAGGAAAAAGTGTTACCATTCTCGAAAGTTAGACTTTTCGCACCCAAAAAGGGAGAAGGAGAAGTATGGCGGGAAAGAAAGAAGCGAAACGAGACAGGCGATCGTGTTCTCCAGAACACAGCACGCGTGTTCCACAACTTCGTATAATCGAGATCGAGAGCTGCAAAAATATGAGTCTATCAAGAAAAAATCCACTGAAATCAATAAAAATCGAGAGTTCACTTGAAAAAAAGGTCCTATCTGTTTTTAAAAACCTAAGTAGACGAATCTTCTTACAGATATCGTTTTGTCCTTGGAAAAGTCTGAAATTTCTGCTCTCTCTTTCCTCTCGCCGTAACGATTTAAAAAAAACAGCAAGAGCTTGGTAGAGGCAGAAGAGAGCGAATATCGGTAAGTTCAGGAATGCTACAACTTTTTTGAAAAAAGCTGTGAATAAGAAGCAAAAAAAATTTAATTTGAAACAAGTCTATGAAAAAAATATCAACACGAGTTTTTTTGGCTCGGGCTCGAATTTGGTATTTTTTTCAATAGTTGATAAAATTTATAAATCATAAAATGAGTAACCGTAAGATTCAAAATTATTTCTTTTTTTTTTTTTTGCATTTTTTTAAAGTTTCTATCAACTGTTGGAGTGAAATTTTCCTTTTTTCACATTAATTTAAGATACCGTAGCTTGAAATTTTCAGAATTTAGCCTAAATCTAATTTGCAGCACAAATTTTGTGAACCGATAGATAAATTGTGCAAACGAACTACTTGCGATAGCTGCGGATGAAGTAGAGATGGAGCAGGAAGGGGAAAAGAGCCATGAAGACTAGGTACATCCAATCGTAGGCCGTGAGGGGACTCACGCAAGCCTCGCACCACACTTTCTCGCTTGTCGTCCGGCTGCCCCACGCACAAGCCTCAAAAAAAACTCTTTATGCTTTAATTTGTGTTAGTTTCCGTTATATTCATGAAAATTTTTTTCCCAATCAGTGAATTGTAAAGACTTTGGTGAACTTCAACCAATTCCGAAACTTACTCCGCAGTCGGAAAAGGCGGTGCTGCTGGTATTGAGATGATGACGGCCGCAGAAGCCGAGGCAGGGCGCAGGTTGGCTTTCCGCCGCGAACGAAGACATCTTCTCGTCGACGCGTTCCGGGGCATTACCACATACTGCAAAAAACCGAATCTACAATCTTATACTGAAATTTTGAATACGAATCAACGGAGTTTGAAAAAAAATTTGAATGATTCACGATCAAAGTTTGTTCAAATCTCTTTCTTGGGATTTTAATGAAATAAAACGAACAAAATTCAAAATGCGCTTTTTAGTGTTATTTTCAAGCAGCAAGCTCACACTTTAATGACCTTATGAAAAAAAAATATTCATCAGGTAATTTTTTCGAAATGTGGAAACAATAAAGTTTTTTGGAGGAAAAGAGGAGCTGCCTTTGTTCAAAAAAACAGTTAAGTATGAATTTTTAGTAGAAAAAAATTCTGAGTGGCCATTAAGGAAGAAAAAAATTGTATTTCGTGACATGCTTCATTTATCCCATTCAGCGCTACACAAAATGAACACATTTTTCACCTTCCAAAAAAACATTTGAAAGCAAGCCATTAAACTTTTGAAATAGCGTTTTTCATTACATAAAAGTTGAGAAAAGTTTAAAAAATAGCTCTCTGACTGACATCATTTTTAAAGTTTTCTTGGAAATTCGGGAAAAGATGCACAAGAAGTTATGAAAAAAGTATAAGCAATAATATTTTGACGATGAGTGATTTAATTAACGGCTCTGTAAACAGGAATGCAGAGGGCAATGAACCGTGCCTCCGGTTTGGGAGCAGGTGCAAAAATTTAATAAAAAAGCACGAAGGGGTCAAAAAAAGAAGCGATAAGGTACAAAATCAATAAAATATCCAATGGTTTCGGACCATTGCAGATTCAACAAATCAAATAACGTAAAGCATTTATTGGCAAGATCACAGATTGAGCAAACACGGATTGATAAGATTCAAAGCAAAATTTTTAAAGCATTTTCCTCCTCCTTAAAGCGTTTTTCCCAAAATTTTCTTCTTGAGGCTCGATTTTCCAGCCAGGAATATTGTTGATGACTTCACTTTCAGGAACTTCGTCTGCATTTTCTGGTTCGAACTCGTCTTTTGCGAAGCGCTGAGTAGGTAAAAATTAAATACCTTTAATTGTTGCAATAAATGATCTCAAAACTTGATATTCAGGTTTTTTGAAGATTTTTTTAGTTCATAATAGCATAAATTTAATAAAAACGATCCTAACCTCTTTCTTCTCCGGCTCCGCTACCTGCTCTGGTTCGACTTCACCTTGTTCAACTTCTTCAGATTCTTCGCCGCTTAGCAGAATCAACCTTCCAATGAAAATCGATATGAAAACTGGCAATCATGATTTAGAAACCTTCTATTCATCACTAACTTCCTAGGAAAACGCTGAACAACAAAAGCGACGAGCAAACGGGCCAATAGTACAAAAAGTAGCGGACTAGGCCAAATTGAGCGTTCACGATAACGTCGGCATGTTCCACCTCAAAAAATGATCAATTCAAAAAAAACCGAGAATAGTTTCAAATTACGTTGGCGAACTTGTCTTGTAGCGTATATACAAGCTTTTTTGACGGATTCGAGGCATATTCTATATAATCAAAGGTTATCGGAACTTCCAATTCGTCGGCGCCGCGGAAAAAGCCAAGAAAGTACAACGGGAAAAACATAATCCATAATATCTGCAATAACTATGGTGGTATGAAAAAACGCCCAGCGAAAGTTCGAACGGCGACTTTTCCGATTTTTTCATATCGCTAGGGAACTTTCCGACGGCCACCTTTCCGACGAAACTTTTTCCGACTTTTTTTTCTCGATAAAATTTTCGTTTTAAATCTTCCTATATAAAGTAGGTAGTTGGTTAATGATTAAAACACAAAGAAACAGGAATAAAAAAATGTGAATAGATGTTTTATAAACCGAAAAAAATAAAGGGAAAAAGTCGGAAAGGTGGCCGTCGGAAAGTTACCTAGCGATATGAAAAAATCGGAAAAGTCGCCGTTTGAATTTTCGCAGGTGTTTTTTTCATACCACCATAACTATATGATAGCTCTCCAAAAGATAATACGAAAAGAAGTGCAAAATGAGAAAAATTCGCTCCATTAGCGTGAATAGAATTTGCCATGGCGACCGTTTTTTTTTTTCAAATGAATCAGCAAAAGAGGTAGTCGAGAAATTGCTTGTTTTTTTTTTGTGAGATTCATAGAAAGCCCTGCCGTCAACTGACCTTCATGAAATACGAGGGCTCTTTCAGATAAGCGGACTTTGCAAACTTTTTGAGCAAATCCCCGGCTTCGTTATGAATGGATATGACGTTTTGAAACAATCCGAGCTGACGCGTGGTTGGAACGTCAGCAAACTTAAGCCGAACATTCAACGAATATGGAGTGCTAGGCGAGAATATTTCACCCTAAATATCTATAATTACGTCTAACCTCGATTCCACCAAAAAAAAAACCTTGTCAAAAAATAAGGTTGCCGTTGGAAACGAGCAAACACCGTGTAATTCATTGTCGCAAGTGTTGAACAGAACGTTGAGAGGAAACTCTTTGTAGACTGATGCTGGCAATATCAAATACCTTAATCTTGAACCTATACTTTATTCGAAAGGACTTTTCAAACCTTGTAATAATCGTGAAAATCAGAGAGGCACACAGAGCAAACGACAAATCAAGAAGTATTCTTCCAACATAAGCCACCGACTTTGGTACGTCTCTCATCAAAATTTCTACATGAATCTCTACAATCCGAGAAAAAGAAAACAGTAAAACGCATTATTATTTACGAGAAAAATATATAAAAAGTATTGACAAATTTTTACAAACCGCCATGCGAAGGAAATTAAGCAAACGCGCGCCCCTGAAATAAAATTTAAGAAATCCTTTGAGTAAAAAAAGTGTCCTAACCCGACCTCTTGAACTGCGTAAACTGAGCAATCGCCAGCAAGTTTGAGTTTTTTTTTTTTTTTTCGTTCCTTGATACATTTAAATTAACTTCATTCTTTCATTAAACTCAGCTTTTCACTAGTTTATAAAATGTTTCTTTTACACATAAATTTGTGAAAGTGCGAAGGCGGTCGATCAATATTGCGCCGTCTGTTCCGAAACCTGGGAATTTTTTTCTGATTTTTTCCAAATTTTTCAAAAGCTTTCTCTCAAGATGACAAGAGTAACTGGTAGTCACGTCTCGACAAATCGAGGAATTTCTGTTTCATGACCCCAAAACCTTCTTAAAATTACCGTAATACGACCGGCCGCCTTCAACAGACGTTTTCAGTCGGAAACTTTAGAAGTGCAACTTACTTGTTTAATCAAAAAGAACTTGACCTTTTTCACGCTTGAAGTTTCTAAAATATATCTCATTTAATATTGATGCACTTCCTTTATAGAATACATAATTTTGTGTCCAGAAGTCTTCGATTTCACTCATTTTTTTCGAAGTAGTTCCAATACTCGGTTTTTTCTACATCGTACGCTTTTTATTCGCAGTTCACTTTTTCGGACTTAGGCCCGGGATGGAAAGGGCGGCGGGTGAAAAGCCTGCCTCGAAAAATGGAAGTGGCGACGGCGAACATCATCAGCCGAAGACGATCGAGGACATCCCCGGAGATGTGATTCTGAAAGTTTGCACAAACTTGGACAGGTATAAAAGGAAAGAAAGCTTTGAGGGCACTGAAACTGGTTCTATAGAAGAAGCGCGTGTTCTTTCTCTCGGACTTCCCGTCAGAAGTACTTCCAAATCGCAGGAAACGCCAATTACCTCAAGATCAAGCTGCCGCCCACCATCGAAAGTCTTCAAGTTTCGCACCAGAGTCCGAGATCTGAGACGGTTCGTTTCCACCGTTCTACCTCAAAGTTAGCCTTTTTACAGCTGTCCGGGCTCATTTTCAAGTGCTCTTTGGCAGCTTCTTCCGGACTCAAGCGAATCGACTTCCACTTTTTCGAAGAAGCCTTGATGTTCGGAAATGAGACGTACGCTTTCGTCAAAGAGAACTTCAACAAAATCGGCGACTACGTCGATTACAAGGCATATATTTTGGCTCCAGCTTATCGACCAGAATAGTTTGAAGGTTTACGAACAGCTGACTCAAGGCATCTCCACGAGATACGTCTACTGCTCGGACGTCCGCACGACTGTCATCCGATGTTTCCAGAACTCTTTCGGCGGCAGTATGCGCCTCAAGTGCGCTATTTTCGAAAAAGTTTGTTTTCGAATATGTTCTATCAAGGGAGGTTGAAATAGTCAGTCTTTGAGAAATCGCTGGAAATTCACGAGGTTTTCTTTGAAGCGCTCTGATTCAAATCAAGTTACGCTTCCATTTTAGGTGAAAAAAGTTTTTTGGAACCTTTGAAAATCCATAAATCGATTCAGCTACAAAAAATGTTTTATTTGGAGAAGATTGACAAAGGCGCTCTGATTTATTTCGCCCTTTCATCCAGGCTTGTGCTAGGTCCAGGCCCGATCGAGTGACCAAGCGAAAATGGCCGGGGCGACCCCAAAAAACTCAAGTTTTCTTCGAGTAGAGTATCAAGCTTTTTTACGACAAAATCTCGTTTTTATATTTGTCTCACTTGATTTTCATTAGAAACTATGACTTTCCAAGTAAAAAGAATTTTTCGGTGAAATTTTTAGAATTTTCCGAGCCCGCACAGGCTTTTTCTAAAAAATGTGGCCCAAAGGCCCGCTCCGCCCAGCCTGACACAAGCCTGATCTCATCGAAATACGACCCAATTCGGTTCAGATGACCGTGACGGCCCTGTTGATGAAGGATATTACGGTCATTTTCGAAGCAATGTTCCTCACCGCCGGATTCGTGAAATTCCACGAGTGCACCATCAACCTTCTTGTTCGCGAAAAAAAAGCTTCACAAATTTTCAAAAAAAAAAACTTTTCAGGTTTACTACGACGAGTTTTTCCAGAGAATCGGACCGATGAGCTTCGAAATCAACAAATGCGATTTCACGGGCTACCGTACATTCTTCTCTCCCGAGTTCTTCGACGATTACATGGTACCATGATTCTCGGAAATTGGTTTTCAAATATTGATTTTTTCTTCAGAAGAACACCGTCCGCAACTTCAAGTTCACATACAATCACAACCAACATCGGCGACGTGTTTTCGGTTTTGATACGTCGTCACTCCGGGAACACGTCTTCCTTTTCGACGAGAAGCTTTTGTTCGACACGAAAAGCCTCGAAAACCTCCAGATTTGCGCCTTCAGCCTGGACTCTCTCACGATGCTCAACGCGCTCATGAAGGTACGAGAGCAGAAAAATTTCTTCAACTTTTCTCAGGGGTCTTGTCTTGTCGGTAAAAACCCTCTTTGATTCTTCAAAAATTAGTTGTCTTTTTGACTCTTTGGCGGTTATTTGGTATTTCACGGATTTAATTTGAACGAGCCATTATACCCCATTTCACACCAGCTTATTTATTTATTTATTTTTTTCGCAAAAAAAGACTGTATAATTAAATTGACGAAACTTTTTCTCCAAGACCTTTTTCCGGTGTTTTTGAATTTTAGTAAAAACAAAAGTTTGTATTTACGGTATCTTTTTTTGCTGTGACTTTGAGGCTTGCCGGTTTCGTTTCACTTTTTGGTAGAAAAAAATAGCGTTCAATTTTTTTTCAAATATTTTTTTCCTAGAATCTTTTTGCTTGTTCGAAAAAAATGATGAACCTCAGGAAGTAATAATCACGCGAAAATTTTTCTGCTTTTTCTGACAAGTAGTCTAGGGAGTGCTCTGAAAAGGGGGTTAGTTTTCCATTTTCTGTGAGATTTTTCAAACGGTCAGAAAAATTATCCATTTAATAGACAATATCAATAGTAAAGTCTTTTGGCCAACTTTCACGACCAGGCTGATTTCCCTTCGCTTATTTTTTTCACCAAAAAGGTACAACTTGTAGAAACTCGTGCAGGCGAGAAGGAAGGTTCCGTACAAGATGGAATTCTGTTTGCGGAAGCTGTACAAGGGCAAGAAGGGCCACGAGGACGACATCCGCGAGATGCTCTTCAAGGATGTCCCAAATATGTACTACCGCAAGTCCATCAGCAAGGTTCGAAACGGAGAGTTGCATTAGTGAAGGGAACTTTTGAGGTTCCCGTCTCGGAAAACGACGAGTTCTTTGTGAGCGTGAGCAAGTGCGGCAGAGCCGTCTGCATCTTTCCGGATTACGACGCCATCTCGAAAGATCTGGAAGATATTCTCGAATAAATAAGCTAGTTGAACCTCGATTGTGCATTTTTCTAAGATTGTTAAATATTTCATGTTTTCATTTCAGTCAACCTGTATTTTCACTTACATCGCCTTATATGTTTGTAACGGGACCTATGCTTTAAGTATCTTGCCTTTTTCGTTTTTTGTTTGTTTCACATGGCCATTGCTATTTTTTAATCTTTGTTGTCGTTGCTTGTTGATACCTGTTGATGCACGAAAATGAATTCATACTTTGATTTTCACTCTTTACCTCGAAAAAAAGTTGGAATCAACAAAAGTTTAATTGTAGAAAAAAATAATCTAGCTGCAAAAATTTTTTTGGGAAGAAATATGTGAAGAAGATAGTTTCAGAAAAAAAATTTTTTCCGAAATTTGAACGAGGGGTTTTTTTAGTTATCAATATTCCTGAGTTGCAGACCGCGATTCGGGTTTCGAAAATTTATTTAATTAGAGAAAAAAACCTGAAAGCATTGAAATTGAAAAGACGATTTTTTTCTGTGTTCTTTTGATTTTTTCGGGTAATGTTGTCTGACTGTAGTTTATCTTACGAGCTTCTGAAAATTTCGGAGATGTTAACATAAAGCGTGCTAGGAACAAGAATTTCAAAAAAAAACCGACTATCGCGGGAAACGAACCTGTAACCTCATGATTTGATAGTCAAGCGTACTGGCGCTGCGCCAAGCGACCAGAGGTACAATAGGTCATTTGGCTATTTATTTTATTTATAGAAAAAACGGGATCCTCGTGGAGAAGAAAAAAAGGTGAGTATGGGAGACATCATCGATCATTCGGCGACCGTCAACATCGCCGTCCAACGGCTGATTTTCTTCAAACTTCAAAAAACTTTTGTTGACGACGTCTTCGGCCAAGATGACTTCTGAAGATCCCGAGGCCGCCGAGGAATCGGACCGCCTCTGCGCCTTGCCGACTCCGCAGGAAATTCAGGCGAGAATTTATGGTTTTATTGGAAAAGTTCTCGAAGGAAGAAGGAAAAAAAACGGAATAGTCGAAGAAAATACGTTATTTCTCAAGCAAATCCTGATGATTTTGTGCAGGTGAAAGAGAAAGCAAAAATAGGTTTTTTTTTAAATATAAAGAAGTTTTTTTCATAAGAACAGCCCATTCAACTTTCAAAGAGCCAAAAGTTTCCTCAGACGCCACTGAAAAACATGGACGATTTCATCAAACTCGGCTGGTACTGTACTTTAGTGTTGCTGGCGGCTGAGGGAATGACTCTGACTTCGCTTTCTTCGATGGTTTATATGGTTTATGCGGGTGAGTGTTCTTATTTTCATGAAATACAAGGTTTTGGGTAGCGTAAGTTTAGCGGGTTCACGGCTGGCTTGAGCCATGCAAAAATGAGTCCTGAAACGGTAATGGAAGACATAGTGTTTGATTGATGGAGAGCAGACAGGCCACGCCCCTCAGCTGTGGATTGGCTATACTTCTTAATACATCTTTATTCATGTTTTCAGGAGCGACACCAACAGTTGTAATCGGGTGTGGAAACTATTACTTTAACAAATCTGAAAGTTGCGAAGAAATTCGATTATTTCAAAAAACTCGACAATGTCGATTGATTATGGATCATCAGTTTGTGTCGGTCAACGTCGAGGTTGCGAGAAATCATTATTTTTAATTATTCTTTTTTTTTCCAGTTTGAAATGGTTTGTGAAGAGAGCAGTGTTGTGAAGAACAGCATTTCCTACCAAATGGCTGGAGTTCTATTCGGCGCCGCGGTGGCTGGTCATGTCAGCGACTCTTTCGGACGTCGAAATGTAAGAGGGGAAAAAAGCTGATCTGATTTCAGAACAAAAAAAACTTCTTGAGATAGATCGTGTATCCGAGTTTTGGCGTTTCAAAAGCTCCAAGTACCAATTTTTCTGAATTTTTGCGGTTTTCGAAGCGTCCTAACTCGGAAAATTTCAATTTCGAGACATTTTTCTTTTCTATTTTAGGAAAGTGAAGTTTTTTTTCAGGAGTAACGTGTAAATTTCGAGAAAAAAAGTGACAGAATTTCGAAACTTTCAATTCAGACTCTTCTCATTTCGTTGCTCGGACTTGCCGGTTTTTTTCTTTCGCGACGGCATTTGTAAGTTTTTCTTTTTTTATTTATTTATCCGATTTATGGTTTGATTCCAATCTTGAAGAAAGAAGTTTGTAGGCTCAAAATTTCCTACAGTTCACGGTGCTTCGTGTTGCCGGCGGGGCATTTACAGGAGGACTCACGGCGTTAGTTTCATTTGATTTTTTCTAAATTTATTTTTGTGAGTAAAACTTTTCGAAATTTTGAAAGATTTTTGAACGTTTTGGTACTGAAAAGGAGGTTTTTCTTCATGGGATTTAGTCCTTTTTTCGCGACTTGAAAGAGCGAATTTTCTCTGCGCCCTCCTTGTCTCTTGGTGGCTCTCTCCTTATCCCGTGCTCTTTTTATGTTTCTCTGACCTCACCGGGGAACAGAGTCACAGGGAACAGAGACACAGACACGCGAAAACTTTCAAATCGCTATGATGGCTGTAGACAGAGTTTTGTCTGGAATGAAATTGAAAACAAAATGTTTAAGGGTGCAAGGCGTGTATCTCGTGGAAAACATCCCAAAAAAGCACCGCATGTGGATCAACACCGTGATCACCTGGTCGCCGAACTTTATCATTTTCCCGCCAATCGTCTACCTCTGTTGGACCTGGCGCAATTTGTCCCTGTTCACTGGCGCCGCTTCCTTGATTTCTGCGCTTTTGTTGTGGTTGGTTTCCAGTAATTGTATTGTTTTTTTTCAGCAAAAAAAAAATGGTAAACGACCTTGTGGAAGGACCGTATTGAAGGTTTTGCATAGGCAGACACTTATTTTGAGTCAAGAAGAGCAATTTTGAGCATGTTTTCTTGTTTTTGGTAAACATCTGGAGTTTTAGCCCCCAAGAAATACGTTTATCTTTTTCTGGCTCAATCTCAGTTTTTCGATGTTTTTGTAATTCAACTTCATTTTCAACGTTTTCCCAGAAGTTCCTTCTCCCAACTAAAAATCAGAAAAAAAAACTTGGTGATGGAACAAAGATAACTCTCCTGTTCCACCTCATTTTTATATATGGCATATTTCAAAATGTTTTTAATACGTCACACTAACATGTTTTGAAGACGAATTATTCGAATTTTGAAGATAGTATAAACGAGTTTTCTCTTTCAACGCCAACAGTGGTATTTTTTCAATTTTCTCTTCTTCAGCTTGGTCTACGAATCGCCGAGATGGATGATTCAGAAGGGCAGGATAGCAGAAGCTCGGGAAACTTTGGAGAAGATCCGGAAGATCAACAGGGACACTTGTTCTGTGGAGGCCGGTCAGATCGAAGCCATGCTTCGACACGAGCAAACGGTACACTTTCGACTTTTCGGGCAAAGGCGGAATGGTGGATAATGACCGATTGAAGAGAGAGGCTCGAAAAAGGCCGCAGAAAGGCAGCAAAAAAAGTACATTCATCAAGACTTTCATTTCTCCCACAATTTTAAAGGCTCAAGAAACGGTGGGGAAAAGGGAGAGGCAAAAAAAATGGGGCATAAGAGCCGATGAAGTGGAGCAAAAAGGCAGCAAAAAAGGAGCCTTTGTCACCCTGAAAAGAAAATTCCTATCGAGTTTATTTTGACCTTTTTAGACTTTCAATTTTAGACTTTGTCTATATTTAAAATTTGAGATATTCATTGAATTTCAAAATAAAAATGATATTTTTCGTAGAAGACAAACAATTCTCATGTTAAGATTTTCGACTCGCGGCTTCGAAAACAGAAAAAGTACACGATTTTCGACATTTTCTGCACCTGGCAGTACTTCACGTGGACAACGACCATCTGTTTTGGAATGTGAGTTGAGGAGGTTGATTATGGTTGATTATACTCTGATTATGATAGAATTTTTTGGGTCCTTTCTTTCTATGCTCCAAAAATGTTTTTATTAGTGTTTTTTTTCGATGTTATTTCAGTTTTTCCTTTTTTTTTTAACTGAATCCTACGAACAATATTCCAGCTTCGTGGCTTCGCTCGTCAATTACGGCCTTCTGTTCAACATGGAGAAGCTCTCCGGATCTCTCTACTGGAACAACTTTTTCTTCGGCGTTTGTAACTTTACTCAATTTTTTTAACATTCCTGGGCCTCATAATCTCTCTTTTACTCCAAATATTCATTTTCCAGGTAATTCGCTGGATCGTGAACATAGCCGTCGGGGCGGCCGATTATTTCTTCAAGTGGGTCGGTAGAAAAGCCATCAATTTCTTCGCCATGGGCTATATTATCGTTTCGCTGAGTATTATATGCCTTCTGTACGTGAGAGGTTCTAGTTGATTCTCAGTCAATTTGATAAATAATGGAATATTGCAGACTTGCAGGAAGAAGGAGCGTGGCTTATTAGGTACAGTACCATTGGAGTTACCGCCATGACTAGTCAGGCGAGTCATTTTTATAGGAAATGGGAAAAAAATTCAAGTTTCCTTCGTTTTGAGTGCTCTTGCAAACTTGGACTTTACAATTTGGTTAGGAAGATATATGTTTGAAGCTTTATTAGATTTTTGGTTAAATTGGTTGGGTTGAATGTTAAAAACTTTATCTCCGAAGCCACTTCCAGAAAAATTAAGCTCAACTGTAATATGAGGATAAAAAATGTGACTTTACTCCGATTTCCGTTTCAAGATTTTGAAGGAGTTGTAGGATTTCCAGCAGGAGCTGATCTGATGAAAATTCAAAAATTCGAATCTGAAATGAAAGACAAACGTTTTTTCAAAGTTTACATGATCTAACCGCTTTTTTATCTCTATATTTGTTCCGATTGATAGGAGACTCGATTCATTGCACTTTCAGCTATATCTGGCAAAGTTCATGATAACATCGGAACTTTTCCCGACAGCCGTCAGAAATTTGGCTGTCTCGACTTTGTCTGTCAGCAGCCGTGTAGGGACCATTGTTGCGCCGCAACTTTTCTTTTTTGTGAGTCAAAAAAATATCTAACTCTCCATCGCGTCTAGCATACAATTTTCATCAAGAATTAAGAGTTAATCATACACTTTAAGGCAACCTGGTCGCCAGTCCTACCATTTTTCGTACTTTTGATCTTTTCCACCATCGACTGGGTCGCCTGTCAAGTCCTCTTGCCGGAGACCAAAAACAAGAATTTGGAAAATAATCTCCCTTCCAAGGACAAACGGATATTCTACAGAAAGCACAGTTTGACCGAAAGCTGACCTTTTATGTTTTTTGGATTTGTTTTTTGATATAGGCTGTCCATGATAAAAGTTCTCGTAAGATTCTGCAGTTTTTCAAGGAAAAAATTTTGTTAGTAGAATCAGTTTCTTGAACTATTCTATCTTCGAAAACGTCGTTGTTTATGAGTAAAGGAAGAGGAAGAACAGTTCCTTCGCTGCTTTTGACAAACTTTGTGAATAGACAATGGGGTCCTTTCTTCGTATCGAAAAGCGAGTATGAAACAAAGAATTTCGCGCGCCATTGTGCATCTGTTTTGAATTGCGCGCTTTCCGAGATCTGGGTTCAAAAAATCACCGAAACGGGGAAAGATGAAATTTGATTTTCCAGAACAATATTTGATTAAACATATAAAAGAAAAAAATTTTTGAAAAAGCCAAACATTTTCTTACATAAATAAATTGCTATTTTTGAAGGTTTTTTAGACTCCCAAACAGCGAAAAAAACGCTCTGATTGGTCTATCTTTACATCTCACGAGCTCCATTCAGCATTATCTATTTATGGTAATGACTTTTTAAGCTTAAAAGTCTGAAGAGTGCTTCTAAAGCAGTTGGAAATTGTATCTTTCGGCCCAAGCTTTTTTGTGAAATTTAGACTTTTTTTATTTTTTAAAGAAAATTTCAAATTATTAAAAGAGATTCATAATCAATCTATCAATAAATCTAACATAATAGTGAGGGTTTCCAAAGTGAACACGTGAAGACGTAAGTGAGGCGGATATTGGTTAGAAATGAAGGCGGTTGGCAGGATCGTAGGCGAGTTTGTCGAGGTTTGGCGTGCAGGCGAAGTTGATCATCGGCGGCGGTCCGCACAGAAGGACGACGTGGTCTGATGCTGGCGGGTACAGGTGCTTCTGGAAAGAGTTATGTTGAGTTTCCTACTGAGTAATTTTTGGCATGAGAAAAATTCAAAAGCTTTCAAATTCGTTTTTTTTTTCCAAGGAAAAAGTCTTTACAAAAGTTTAATCCTAAAATGGGCAAATGCTTTTTTTCCAGCGTTGTTTTTTTATTGAAATAGATTTTTTTCATCAAAATCCTAGCTTTTTCTTGAACAAAAAGAACTTTCTTTCCAGAAACTTTTTTCCGCAGCTCCATATGTTTTTAGCTTATGTTAAAGCTTTTAAAAATTTGCAGAAAATCGAAAAAAAAAAGAACAGGAATTACCATCCGTCATATGAAATCAGGGGACTCGTACTGAGAAAAAAATCACCTGGATCATCTCGTCGTTGATGAAACCGGAAGAATACTTCCAGTCGTCCGTCGGCCTGTCAACCGTGTACCAAACGTTGAACCGATCCGCGAACTTCACGGCCAATGCATCGAGCTCTTCTCTGAAAAAGTAAATATCCCTGAATTTTTCTCAATTTCTAGAAAAGAGTCAAATGTTTTGAATTATTTCGAACATGCTCGAAAGTATCCAGAAAAAAATTTTTTACAGTATATTTTTTTAAATGTCAAACTTTTAATGAAAAAAACAAAGGGAAAAAAAAAGAAATGATCTATAAGGATTATTTATAGCTTTCTGTCTTAGGAATCCGTTGGAAAATCTTTGTTTCTACTCAATTATTCCTGATGTTTTTCATTCTACTTTATTTGGATTATATCGTACTCCAACGTCAATTTTTAAATTATAAATCAGGAGATTTCTGGATACCTCAACAAAATGTCCTCAGCCGTCTGGTTGGCGAAAAGCAGTTTCATTTGCGTTTTGTCCGTCTCATCTCTCAGAATCGCTTCGATGATCTAAGATAGAGAAATCTTGGATTGTCAAAATAACGACTTGATCAGTTTTGAGCATGATCCTATACAAATCATAACGAAGATGAAAAAAAGAGATATACCTATGAAAAAAAATGAAAAAAATGAATACGAGTCATTTTTTTAAATTTGAAAAGCGAACGAGAATACTTTTTAAAAAAATTAATTTTTACTTTTTTTGTAGTGATCCGGTTCTCTTCGGAACCCTTCATGATTTGAATTTTTTCTTACAGTTTTCAATTATTTCGAATGGCAATAACCATATTATTCAAAAAACAGAAAACCGGGAGAAAAAGTTGAACCTGGAGCATGGGCGTGATTCCGGTGCCTCCGGCAATCATCGAGATTCTTGAGAACGTCTTCTCCTTCGGTGGCGACTTCTTGTCGGCGCGAACCTTGAAATTTACATATTTTCCATGAAGATGACTTATTCAAAAAAGGGAGAGCTTGTAAATTTTGGAAAAAAGACGAGAAATCATAGAAAAAATGAACCCCAGAAAAGTGATGCTCGGAAAGAAAGAAACAAAAATTTTTGAAGGGTTTCCAACAACTTTTGGATTTTTCTTATAGTCGGGTCCTCATTAACAGAAATAAAAAAAAACGAAAACTACAAGGCTGGAAAAATAAGGGAGCGATTAGAAAATTAGAAAATTCTATTTCAATCTAGCGCGCTTTCGGAGCTCGGAGTACTTTTTCACGAAAATGTCCAAAATAGGAAAACTCTAGAGATCACTTAAGAGGATCCTCGAGGATTACTTGGAGAGGACACTTAGGAGTTTAATAAAATCACCTCTATGCAAAATTTTGCGTCTTGTAACCCCTAAAGTAGTTTATAGTGAAGAACCACACAGACCTCTAAAGAGGCCACTAAAGTTTAGCCACTTGAGTGGCCACTAATTCGACTACTGTTGTGGCCACTAAACCTTTTCGCAGAAAGTGAAAATGTACCTCAAATGTGCCGTGTCTTTTGTAGGTGATGAGGCCGGATGGACCACGAAAATCAATCTGAAAAATATCCTCATTATTTTAAACTTCTATTTGAAGATTTAACTTGAGTGGGAACTGAAAAACTCTTCAAAATCTGGCATTTAGCGATTTTGGCACTACATCTTCACGAAAAAAATATCGACTTCAATATGCTATCAGAAACTGACCGTGTCGCCAATCTTCATCTGTTCCAAGTGTTGGCTCATTTTTCCGCCGTCGGGGAACTTTGGATTCGTGTCGCGGAAATAAACCTATAATCGTATAATGAATGAAAATGAAGAACTTCTTTGGAGCAGACCTTGATCATCAACTCGACGAATCCCTTGTCCTCGTCGCTGGAAACCGGCGTGTAAGGCCGCACCACAAGCTTTCCATCAACCTTCAATGAAAAACTCGATTAACTAGAAGTCTTTTCAAACTTTCAACTAAATATTTCATAGATAAGATTTCAAGGAGTAAACATTTTCGTGATTTTTTTTTCATTTTCATAGAGGAATGCATAAAAGTTAAAAAACATCGAGTAGAGATTATCTGGAGCCATACATGTTTGAAAAAAGAAAGCGCAGAATATTCTAGGAAAAAAGGGATTAGAATTCGGCACTGTACTAATTATTTTGCGACTGTCATTGAGCTCAAATTTGCTTCCATATTTTGTTTCAAGTTGAAAAAGAAAATTCCTAATTTTATTTATTTTTGAAACGTATTTCACTGAAAATTCTTTCATTACAATCCCAATTCTGTTGAAAAGGAACCTTGGCGCTGAGGTAGACGTGTTGACCGGTGGGAAGGCCCAGGACGTGGTCCGGCGAGGGCAACTTGAACCGGAACTTCCTCGTGTCGTGGCTCACTGTGAACTTTTCGCTCAAAGGCAACGAGTACTTCTCATTCTCGTCCAGCAACGTCTTCTTGGCCTTCTGAAACAGGAAGGACGTGAAAAAGTAGAGGTCTTCCTTTTGTGTGGTTCCGTTCTTTTCTTCGTAGTTGTAGATCAAAGTAAACTGGTTGAAATTTACAAATGATTGCTATCCAACCATCTGAAAAGAATTACAGAAACCAGTTTTTTTTTTTCGAGAAAATTCTAATTTTGCCGTATGATATCAAGTTTCAACGCAGAGAAAAAATGAGAACGAAACTATTTTTGCTCTGAAACAATGTCCCCATATTCTCCATACGAACTAATGCTGACCTAACCAAATATTCCAACTTTTCGGCTTTAGAAGCAATTATAAAGCGTTATTTGAGATTCCGAACAAACAAAATTTCAAATAACAACTATTTGGGAAAATTGAGCGTGTTTAGAGTCGAAGAAACGGTAGCGGAATCATTTATTCTTTGTGGCTACAAATATGTCCAAGAAAATTTTTTCAAACAGATTATGAAAAGTCCTCAAAAAAGGGTTCACCTATATAATTCTATAAGTTTGACAGTCCCTCAAAGATGGAAATAAGGACAAGCACCGACAAAACATATACGTTAGGTTAAGCGCAAAAGTTCGACCGGTCAAGAGAAAATCGGGCCGCATCGACGGCGAATTCCTGACCGGTCATGTCATCCCGAGGAACGCAGGAACGCCTTTCGATTTCTTTTTCATGTTTCTTCAAATCGTTAAAAATAGATGGAAATGAGCAATATTTCCCTCATTCTCTCAAAAATCGTTTTTCCCATAAAAAAAATTTAAAAAAAAAATTACAGAGGAAGGACATAGAACATTCTTTTTGACATAATTTTTACCGTTTCCTATAGATTTTCAGGTATAACAGGAATCTAAAACAAAAAGAAACTATTTCTCTTCTGTTGAGTATGGAATCTAATGAAACTACTACTGGGGCAAAACGGGAAAAACCCCTCAAATTTCATTTTTAGAAAGAAAGACCTTCCAAATTTCCACAACAGGCCCTTTTTCTCACTCTTGCACTTTTTTCATATCCTTCAAAAAAATTCTGAAAAAGCAAAACATTAAAAAAAAACTTCTAAATCCAAAAAGATTCCAAAAAATCAAGAAGATTGAGAGAAGGTTTAAAAAAGAAGCTCGAAAGTTTTTTTCCCCGTCATTTTTTTGGAGCTTTTTAACAGAATCTTCCCAGATTTTTCCGAGGATTTTTTTTAAAAGAAACCTATATAAAAACTCTGAACTTTTTACTCGAAACTATCTCAAATATGAACTTTCAAATTTCAGACAAGTTTCAGTTTTTCAATTCCTTTTCTTTTTTTAAGTTGAGGAAAATCTTCTTTGAAATTTTTTTCGAAGCCTCCATTCAGTCATCAGGAAAAGCCTAATAATGTTCTATTCGAAGATTTTTTCGCTGGCTTTCTATTTTTTAGGCATATCTATTCAATCACAATTATTTTTTCTAATCATATTCCCCAGTTGAAACCTTGGGTTTGCTGCCGCAGATGCTGAAGGGACATCCGTTTTTGGATCTGATGTACAGAAAAATCGCCACACTGGAAACGACAACGACGGCGCCTGTGGCGAACAAAGTCGTGTTCTCCACCATTTTTACCCTTAACTCGAAAAATAACTTTGTTAAAAAATAAAAATTTGAGCGAGAAAAATCGATCGATAAACGTCTAATCAGCCCTCTGTTTACTGATAAGACAGGCGAAAAGTCACATCGCAGACCATTTGCTTGGAAACAAAAGGGAAATGCCTATAGAAAGGGACGTTTCAAGTGACTTCTTAAGCATATCAGACTACCGAGTTAAGGGGTCACTCTAGGGTACGTCACACCATTTTAGAGACAATCCTAAATTAATAATTCTTTCCTGCTCAGAATATTAACTAAAAAAATTCGACGCAATTTCAAAAAAAGAGGAAAGGGAAAAAAACTTCCAAATAACTTTCATTTCTTGAAAAAACGAGTTTTTCACATTTGCACGCGGACTCTGACCAAATTATCGACCTTGCACTACACAAAACCAGTCATTTTCTTGAAAAATATAAAGTTTCATGGTTCCAACCCCTAACAGTATCTAAAAGACATTGAGAAAAAAATATTTATTGAAAAAAAAACTACAGAAATCACAAAGAAGCAAAATATATTGCTCAATATCGCAGCAGTCCTTTAAGGAATTTAGTTTTTTGAAGAGAAAAATGTTCTTTGATTCTTCAAGTATCTGGTCATGTTGGAAGTAACACTCACGCGGTTACCTGAAATTCATAACTTATAAACGGAATTTTCATGTTAGTAAATTCAAAAAATGTGAAAAAATACGTTCAATCAATCTTTTTTTGATATGATAAATCTTGAAAAAAAGAGAACTTTTACAGTAATAGAGGAAATTCAACCATACTTAAAAACTTTAAATAGGGTCTATGAAGTAATAAGCGATCTATGAAAGAAAAAAAAAACAGAAAATTATCTGTTCAGAGGCCGCATGGAATAATGTGGGAAATGATACATTTTTCCTCTCTACTTTCATGTAAGCTTTCCGTAGAGAAAAAAAAGAAACAAACCTCGCACCGAGCACGCACTGAGACGCATTGGTCGCAGAGAGATGAAGATCGCTACGACCTGCGCTCGGTCCGGACATGACATCTTCCAATCGAAGCATGACTGGACGAAATTGACAAAGACGGCGGAACGGCGAATGGTATGGCCGTTGAGAGAAGTTAAAAAGAAGCGAACCAATAGAGCTAAAGTCGAAAAAAGAAGGAATTGAGAAAGAGAGGAAAACTACATAGAAGAATGGGAACGTGGCTACAACCATTAGAGAGATGAATAGAACCGAGAATGAGTGTGTGAAAGTGAAACTAAGAAAAGATAATAAGAGAGGGTGAAAGGTCCCCTGGCCAACCATCGCCGCCCGTGGTCAATAATCGTTGAAGTCAATGTCGTCGAGTTCATCAGCCAAATCCTGGAGCTGAAGGTCTACACGATAGCGTAGAAGACCTGAAAAGCAGAAATAAAACAATAAAAGAAACGAAAATGACCTCCGATTCCTCCGAAGCCTCGAACGAACTGCGCTCCTTCTTGTGATTTGTCAGTGACGATTTCGAGAGCTGCTCCGAAAGTCTGCAAGAACTTCAATTTCTTCGCTTTTCACAACTATCTTAACCTTGTAGTTATTGGCGAACCATTCCAAAAGAGGCATCGTTTCGATTATTTCCAAGTCTTGGCCACTTTCTTGGTCCACGAAATGCGATTTGTCTTTCTTCCTCGTTCGGCCGGAGATTCACTACTATTTCAGCTGGAAACAATTTTTTGAAATCTTCCATACTTTAAAAACTCCCACCTCCATTGGCGTTCTTCAACTTGTACCGAGTTATATCCAAATTTTCCCAGCAAATCAAAGATTCGACGGCGCCCATTTCCAACGTCGAAAAGGTGTCTTTCACGCCGAAAACATACTTTCCAGTGTCCTAAATAAGTTTATCCAATCATGTTTCTTCCAGGTCTAACGAACCTGGCAAATTTCGTCAAAGTACGCTCCAATCATTTTCTTTTCCTGAATGAAGTTCACTTTGGATAAAGTGTCGGCGGCCAATTCGATAGCTTGATTGAAACCGTTCTCGCCACCGTAGGCGATGTCCACAATTTTGATTATTTTTGCTTGGAGACGCTGAAAAACATGAGAGATGGACGAAACTAAATTTTTCACCTTCGTTTCGTTTTTCTTGTTTATGATATAGCTTATTCACGGCTGGCTTGAACCATTGACAAAAGGGTCCTGCCACGAAAAGAGAAGAGACAGTGCCTGGTTGGTGGAGAGCGCAGACAAGCCACGCCTCCTAGCGTCCCAAGTTAGCCGTGAATCGGCTATACTACACAAAACCATTAAAAAATTTTTCAAATTGGAATAATTCAAAATTTACGCCGTACAGTTCCTAGATAGAGAAGCAGCTGATCGTCAGAATGTTCAAAAATCGTCTACTAGTTTCAAAAGTAAGGCTTCTACGCGCCGTTTCACGTACCGAAAACAGTGGAAATCAAACGACACAGTTCTGCACGAAACCTCTTCGCCCTTTTTTTCGCAACACATTAACAAATCGATAATACCTGATCGAACATGTCGGATTGGCCGAGTACAGTTTTGAAGTCTGCGCTACCGGCCAAGACGATTCCTGTGACGGCGACCTGAGCCATAGGACGTTTTCCAAGTTCACTAACAGATATATAACCTTGTCCTGCTTGATAAACATTTCGACAGCACATTCGGCGACTTTGCGCACATAATTGTGCCGCTTTTCATTACGAAGACGAGCAAAACGAACTGCAGACTGTCCACCACGACCTAAAACAATTCAATAAGCTGATTAAGAACACATTTCATGTAACCGTGCTTCTTTGGCAAGTCGACAGTAAACTTATGAAGAACTTCTCGAGCATTTCCTTGAAGGGTACCGAACAAGCAGCCGTTACCGTCCATGATGATGAATCCGAAGATGTGATCGTCGGCCAGCATATCTTTAACAATAAAGCTGAGAAAGAATCGTCGAGGCTCAGAAAAAAACCTTGTAAAGCCTTGGTATCGAACTTGTTGTCGCAAATGTACGAGAAACTTTTGATAGGCTTGATCGGCTCGAAGTCGATATTAACTCTTTTGTCTTTTCCATCATCCGTCGTGATGGTTCCGCAGTACACGACTAGTCCGTTGGGTGGAACTAGAAAAAAATTATTCGAAATTTCATCTACTCCATAGAAGCTTGATCAACCATATCATCATCATTATGAAAAAAAAAGAAAAAAGAGTTCATCGAAAAATGAATAAACGATTATTCCCTAATTTCTGATTCTCTACCTTATCTGACACAATATTTTAAAGAACCGCAAAAAAATCATTATTTTTTTGAGCCCACTATGTACCTTTTTCCTTCTAGGTCAATTCAAAAATGAGATAAGAATTCAAATATTATTTCACTCAGAACGACTCTCACAGAAAGAACTACTCGCTGCCAATGATTTATGGTCGGCTTTGTATTTTCCAATATGCTTCTTTTGTGATGCTCAACCTTTTGTGTAGAGCTTCAGACGTGCTTGTACAGAAGTGATGGCTCCAAGAACAGAAAGTCTGTTAACTCGGGATTTAATATTCGACGCGGTTCCGAACTCGACAGTCAGCATGTTTTGGACCCGAGAAAGCTGCTCTTTTGGTGGAATAATCAAGGAAATCATGGAGGTTCCGTTTCTAAACACCTTTTGCGTCATTTCATCACCTAATTATTCATGCTCACCCTCTTGCGAGCTCCAAACTTTTGATGAGGCGCTTGATTTTCCATATTTCGACATTCCTGTCCACATCATCGTCAACCGTCGCATTTGCAGCCGGTGAAGCGCTCATTTTTCAAGTTTTAGCACGGAAAACGTGCTCAGTATCGTCTTAAACTGAGAAAATGAGTGGTAATCATTTGAAACGCTGAATTTAGTGCCGTGTTCAAAGTTGTTTCCCGCGAAATGTAAAATTATCTCTGCCTCTCCAAAATTTGCTCATCTTTTTCACTCTCTGGTGGCTATTTTAGATTCCACGGAACCACTTTGAACACGGCATAGAATAAAAAAGAAAGGACATGACGTATGACTCATAAGTTATAAACTTTAAGAAAAAAAAAATACAAATATGAGTACTGAGGAAGCGTTTATCTAAGCATGTTATTGACTGAATCGAACTCATATTTATAGAAAGAAAAGAATTGCGCAGTTGAGAGCCAAAATTGCTTATAGTTGGTCAATGTTACGTAACACAACGTCATCCGCAGGAAACGGCGTCGCTCAAACATAGGAACGTTCAAATTCAACGTGCTTTGAAGATAAGCAAACGATAAGAATTGTTGGAATTTTTAGAGATAGTTCAAAGATAAATAAACAACTGGATTAAAAAAAAAATTAAAAAGGCCTGAACTCATTTAAAAATCGATAAATTGGAAAATCAAGAAGAATTCAAAGAAAAAGTAACAGCTCACAGAAATGAAATTTTATCAAGCGCTTTTCTTACAAGATAGTTAGTTTTCCTTTTTTTTCGTTGTTTAGTTTTTTTCTTTTGAAGTCACGTTCTATAACACCTATGGAAGAAAATATTTATTTTAGAATGTATAAAGCAATGAGAGAATTTTTTCGTCTACAGATGAAAGAAACTAATTTTTTGGAAAAACAGCTATTTAAAGTAAAATAGATGACCATTTTTTGACATTTCTCAATTTTTATAATGTAAAACATTCGGTTTCGATGCAGATTTGCGTCACATTTCGAAATAGCTCGTAACATGTGGCTTATTCTTTATCCGATTTTGAAATAAGGAAAACCTCACCTTCTTTTTGTTGAAGAGGCAGCCGTTACTCGATTCGATGAACATGACCAGGCAGTACAAAAACATGGATCTTTCGGCGAACCTTTTAAACTCCATTTTCCTGTCCTGAAACCTTCCTTATTTTTTCATCTCGAGAGTTCAGCGAGAACAGAAGTCAAAGTAGCCAAATATTTTCGAACCATAATATTAGACAGAAAAAACTGCGATAAGTTTTTTTTTATATTGACGTATTCACGAAAGGCATCGATCAAAAAATGAAAATTCCTTAAAATCGGAAAAAAAAATTTTTTTAGATATAAAATATAGATAGATAGATATGAAAAATAACTTGTTTTTTTAATAAAAAGAGCGCACCCATGGGCACTCCGATTCCGATGTAAAGTATAGCTTCTTTATGGTTGAAACCCTGAAATGCAACCAAGAACAGTTTAAAGAAAAAATGATTTATAAATAGAAACCACAGAAAGCAACAACAGTTGAATCACCTAACCAACTGATATCCTTTGATCAAATAACAACAATCCTTCAATAAATAGTTAAATTAAACCGATGAAAACAAGCGAAATTTTCATTCAAGGCTGAAGTCACAAGAAAGAAAAGCCATAAGTGCCCGAAATTAAGAAATTTGAGAAACGAGTCGAATGTGGTTTTTGAAAGAGAAAGTCGGAATCAGTTGATTCTTCAAGTGTTGCGGAAAGTATCTGACCACCTCGAAAGAACCACCCGCAATGTAACCTGAAACTAGGCTCGTTTGAAAAAACAATCACGGACATGAAAATCCTCCATGTGAAATTTAGAAAAAAAAAGTTAGCCAGGAATTTTGCTATCCACCATGCTTGTACTTTCAGAATGAAAAAAACTGTAACGAACCTCGCACCGAGCACGCACTGAGACGCATTGGTCGCAGAGAGATGAAGATCGCTACGACCTGCGCTCGGTCTGGACATGACATCTTCCAATCGGAGCATGACTCGACGAAATTGACAAAGACGGCGGAACGGCGAATGGTATGGCCATTGGGGGGTTGAGAGAAGTTGAAAAGAAGCGAACCAATAGAGCTAAAGTCGAAGAAAAGAAGGAATTGAGAAAAAGAGGAAATCTACATAGAAGAATGGGAAAGTGGCTACAACCATTAGAGAGATGAATAGAACCGAGAATGAGTGTGTGAAAGTGAAACTAAGAAAAGATAAAAAGAGAGGGTGAAAGGTCCCCTGGCCAACCATCGCCGCCCGTGGTCAATAATCGTTGAAGTCAATGTCGTCGAGTTCATCAGCCAAATCCTGGAGCTGAAGGTCTACACGATAGCGTAGAAGACCTGAAAAGCAGAAATAAAACAATAAAAGAAACGAAAGTGACCTCCGATTCCTCCGAAGCCTCGAACGAACTGCGCTCCTTCTTGTGATTTGTCAGTGACGATTTCGAGAGCTGCTCCGAAAGTCTGCAAGAACTTCAATTTCTTCGCTTTTCACAACTATCTTAACCTTGTAGTTATTGGCGAACCATTCCAAAAGAGGCATTGTCTCGATTATTTCCAAGTCTTGGCCACTTTCTTTGTCCACGAAATGCGATTTGTCTTTTTCCTCGTCCGGTCGAAGATTGAGCACTTGCTCCTCTGAACCATCGTTCCTGACTTGCTAATATCACAAATTCCTACCTCCGTTGGCGTTCTTCAGCTTATACCGAATGATATCCAAGTTTTCCCAGCAAATCAAAGATTCTACGGCGCCCATTTCCAGGGCTGTCAAAGTATCTTTCACACCGAAGACGTACTTTCCAGTATCCTATAACAACTTCGCTTGTTGTCCGATTTTTCGCAGTAGAAAAAACCTGGCTGATTTCATCGAAATATCCCCCGATTAGTTTCTTTTCTTGGATGAACTTCACATTGGCCAAAGTATCGGCGGCCAATTCAATGGCCTGATTGAAACCATTTTCGCCACCATAGGCAATGTCGACAGTTTTGATCATCTTTGCTTGGAGACGCTGAACAAAAGAGTTTCAAAAAGTTAAACAAAAAATTTCACCTGATCGAACATATCAGATTGACCCAATTCCGTCTTGAAATCAGCGCTACCAGCCAGAATAAGTCCAGAAACGACGACCTAAGTAGAAAAAAAAGTTACTCGCAAACTAAAAATCATAAATATAACCTTGTCTTGCTTGATGAACATTTCCACAGCACATTCGGCGACTTTGCGCACATAATTGTGCCGCTTTTCATTACGAAGACGAGCAAAACGAACTGCAGACTGTCCACCACGACCTAAAACAATTCAATAAGCTGATTAAGAACACATTTCATGAAACCGTGCTTCTTTGGCAAGTCGACAGTAAACTTATGAAGAACTTCTCGAGCATTTCCTTGAAGGGTACCGAACAAGCAGCCGTTACCGTCCATGATGATGAAACCAAACTTGTTATCGTCCGCCAGCAATCCTGAGAATAAATTCATGTAGAAGAGCTTGAAATATGCGGCGAACCTTGAAGAGCTTCAGTGTGGAACTTGTTGTCACACAAGTACAGTGAAGTATTGATGGGCTTGAAGGGCTCGAAATCAATGTTCACTTTCTTTTCTTTGCCTTCATCTGTTACGATCGTTCCACAATACACAACAAGTCCGTTCGGTGGAACTGAAACAAATACCATCGTTTCGTTGAATAAATGTTTGATCGAAAAATTGGGTTGAGATATACTCGAAAAATGAATCACCCTTTGTGTAAAGCTTCAATCGCCCTTGTACAGAAGTAATGGCTCCAAGAACAGAAAGTCTGTTAACTCGAGACTTGATATTTGAAGCGGTTCCGTATTCGTCAGCAAGCATTCTTTGAACTCGGGAAATCTGATCTTTCGGAGGAATGATCAAAGAAATCATAGAAGTTCCGTTTCTAAAAAAAAAAAGGAAAAATATTAAAATAAAAAGCACACTAACCCTCTTGCAAGCTCCAAACTTTTGATGAGCCGTTTGATTTTCCACATTTCGACGTTCCTATCCGCGGCATCGTCGACCGTTGCATTTGCAGCGGGTGGAGCGCTCATTTTTCAAGCTTTGGCCCAAAGGACGTGCTCAATATTACCTGAAATGATTTGAAATCAAGATTGAAAAATTATAAAAGGAAAATACGGAAATAAGCGAAGGAGTATAACATACAACTGCTCTCAAGTTTTTATCGGCGTGCCAAAGTTGCTCAGAAACAGTACCTTTTTTGGAGCATTTTCGATACGTTTTAAAAAAAATTCTTTTTTTCAAATAAACACGTACTGAGAAAAAGACAAATCTTTGTGTGTAGACTTTGAAGCCAAACCATCTTTCAAACTCCGTCCCTTATGCGTAGATCAAACCAATCAGAGAGTGAGCCATCCACATAGTGTTGTTAGGGGCGGAGTTTTCTGCTTAACATTCAAAATCTGCACAGACTATATGATTGCTCTGGATAGAGCGCCAGTTGGCAGAAAAATGTAAATAAAGCGCAAAAGTGGAACGTGAAAGTTTTTTTAAAAATATGGCAAAGCTGTGTTTTTCGATAAATTTCGGAACGATGGTGGAATTTTTTAAAGATTTTATTTTTTTAGGAAACGGCTAGTTCACATCCTCATTTTTCCTAATTAAGGGAAAAATAATTAGTCATTGACTACGACTTTTTTCGGTGGCATATGAAAACTCATTGAAATTTAAAAAAATTACTGAACTTGGAACGAAAGTTATAAAAAAATTAAAATTAAAATTATTTTTTTCAAATTTTTGGCAGGTTCGTAAACTGCTCCAATACTGTAGGAAACAGGTTATGTAACGAAGAGACGTCTTTTTCATTGGTTCAGACTTTCCGCTATCTTCGAAAATTCCGTTTTTTTTTCCATTCGCAAAACTGTATTTTTTTTTAAATTTTTATTCATTATTGTTGAAATTGTAGTTTTCGGTCTGCAAGAAGAAGGAAATATTAGCGAGAATGTCGGAAGGTCGGTTTTTCTGTGAAGTATAAGGAAATGTTGTTTTATTCAGCAGTACCTTCAAAAAATTCGGAAAAGAAGGCCAAGGTCTTCAATTTGGAAGAAATGCTCGCTCAAACACGCATGGTTTGTCTTTTCCGCAACGTTAAAATTATTCGATCTGTTTATTTAGAACATTTCAAGGAAAAATGAAGAGAAGGCCTACGATGAAATGTCAAAAAGTAGCACATCTTTAGCAGAATCTCAGCCGTCAACCAGCTCATCAGCAATCGCATCAGGTGAAGAAAACGACGACAGTGACGGTATGAAACATTTAGTCAAATTCAGGAAGTATAATATTGAATTCAGACGACTTCTTGCCGATGCTCCCGCCTGGTTTCAAGACAGATAAAAGCGTCATTGATGAAGACGCAAATGTTGACGAAGATGGATCGGACAGCGATTTTGATGAAGGAGAGGCGATTTCTATCACAAGGTTGATTCCAGCTTCATGTGAAGCTGTCATAAATCACGGGAAAATGACGGTAAAACCATTATTGGAAAGAAAATGAAAGCTTTCTTAAATTTGAGGTGACTGCGTTACGAGCTGAACCGGCTGGTGTTCGATTTGCATCCGGCGGCCTTGATTACTACGTGAAATATTTCGACTTTCAAAAGATGGACATGTCTATGAAGGCGGATCGCGAGCTTCTACCTGCGGAAAGGTTCAAAAATACCTAATTTTGCTTTTTTGTGTAATAAAGAAGTTTTCAGTCACGTAATTCACGCCATGGCTTTTTCTGCGAACGGAGAGACATTGGCGGTGGCTAGTGGAGAATGTATCATCAGATTGTTGGATCGGGCAGGGAAGCAATGGGCCGAAACAGTCAGAGGTGGATCTTGCTGGGATTTTAAAGGAGAAAAGAAGAGGCATACTAGAAATTTGGAAGGGAGATTTAAAACTTATACATCTTCAAATTAAAAAAAGGAGTTTTTAATAGAATGTGCTACAGAATTACTAATCCTATGAGCTTTTTTTTGTCTTTCCTTTGAACCTCGAACAGAGATTGGTGGAAGCAAAAAATACTTTTCGCATTTCTCATTCTTTGATATGGCTTCACAAAAAAATGAACTTTGAGTTTTTTTGTACAGTCCAAACAATTGTTTTTCACCCGCTGAAAGACGAGAAACATCATTTGAAAAGAAAAAAAGTGCATAATTTTTTTATCTTTATAATCAAAAAAAACGATTTATGTGAAAAATCCCTTAATGGATTCGCGGTTCACAATTTGAAAATTTAGTTTCTTCAATCTCTGCCCTCGAACCTCTAGATAGCTTTTTTCGAATAGAAAATATCGCTATAACGCCCAGTTCATTGTAAATAAACAAGAAATCTCCCAGGCGATCAATATCTCGTGGATCTGAACAACACGAAAGGCCACACTGCGGCGGTAAATTGCTTGGAATTCAATCCGATCGACAAAAACGAGTTCATTTCTTGCAGTGACGATGGGTTCGTTTTAATTGTTATCCGAGTTCTCATAATTCTATTCCAGAACCCTCCGCTTGTGGACTCTCAAAGACTACAAAGAGCTTACAAAGTGTATAAATAAGCACTACAAGGTGACTCTCGCCCTATTTTGATTATTTTTATTTCGGTTTTCAGGTGATAAAAACGAAAGGAGCCAACGGGAAGCGGGTGAGCCCGCAGGTCTGCGCCTATTCTCCCGACGCGAAGTGGATCGCCGCCGGCTGTGAAGACGGTTCCATTCAAGTTTGGAAGTATGGATCTCTTTATGTGGGTTTTCATTTTCGCTTGATAATATTTTTGAATAGGTTATCAATTTCTACTTTTTTTTTTCATATTTTCTCTTATTTTCAGTACAATGCACACTTATTTGCTATATATGTTGTCATGATTTTCAAATCAAAATGGAATGGCCAACTGTTCCATTTCCATGAATTATTGATAATTTTCTTCATTTCAATCCATCTTAATTATTTCTTTCTTTCTTGATATGAAGTCGATTCCGATTGTTCAGTTTTTTAAAGAGCTTAATGTAACTTAACGATAAAAAAGGCTTTTCGTTGCGAGAACTTCCCGAAATTTCCATTATTCTTCTAAAAACCCCAAAAAGCAGCTGTAAATTTTCTATCGTCGAATCTTTAAAAAAAAATTCAACTTTTTTGGTTCTCATTTTTTGGAAAATATCTTCTCTCTTTTTTCTGTCTACGGTATTGAAACTGAGTACAAACAAACTCAATTCATCTTTTTTAAATAAATTCTTGAAAATTTGGCTTTGAAGTAAAGAAAAAAAAAGTTAAGATATATACTCACTCCTTAGAAAATGTTCTTTTGGCTCTCTGAAATCCAAATTTTCATGATTTTTAGGTGAATGTTCAATACCTGGTGCGAAAGGCCCACAGTGGACCGGTCACTTCTTTGGCCTTCTCTCCGGATTCCAAGAAAATCCTTTCCCGAGGGCTGGACGACACTCTCAAGATGTGGTCTATGTCAAATAATAAAACGCCGTTACTCGAGAAAGGGAATCTTTGCAACGGGTTCAAAAGGTTTGTTAAAGCAAAAACTTGTCGCTGTGGTGTTTTCGTAGGACTCTCGCGTTGAATTTGTAGAATACTAGTAAAAAATGGATAGAATTTGACAAATTCTTGAAAAGCAGTGGTTTTTTCGGGTTGGAGAAGTTCTTGTTGTTAACTCCCACTCGATTGATCTTTGAAAATCGAAAACAAGTTCAAAAAAACTTGCGGCTGTCATTCAAAATATGACCAAATTTGAATGTTCTTATTTTTTTTCCCCTTTTCATATCATCAAATTTCAGTACGGACTGCGGCTTTTCTCCTAGAGCCGAACTCGTTTTCACCGGAACTTCTTCTCCGAAGCCCGACGTCCCTGGACAACTTTTGTTCTTCAATCCGGAGAACTTCGATCTGGTCTACAAGATCGACTATCCTAAAAGCGGTACCGTTTCCTCTTGTTGTAGAAATATTTCAAAAAACAGTTACAAGGGATAGTTCTAATAGAAATCAATTTCAAGTTTCAGTTGTCATCAATTATTTTATTTCGCTTTTAACGTCACAAAATTGAGAGAGTAGGGGCTGAAAAAGCGTTTTTGAAAACACTTTTGACCATCTCAAAGTTAAAAAACTCAGTAGGAAAAAGTTTTTTCTCACATTCTTATTTCTATAAAGCACTTTATTCGATGAGTCTCTAAATAACGACCAAAAGGGGGCATGGTTTTAGGGAAGGTGGTCGGAAACGGTAAAATGAAGGCAAAAGTAGCTGATAGTTAAGAATTTAGGATATTTGGAGGAGTTTTCTGAAACTTCAAAACTTATCTTGTAGGTTCATCAGGAAAGAAGTTATTTGTTCACAGAATTTCAGAATCTGATCGTTTTCCACTCACTTCTTTCCTATTCAGTCGTGCACACGAGTCCACTGGCACCCGCGACTCAACCAGATTCTGGTGGGCCTTTCCGACGGCTCGATTCGCGTCTACTACGACCAGAACATGTCGAATCGCGGCGTCATGCAATGCGTCACCAAGCCCGTCAAGAGGAATCGCGCCATGGAGGTCGTTCGCGAGGATATGGTTCTTTCTCGTGAGTTCAAGGCAAAAATGGTGTATTTAAAAGCGTTTGTGAGGAGTAGGAAGTTCAAGGAAGTTTCTGTCCGAAAAGAAATATGTGACTTGAAATCAGTTTATCTAGATCTTTCAGTCCCAAAAGCACTTTAAATTTGAGAAAAATCAATATTATTGTGTTCTAGATCTTGGAAGACCTAATCGGTCTCATGAAATCTAACGAAATTGAAGTTTTAAAGAGTTTTCTTAAGAAATAACGCATTTTTCAAAGTTTTATCATTTTTTGTAAAGCTGTAATTTTGAGTAAAACGATGAGCAATGCATTTTTATAATAATCAGTATTTTTGAAAAAAGATAACTTCACGCCTCTTCTGATCTTTTGAAGAAAGGCAGTGGTTCACTTTTTTTAAAACTATAAATTCCAAAAAGAGAAGCGTTAAAAATGAGCCTTTTCCCGTTTTTCAGAAGATTTAAATACAAGAAAAGTTATAGGAAAAAGCTTGATTTTTCTGAAATCACTTGTCATGAAATTTACACTGCTCTCTTTAAAAAAATATATTTTTTTCAGCTCTCAGTTTGGAGATGTTTCCAACCGCGTGGAGAAGAAGGCGAAGAGAAGGAGGTTCGCTTCATTTTCTATTAATCAACATGGAGAATATTTACTATTAACATTTTTTACTATTCTACATGGAAAATATTTGTATTTTTGGCTTTTTTCGGGGCACTGTTATTGATATTCGAATGTTTTCAGGTCACTCCGTGGCGTATCAAAAAGTATTTGCGAATGCAAGACAACAAACTGCGACCAGAGTTCCGCAAGCCGGCCGACATGCCCATGGACGGCAAAAGTGCCAATGGACGAGGTTATCTATCGAAAAAAATAATTGTGGAATTAAAAAAATAGGACTTTCTCGAAACTTCTTGAAATGTTTCATTTCTTAATGAAGGAAACTTTAAATTTCAATGATGAACTGGAAAAATAACCTTCGAAAGTAGATTTATCCCTTCAATTTTTATTGCAAATCTTGAACATTAAAAAAAGTAGCTAAAAAAATATTCAGAGTCGATCTTCTATCTTTCTAAAAAAAGTAACGTATCTATTCATCTTTCATCGGAAAAAAATAAAATGTATGTTGAAGTATTTTTCCTTGGAATTCGAAACTTTGGGGGTTTTACTTCATGAAAATGAAGAATAAGAGAAAAGCACAGAAATGAGAGAATATTTTTCCTAATTATGGCTCTGAAAATTATTTTTTTAAAAGAAAAAAAAAGAAGAATTTTTTTCACTGATCACTTTTTCGGAATATCGAGCTGGATTTTTAAAAAAATCATAGTCTAAAAACTTGCAATAATCACTGGTAATTGTATTCATTCTTCCAGTGGCCGCCAGTGGTGGAACGTTGCATTCGTACTTGGCCAAGCAGATCGGAACGGCGAGAAATAAAGAATTCCTCCAGGACACCGACGTCCGCGCCAGTATTCTGCGACACGCCAAGGATGTAAGCCATTTTTTTGTTGATAGAATTAGAAAATTTAGAGAATAATATAGTTTTTTGAAACATGTTTACTGAAAAATCTTGTATGCTATATGATCCATCGGGCTTCTTAAAACAGTTTAACCTCTTTTCTCTCTCTTTTCTCTCACCTGCGCTCTCATTAAAACATCTCGGACTTCGGAACGCAAAACCGGACGTTTCTGAGCATTTCTAGTGACTACTTTTCAGCGGCGTCAAAACTCTTATGTGATCGCAAAGAAGTTTTGAAATGTGAAAATTTTGGTTTTTCAGGCCGAGGAGAACCCGATGTACATCGACAAGGCCTACCGAAAGAATCAGCCGAAGAAAATCTTCCAAGAAACGACGACGGCCCCAGAAGAAGAGGAAGAAGACCAGGAACTCCAACCCCTTTTCAAAATCCCTCGCATGGGCTGATTCCATTGTTATCTCGTTAATAAATTATTTTATCCCTCTTTCGTCGACTAAAAACGCCAAGTAGTTGTTTTCGCGACATGGTGATATTTGCGAATGAACTTGCTACACTCTAGCTTCGCTATCTTATCATTTTGCGAGTCTTGCAGCGTGGCTATTTCTCGATTCTTCTCTCTTTGTGATTAGTTGGATTTTTCCTCGGTGCTTCTTTGAACGAAGGTTTTCGATGTTCGAGATAGACATGCCACGGTTTTCGTGATAAAACTCTATACTTTCATCATTTACCGTAAGATTTTTTGGCGGTCTTTATGTTTCTAGTGTAAAGCGGTTCAGAAAATTTTCAAAGCGTTAAATTGAGAAAAAAAAACCTGTAAATGGAATTATTGAATAGAAGTTTTCCTATTAAAGAAGGTTTCTTAGTTCTCATCCAAAAGTTCACAACTGGATGTCTGAGGCACGGTTGAGGCTTTGAGGATCTTTTTCTTACTTTTCAATGATTTTTTCGGCCAATTTTGGTCCGACTTTTCCAAGCAATCTTCTAATATTTTATTCATTCATTCAAAATTTAGTCGATAATGAAACTTGAAAATAACAGTTTTCTTCATTTTCACTCAAATTCAAAGCATAATTGGAAAGGAAGTAGATTTGGAAACGAAAAAGAAAAGAGGCGGTCCCTGACCTTGATCATTGAGTCTGTGCACTTGTCTCGACGGTTGTTTTCCCTTCTTTTTTTTCTCCATTTTTTCCAGGCCCTCCTATTTGCTTTCAAAATCATTTTGACTCGAACAAACTTTTGTCGCTCTGAAATTGGTGCCGATTCTTCTAGTCTACTTACTTCGGACGAAATTTGAGTCTAGTTTCAATTAGGCTAGTGAATTATCGAATTAGAAACATTAGGCGTTGAAATTTTGTCTGAATCAAGTTGAGAAAGGTGTCTTATTACGGTTAAATGTTTCCTTGGAGTAAGGTTACTGGTGTAGATCTTTTCAAACTCAAACTTTTTGGGTTAACCTTAAGGGAAATCCTAACTCTGAGAGTAAGAAAATATTAGTATAATTAATTTTTTCATGTACTAATTTTAAATAAATCAACAATAATATCCGATTTCAACCCCTTGAAGTGTTTTCAGTTCAATATCAACTTCGGGTATTTATTAGTTTTGGCTCTTATTTTTCCCGTTAATCAGTTTTTTTTTGCCGTTCACACTAGACTAGACCGATCAAATTCCCCTATAAATAACGAAACGAATAAGCTTTCCCGGGGTTTCTCTCGACGATCAAATTAATCTATGATCGATTCCTTTCTTGGCGATCCCTTCGAATACAAGGAGATAAGCGCGTTCTTCGAGAATATGTGTCGAGAACGACTTGTTTTCTGTTTTCGCTCTTTCTTTTTTTTTGATAATTTGGAAATTCTCCTTCCAAGTATTTCTGGTTTTAACAAAGGTTCCGCCTGTTTTCGACGACTTCTATCAGGGGAATTAATTAGTAGAGAATTTCGAATATCTTTAAACTGACATCAGAAGTTTTCTTTTTAAAGATCGTAATGTTTTAGTTTTCGAGTAATATTTTTTTTGGCAATTGATTAAATCGCTAGAACTTTTTTTCTATTAGTTATTTGATTTATGGAAAAAAAATATTAGATTTCTATACCAGAAAAACATTATTTCAAAGAACATTGAAAAATAACTTTCGGTTTCAATTGGTCTGTAAAAATATTCATTTTTTAAAATACTTCTCGAGTAGAGAATTTTTTTCCTCACACGTGGTTTTCTTTTTTTCCGGTAAGTTTTTTTCGCGCAACGTTCAAATTCGACGAAGAGAGAAGAAAACCCTATCAAATGATTGCGTGGTGTAGCCTAGAATCATTAGTAAATAATAATCGAAAAAGAAGACTTTTTTTAGAAATTTTCAGAATAAATGCACTTCAACGTTTGAAAAAAATAAAAGTTATAGCCTGAATTTTCCGCTTTTTTTCCGCCTTATCTCAAAAATGAAAATTTTTTTAAAATTTGAGATAACTCAAAAAAATCTCGGCAAATTTTTTTATAGTACCAAAATAATAATATTTCTTCATTTTTTTCTGATCTATATTCTCGAAAAAAGCCAACAGTTCATTGTCCAATGTTTGCTCGTTGGTGTGTAGCCTAGACTACGGAAAAATGAATTTCGCCCTCCCGACGCGTTTCTTGCTTGAACCGGTAGTCTTGACCAGACCAATACGGCCAAACTCTCGGTTTCTCCAAAACTTTTTGCTTTCCTTGATTTATATAATTACATCTCTCAAACCTAGTTATTTCTTCCACATTCGGCTTTTTTTGGCGGAAAACAAAAATAAGTTATTGCCTTTTCTTGAAAAATAATTCTCTTTTTTTATTCATTTTCGTTTTGGTAATTCGTTCTTAATACCACTGAAAACATGATTTGGAATATGTTCAGCTCAAAAATCAATAATGTAGTGTTAAAAAGGAATGACCAACTCCAAACTTATCAAGGCGAGAAACCGCTCTCAGTTTTTTTTTTCAAAATTTTAAAAACTTGGACTTACTTAGATTTATGAACAATTTATAGGTCATACTGATTATTCAGGTAAATTTTAAAAATAGAGGCAATTTTCCAAAAGTTTGGCCTATACTGTGCTGGCATCAACTTTTTCCAGTGATTTCATTCTGGCCACGCCCACTGGACGGTCATTCCAAGTCTCTCAAATGTTATAAATGAACTCCCGTTGGTTCTGATGTTATTCTTCCAACTCAGAGTCCCTTTTTTGGAGTAACTGCGAGATTTATTGAGAGAACAAGCCAGATTCAAGTTTGATTTTAAAGGAGTTCGTGTAGGATTTTAAAGTGTTTTTTAACCATAAAAATCCGTTCTTTTTCCAAGCTCTAATAGCTCTTTATCCATACACTTCTGAATAAAACCAAAATTGAATTTTTTTCAAATTTCACCTCAAATTTTTGGAATTTTTCCTCATTCACTTCCTATTAAGAATGAAAAGAATCCTCTGAAAAATAAGTTCCCATACGTTTCAACCAAACAACGTCAACAGAATAATGTTGCGTTCCGCGTCAACATCAACGACCATTTTTTAAAAGAGACGCGTTTCAAGACCAACAAAAATGTCTTCTTCCCTCACGTCACCTACTCCTTCTGTTAAAACTGATTCAAGCGTTACTGATTCGCCGCCACAGCAAAAAGAAGTTCCTTTTTGTGCTTATTTGTCGATTTCGCCCTGATTTTTCGTTTTTAGGGCCTAACTTTGTTTATGGCGCTTTTTAAGATGGCGAATTGCAACGCTGTTGTGGAGGCCCAACGAGCCTTTTTCCGTACCGGCGAGACCAAGTCGGTCAAGTTCCGGAAGCAACAGCTTCAGACGTTGAAAAAGTTCGTCGAAGAGAACAGACATGAGCTCAACGACGCCGTTTATCGTGACTTGAGACGGGTGAGTCTGAAAGTTGAGATAAATTGAAAAGCAAAGAATATTTGGTCAATACTCTAGAAGAAATAATGAGAAAGAGAAGTCATACTGAGTTTGAAGTTTTAAAATGAAATTGATGATAAATGCTTCAGGCTTGTGCAGAAAATCGAAAATTCAATTTTTTCGAGTGAAATTTGAAAATCTTATAGTAAAATGGCTCAAAAGCTGGTCAAAATTTTTTGATACAAAAATTAGATTTGAAAAAGAACATCCATCTGAAGTAATTCCTTTTCAGCGACACGAACAAACGGAGGGACTCGAAATTGGAATGGTCCTTCAAGAAATCGATTATTTCCTTGCCAATATCGACGAGTGGAGCAAGCCGACATATGTATATTCCCGAAAGTCCTTTTGGAGTTGATGTTTCATTTCAAAGGTGCAAAAGACAGTTGTGACGATGATGGACAAGCCTTTGGTGGTCAAAGATCCGAAAGGAGTCGTCCTGATCGTTTCGCCTTGGAATTATCCAGTTTCCATGATTCTGCTCCCCTTGATTCCGGCTATCGCTGCAGGTGCGAGTTTGGTAGAAGAGCTTTCAAGATTGAACTGAAAGTTGAAAAATGTAATTCTTTTACAAATATTCGAAAAAGAAAGTGAAGGAATCGAAAAATCATGAAACGAAAGAATAATTTTAAAGTTATATTGAAATTTAGAAGGAAGCATCTGAGTAATAGCTTCCTAAAAAAATCAATGACATTCCGTTTAAAAAAAGGAAACTGAACAATTTTTCCGAGTGTAGAGAAAAAGCTCCGAGGAGTTTTCACGTAGTTAGACAAGCACTGGAAAAAAAGTTATTCTAATTTTTTTAGAGGAAATTTTATCCAATTGAATGAAAAATTCCAGGAAACACGGTCGTCATCAAGCCGTCAGAAGTTTCCGCCAACACTGCCGCTACCTTCGAAAAGCTCCTCCCGAAGTATTTCGAAGCGGTAATCGGACTTCCTAGTCTTAGACTTCTGAACGAGAAATTCAGAAGTACCTGAACGTCGTGACCGGAGGCGTCAGCGAGACGACGGAGCTTCTGAAAGAAAGATTCGACCACATCCTGTACACTGGCTGTCCTCCAGTCGCCAAGATCATCATGACCGCCGCCGCCAAGCACCTCACCCCCGTTACTTTGGAACTCGGAGGAAAATGGTAAGACTCAATTTGATGTCTTCGTCGCCTCTCACCCACAAGGAAGATTGTTTAACGTAGCGATTATGATTTTCTGAAAATAGGCCAGACTTTGTTTTCCCCGGTCTCACAATATTTTTTGATAAAAATGAGTTCCTAGTCTCAGAATCAGTGCTGCTGACGGGGCGCCCCGCCCCGTTGGGTAGATAAGTAAAAATGAAGTTTAAGTGAGAAAATCTGCAGAGTAACGACTAATAAATAAATATATTGGTCGAAGAAAATGAAAATTCATTCATATCATTGAGTAACTGTGGGGAAATCTTCTAACAGTGTGACCGCTTCGCGGGGCGGGGCGCCCCGGTCTGGTCAGCAGCTCTGCTCATAATGACCCTACTAAACGGGTTTTAATCATTTTTCTTGACTTACAATTGACCGTTCTTGGAAACTGGCAAATAGAGCAGATTTAGTTTTCTACCTTATTTTTCTGCTACATTAAAATGACCGATTGTCAAAAATCTCTCACAAAAAAAGTCCTTTCGCCAGAATTCGAAAAAGTCTGACTTTTCTGCGTCTCTTTTCTCTCACCAGCGAGTTCGTTTGAAGAGGAAAAATTACGTAAACATGAAAGCGTAGAGTAATCAGACTGTTAAAAGATGTGTCGAAAAAATAGACTTTTCTGCGCCCTCTTTGTCTATCGACGACCCTCTCAAGATGACGGGTGGGTTTCATGTTTCTCTGATTTCACCGGTGAGGGAACAGAGAGAAGCAGACACTCTAAAACTATCCAGTCGCAGCAGGCGGACTTTATAGATGCCTTAATGAATAAGAAACTTCCGGCTTTTGACTTATCTTTTTTCACTTGAAAACTGTTCTTATCACGATATTTCAGCCCTGTGGTCGTTGAAGACGACGCTGATATTGATCTGACGGCTCGAAGAATCGCCTGGGGCAAATGGACCAACTGCGGACAGACTTGCCTCGCTCCAGACTACGTTATCTGCAACGCCGCTGTCAAGTCCAAGGTCTCATACTCCAACAAAACATTTTGCTGGAAAGATCCATTTGCAGCTCCTCGATTCGTTCCGCAAGTACCTCAAGGAGTTCTACGGAGAGGACATCAAGGCCAGCAAGGACTACTCCAGAATCATCAACGAGCGTCATTTCGAGTGCGTACAAGTGCACTTTTTGTTTTTGAAGTCCCTGGGAAAATTATCATATTTACCTCGAATGAGGAACATGATTTGAAAAACAAAAATGGTGAAATGAGAAGTAATTGCGTGAGAAATAAGGAAAAAAAGAGTGAATCAGGGTCAGAAATCTAAATTTTCTTGGGAGACTACATATTTTGTGTTACCAAGGATACACAAAAAAAAACTTTAAGTAGAATGTTTTCAAGGAGGCGATTCAACAATCTCAATTTGAGAGCAGATTAAAAGATTAGAATGTTAAGGTAATAAAAAAAACTTAAAAATAAAAATAAAAGGAACTTTGTTTTTGGCTTGTTTTTTTTTCAAGTAAGGAAAATTACTCACGTCAGAAATTTTGCAACTAGTTCTCTTTCTTTCAACTTTAGAGAAAAAAAAATCACTCAGGTTAGTAGATCAGCCGAATTTCAGCCGTCTTTCGGCTCTTCTTGACAAAACCGAAGGCGCCGTGCTTTTCTCCGGCGGAGAACGCGACCGAAATGACCTTTTCCTGCCGCCAGTCATCCTTGACGTCAAGGCTTCGGATCCGTTCATGCACGACGAGGTGATGATCAAATTCAGCAAAAAAAAGGGTCAAATGAAGATTTTCTGTTTTCACGAAATATTGCTAACTTCGTGAAAAGCTGACCTGAACGTATTCTGCAAAAGAAAGGGCAGCAAAAACTTAAGGATTTATATAAGGAACTAATCTCCCCTTTGTAACAGATCTTCGGACCTGTCCTCCCCGTCCTGACCGTCAAGGACCTGAGCGAGGCTCTGCAGTACATTGACGCCGGCGAAAAGCCTCTGGCCGCCTATATCTTCACTCGCAACGAGTCCAAAGTCAACCGACTTCTGCGGGAAACCAGCAGCGGCGGCATCACTGTCAACGACGTTTTGATGCATCTTACTGGTTAGATCCGAATCGCAGTGAAATCAAATGTTTCCGGCCTTTTCTAGTCGATACACTGCCTTTCGGTGGCGTTGGAAACTCCGGAATGGGCAGGTACCGTGGTAAGTTCGGCTTCGACACGTTCACCCACGAGAAGTCGGTCCTTCAACGTGGATTTCTCGGCGAATCTCTTATCTCGTGAGTTTGACTTCTTTTTCAGAAACCTAAAGGATTTTGTGACGAGAAAAAAAGCGAATTGCATATTTTTTCAGAGCTCGGTATCCGCCATCAACACCTGAAAAGCTGGCGATGTTGCGTCGATTGACAGGCCGCCGAATTGGCCTCGGATGGTTCGGCTGCCTTTCCGTTCCGGTAATTGTTGCCTCAGTCGTGTTTGGCATGATCCTACAGGCAAGTTTTTCTGTGCTGATGCGAATTTAACCTAACTAATCTCATAAAAGGGAATTTCGAGATAGTCTAACTTAAAAAAACCGTTCCAAAATGTTGTTTAGTTGCATGTCCCAACGCTTTTAGTTCCAAACTAACCGCTTTTAACGCAGACGAAAATTGCCTCTAGAATCGCTTGCTTGACACTAACTCAAATCGAATCACTTTTGATTATTAATTTTTTTCAGTTTCTTTCTTCTCGCCTTTAAAAAAACTGCAATAAAATCTTCCCATCCATATTAACTCCGGAACGTGGCGTACGGTAGCGCGGCGCTAGTGTAATCACAGACATTGTGCGGCACGTTTAAACTTCACGCTTACGAGAAATTGCATGCACTCGAAATTTTTTTCGTTTTCTAATTTCCCTTTTCAAATGTCCTTTTTAATTTTTGTTCTTCATCACTTATCTTGTTATTCTTTCAGAAGTACGGCAGATGGTTTCATTAATCCTTGCCGTCGTTATTACACGTTTACTCTAATAACTCATTTGTAAAAAGTCTCCCAACTTCGTATACATTGTATTACTGATTTGTGCAAAATATTCTAGTCGCTTTTCTTGTCGAATAAATATATTATTATCATTTTATCGTTTGTTTTTCGCGTTTCGTTCTCGCAGTAAAATATCGCAACGAAAGTTGATAGATTGTTGGAAACAAAGAAAATGTTTAGGGAAATGTTCCGTGCAGCTCAATCAGTTCGCACAATCTCCAAGTCGGCTGCTGCCCATCAAGATCTTATTCAGCAGACTTTTGTGAATAAGATCAGGGAGATTGCCAAGAACGCCGGAAACTTGGCCAACTCTGACCCTGCCGTCAAGAAGGCTCTCCAGGACGAGCTCACCAGATTGGCCACGAAATTCCAGCTTGCCAGCACTGACGTTGTTGCCAAGCTCCCCACGAACTTTGAGAAGCCTAAGGTACTTTCTTCACAAAGTTTCCATTATTTTAAATCTGCTGAAATACAATTTTCGTTGAATAAGGGGAAGGAACAAAATATTACGATCAGTTTTGTCACAAGACGTTGTTCTGATTATGCCTGTTTAAGGCTGCAGTCGTATTACGGTAATATAGATAGGCTTTTTGGTAGTAAAATTTGTCCTTTTTGTGACGTAACTTATCATGTAATCTCGAGAAATGGGTCCTTAACAAATTGCAAAAAAGAAAAAAAAAAACAATAAAAAAATTTCTTAGTTCCAAAACTAACTCCAAAACTGACGGCGAAATATAAACCAGCCAATGTGGCACTGTTTTAAACAGGCGTGATCAGAACAACGTCTTTTGAAAAGCAGTAAAAGTAAACTGTATCAATCATGATTTATAAAGTTTACTTTTACTGTTTTTTCCATGTTTCATTTTTTTCGATGCGAATAACTCACAAAGTTTCATTTTTTTATTCAAAATCAACATTCCATCGAAGATGTTTCATTCATAATTTTTTTTGTTCAGTTCATTGCTTTTTATTTATAAATTTTTTTGACTCGTAGTAATTATAAAGGCAAAAAGCCAAAAAGCGAGTAGTTTATATTTTTCCTCTTACATACGTTTTTTTAATGAAAACCTAGTGATTTGGAAGAAGGAGGACATGTTCGTGAAAAAGTCTAATGAAATGTGAAGTTTCAAATTAGTTCTTATCGTTTTTTTAAAAAAATCATTTCTTGTTTAATTAAAAACCTATGTTCCATAATACTCCGATAAACAAGTTTCAGTTCTAAGGATAGAAATATATAGGATTGCTTTCTTTGATTATAGAAGGCTATAATTTTTCAGTGGTTCACTCTAATCCAAGTTCTATTAGCTTCCCATATTCTCCCTACATTTGTTTCGTGAATTTTTTAGTACTTTTGTGTGATAAAGAAAACATTTTTATTTGATTTCATATTTTTAGTAAAAATGTTTTGAATATATGTGAAAGTTTTGATGAATAATCTTCAATCATTATTTATGGTTGACAGGAAATGTTTAGATGACGAAGCTCTTTTCAACTAAGACTCTTGCTTTCCATATTTTTTTTGTCTCTTTTTTTCGTTCCTGACTTTTGGCTCACGGCCATTTCCAGTAAATTATAATAGGAACGATCATTTTCTTCAAAATGTATATGGAGAAAATCGAAGAACAAAATTTAAAACTTTAATCTCGTGTCCATGTGCAAAGGTTATATGATTTGTACTTCAAGTTTGCGGGAAATTTTTGTTTCTATCCTTTTTTGAAGATGAAAGAGAGAAAAATATGAGTAAAATAATTTTTTAGTTTTGATGAAAAGAAACTTCAAAAATGTGCCTTGTTCAGGTCGACTCGTCGGTCCAAGCTGCTCTTGAGGGTCAAACGCTGGCTTCGCTCCTGGAACAAGTTAACAAGGAACAGGCCGAGTACGTCTCCCAACGCGACGCCAAACGCGCCAAGGAAGCCGCCCGACTCGCCTCTCTCAAGAAATAAATATCCTTTATTGTTTTGTTTTAGTAACGATTTCTCTGATAGCATAGATCGACCGTGCTCCCAATGAAAATTTGCAATTGTTTCGCTGTGTTGCCCTTCCCAAATAGTTCACCAACGTGTCTATAAAGACTTATTTGATCCAATCAGCCTTGGTTTGGTGGTTTCGAAGCGAAAGGATGTCTGTTCCCTGGTTTTTCCTTTGGGGTCTTTCTTCATGTTGGCAAAAAAAATCACGAAAATCTAAAGATTTCGAGGCTTAGGAGGAGATAAAAATTTAAAAAAAATGTATGAGTAATTCCATTAAAAAGTCATAAATAAAGCATGAAGCTCGGAAAAAGTTGGGATACTTCGATTTATATGATTTTTCGGCACTATTCAGCGGCTCGCTTATTCGAAATTAGGTTCGATGTTTTCCTTTTTTGGACGACAGTATTTCGATATCGTAAACCTTCCTTTGATTGATTTAAAACCAACTTCTGCTCTTTCAAAGGTCCAGAATTTTTTTAATTCTCTATTTTTCAAATTGAATAAAATTCCTAACACACATAACTGTTTTTAGACTCGAGCTAAAAGAATTTTTGTAGGAATACTAGAGTTTATTATATTTTTTTTAATTTTCTCGAGGAATCATATGTTTTCGAGACAGACAGTAGAACTGCCGTCCATATTGCGCCAGATGCTCCGGAGTCAATGAATTCTTTGAAATATTTGAAAAACTTTCTTTTAAAGTAGCAAGGATGGTCAAAAGTCCCCGTCAGTTAGAAAATTTCCATATCAAAACTGAAAAATGTTTCAAACTTTTTTTGAAGCTCAGGAAGCCTAAAACTCGAAAAAGAAAAAACAAATCGGATGTGGCATGAAATTTAAAGACTCAAAGTTCGATTCAAAAACGATGAGACACTATTTGAGAAAATTTCTAGAAAATGACTTTGAAAGATAGAAAATAATACCTTCTTGAGTTAGTTTTTGCGGGTCTGTTCGCGAACAACTCAGATATCATCTAAATTTTTGCATCTGCTAGTGAAAATAGACCAAAATTAGGTTACAAACAAGATAATTAGTGGATAAAATCTCTAGCGAACCTGTCACATCTTGATCTCTCCGACGTGAGACCAAAGCACAATTCCCTAAAAGGACCACTGCTGCAGCTGGCGGCCTCCAGTGCAGTTGTCCCCACGCGGCGTCCTCACAAATTCCTAGCTTCGTGACCTTGGCACCACCCAACTCCGATTTCCGATCCCATTATCTCGTCTTCAATCTCCTGAAAACTGTGAAACTTCTTGAAAAATGTCCCCAGTTCAGCGCCCCTTGCCGTCCTTCTAGTCACTGATAAGAGACTGCTGATGTCTCTCATTTGATTTTTTAAGGTTAATAGTACGATTTTCCGCAAAATAAATGCTTTTTTGTTTTCAGATAATTATGAAAAGCATCGAGACGCAAACTGAAGAGGTGGCGTCTGGAAGCAAAACTTCGGGGGTCAAGAGAAAGGTTTTTTCTTCAAATCTAACTTTTATTCAGAGTTCTTCCTTTTTTTTTTCATTTCTTAGTTAGAAGAAAAGTTCAGTTTAATATGCAAATCTCAATTTTTAATCCAAGACTTTTTTTCTATTTCCTTACATTTTTGCATTGAGCTTCTGTGTTTAGTTTTTTTACTGAAATGAGTTAGTTCTATTCATTTTCTGCCATTTTGGGAGTTGTAAATTCTTCCAAGTCGAGTTTTTGGGTTTGTTTTGAACAGAACCGAATTTTTAATTGATTGCTTCAGCGAAAAAATAAATTTTTAGTAGAATCTTCCGCGTAAAAATTTTATTTCTTAATAATCGAGGGAGTAAAAAAATACCCAAAAAGTTATATTATTGAAGGAGTTGAAAGTTAATCAATTTTGAGATTACTTATAATTAAAATTTTTTTAGTCATAGAAAAAAATAGTTACATATTTTTAGCAACAAATCATGAATTTTTTTCTCCAATTTTTTTATGATTTAAAAAAACCAAACTTTTTTTGTTAATCGAAAAAAAAGAAAAAAAGAATATTTTTTGAAAAAAAGGCCTAAAATTTTCCTAGAATAGTAATAATAATGTCTTGTTTTTCAAGAGGCGTTTAAAAGTTGTCGTATTTCTTCCTGTTCCATGATTTTCTCAGTTTTTCTTAGAAATCCTTTTGAGTCCTATTTTTTTCGCTGTCGTTTAGCCCACTTTTGAATCGTGGTCGATTTTTGAACTTGAAAACCGAGCCATTCGAAAAGAAACCAATTGAAATGACCTTTCACGCGCCATAAACCATAATTACTTTCCTGCACAAATTCAAATTCTCTCGGCTCAGTCCGTCGCACTTTTTTTGTTTTTCGGGTACTCTTGACCCGAAGTGACGTCATGCGGCGTTCGGGTCAGCGGGTGTCTGTCCCTCGACATTTTTGAACTGACTGGCTCGGTCTGTCTTTGCCTTGGAGCGCGTATTCCTCTGTCTGCTTCATGATTTTTAAGGCCAACTCTCTCTGGATGAGTCCTCTTGTAAGACTGGTTCTATTGTATTTTTTGAAAACAAACTCATTTATGGACTTCCTTTTAAACTTTGTGTAGAAACGTTTTTTTTTTCAAGGTATTTAATTTGCCTAGAAGGCTAATTTCTATTGGATCAGTCAGATTTTGAAAAAAATAAAAAAATAAAAGCAAGGTTTTTCACTTTAAGATAAAGTTCAGAGCTTAAGATAACATTTAGAGCTTCAGAATTATTTTTCCAGAAGTTATTTGAAACCATTTCACCGTTTATCATTCAGATAGTCCGCTTCAAAGATTTCGCCTCCGAAGAAGATTTTATCAAAGCGGCTGAAGATGTTTATGATGAAGGCAAGGAATTGCGACAAATTTTTGGATTGTGGGACTTTTGATTTAATATTTCCTGATAAAACGAGTTTGTTTCAGTTCGATGGAGGAAGAAAGCCCGTCGGAAGACGATAACTTGATGTCCGAACTGTTGGCCTTGTGCACGTGGGCCGAGAAACGGAAACAGCGGTGGCCGGAGAGTTTTTATGGTTCGTTTCGAAGTTTGAATCAATGTCGATTATTTTTTCCTTATTTTCGAAGATTTCCTGTAGCGGAAATTTGTCTAAAGATTCAGTCGAAAATGTGTGAAAATGTGAACGTGAATAAAATTTCCTTCACCGTTTCAAAAAGTCGAAATTTATTCAATCGCTTCATTTTACGTCGTTTTTGAACAATCCTATAATCTAATTCTTCTCAAAAAAATGTGATTTTTGCAGAAGGAGAAGAAGATCCGCTGGTATTTTCTCCGAATCGAGTAATTTCCATCAATATTTCTACAACAACGATAGTGAAACCTAGCTGGTGAGATTTTTTTCAACAAGGATTCTATTCATTCAATTATTTTCAGTAGTAAATTGAATCTCAGTAGTCTTCGAATATCTAGCCGCCAAAATTCATCCGAGACCAAAGATCGTCGCGAAAACGTTAAAAAGTCGGTCCTTTTCCCGAATCTTTCGACGAAATTATTTCTCAGAGATGCTCCGAAACGGGTTATTAAACGCGGAGCAAGAATAAAGTCGCCGACGAAGAAATTGACGGACGAGGAGAAAATTCTGGAGGACGCTTATCGCGGCGTTTTGGTTCGTTAAAAGATTTTCATTGCGGTATAAAAAGTTTTAAAAAGGTCAAGGATGATTGAGAAAAGTTTTTGTTGAGAAAAACATGATAAAATTATGCAGATCTAAAAGAAATTTTCCACTTTCAAGGGAAATGAATTATCTTTTCGATTCCTTCTCTTTGAATGAAAAATGAACCGACATTCCTAACGCACATTTTTAACCGGCGACTCAATTTTGATCCCTTGAATCAACTGTGAAATTCTAGAAAAGCATCGAATCAGTAGATCTTTGATATAAGCTTGATTTCGCAACAGAAAATAGTCCCGAAAACATCACTTTTCAAGGAATTTGACGGGAACCAGTCGCAGGGAAGCGCCTCACCGTCACTAGACAGCGGAGATTCCCAGTCGCCGACCAAAGAAAACGACCCTTGGGCCGATGTAGAGTTCTAGCCTTTCATGTCTTTCATCTATTCGTTGTACTTCATGTCCTTGTTCCAAAGTTTATTTTCATTTATCGCTCTTTTATTTGTTTTCTGTCTGTTTATTGCTGCTACCTTGGGTCAAATGTAAATTCTGTGCAATATCTGTGCGTTTTTTGATACTTGAAGTTTGAAAAAAAGTTGTCTTTTAGACATTGTTCCTGACACATTCCATGCCTTATGTTGATTCGTATTTTTTGAAGAGAGAAGAGTAAAAGTTTGGCACGTTTCTGTTGGAAAATGGTTCGGTTCAAATGTTTGGAGCATCAAATTACTGCTGACTAATTTCGAAGATTTGATAAAAAAGACTTGATTTTGAGATGAAGAGGAAATGGGATGAAGCCGAGGATCCGAGTAGTGCAGGTTCCTCTAAACCTTCTTTTTTCGTTTGAATTCCTTGGAATTTCAGGTCCTTCGGCTGTTAATCCAAAGCTGAAACGTATTTTTGACAGTATTCGGGCTCCTGAATGGATTCTGAATACGGAAGAACTCAGCGAACTTCTTCTCCTTCTGAAGGATGCCAAGGATGTGAGCTGAAACAGAAAAAAATGTCTCAAAATAGAAACTTCAAACAAATGATTTTTCGTCCTTTCTAGAAAAATGATATGAGAAATATTTTTTTATTTTCTCTCAAAAAGATTAGTTTCTTTTCAAGCAGAAGTACAGAAAACGGCTAAAATCAGCTCCAATGGAGATTTTTTTAAAATTTCCTCGTTGAAACAGTCCCGTGGCTTCCCTAGAGTTTTTTTCGTTTGATTTTTTTGATTTTTATTCAAATTTTGTTACTCAAATCATTTTTCTTTATTAAAGCAAGAAATTGCTGAAATTTTCCAGTGATTATGGCTTTATTATACATTTTGAAAATAGGATTATTAAGGTAAAAAAAATTAGAATTTTTTTCATCGCGACCGATACGAGTAAATGTGTTTCCAGAACTCCGAAAACGGTTCAATATCGAGTTTGGCCGACTTCCAAGTAATCTCAAACCTTCTCGTTTCTTACAATGCGACGAATGGGCCGGAAGACAAAATCGTTTTTTCCGTTTTGAAACAACTCGAAAAGTTCGGCACCGATTTGAGGTTTTTCTAATTGGAAAAAGCACCTTGAAATAATGTTTTTAGTATATATCACCCGTTGGTTTTTGGACGAAACTCGCGGGAAAATTATGAAAGTTTACGAAAAATGGGATCTTCGCTGCATGTTCGCGTGCCGGAGAATGAGGTTCATTTGAAATAATGAAGAAAATGATTTAATGTTTTAATTTGAAGGTCCTGACAAATTTTTTGGACCAAAGCAAGCTTTGGGCCACTGCAAAACATCATGCAAAGGTTTTCATAAAGAAAATGAAGTTTTTGGGTTTGAAAATTAGTTTTCCAGTCGTCCAGTGTTGATGATGATCATTTCTACGACGTCGAATTCGTTCTTTGTCTTTTGATATCGATTTTGCAGCCGGGATCTTCGGTATGATGTTTTATTTATTGAAAATTGTGAAGAAATAAATAATTCAATTTATTTTTTTCAGCTCGAAGTTGAGGTAAAAAGGTAAAAGAAACAAGATTAAAAAAATTTAAAACTCAAAATTTAAAATTTTCTTTGTGAAATTTTATCCCTTTTTCGGCGATTTTTCAAACTTCTCTTAAGGTTTTTTTCGAAGATTCACTTTGATTTCCACCCTCTTTACTCATTATCATACTTTTTTTATATTTGATAGAAAGTTTCAAACTTAGCGAATCTTGAAGAGATAGGAAAAAGCCGAATAAAAACTGGGAAGAAGAATAATTTCAGCTCTCCTGCAAGCTGTTCGTCGAATCCAACGGCCTCTCTTTCCTTTTTTCCTGCACTTCTTCCGCCAATCCCAATATACGGCCCTTGGCCTATTGTGCACTCCAAAGATATCTCAATCTTGTTCAGGTAAATCCACGCAATTTGGTAAAATCATCCTGAGATTGAATATTTCAGGAACTGAAACTGGAACTTTTCCCAGAGCGGAGCTTGATCGTCTATTTGATCCGGACGTTCAAACACGGCCTCGATAAAGAGTCTCAACGTGTTTCCAACAGTGAGTTCCAGTTAAAATGGCTTTTCTGTTTCTAGGTGATATTAAAAATCTCTTCATTTGGCGACTTCAGTTCTTCTTCTTGGGTACTAGATCCGAAAAAAGGAATTTAACTGGCGAAAAGAGAATATGTAGTTTTATAAATCCAAAATGAGATTTTCTTTTTTCGAAAACTTAGACCGTGAAAAAAATCATATAAAAGTTGGAAAAAAGAGATATTTGGACGAAAAAAACATACCCAAAGCATTTGTGTTTGAGCCTATCTTAGCTTAACTCATGATCTTTTCGAGTTTAAGTTTCATATTTTCTCGAATTTCTTTTTGATTCTCTTCGATTCAACCTATAATATTTTTAGATCAAAGGGGAACTTTCTCGAAATGGAGGCAAATATAACTTTCATGCTTTTCTTCCTCCACGCCACAGATCTGTCTGTGAGCGAAATAAAAAAAAACATTTCAAACATCGAAAGTTTCAAAATTAAAGAAAAAGAACCTAAGTAATATCGGAATAGAGTTTCAGCAAAAAAAAAATTGAAATTGATTCAGTGCTAATTTTCTCAACTATCTCCACTATTTCATGATTTTCAGCTAAATCTTCAACTATATTATTTAATTTTTCAGTCATATCTCATTTCTTCGCGCGTGTTTCGAAATTAATACTAAGTCCGCATGAAGTCGTCTACCACCAAGTCATGGCCTTCCTCTGCATGAAGCCCATTTTCGATGTTAATAATGTTGGTCAAAACGTCTTTTTTCTATTTATGAATTGTCCTTCCAAGGTTCCTGAGTTCTTCAAGTTGTTCTTCTCCTCCTCGCCGGAACACTGTCACGAGGAACGCGACTGGGTCCTCACCCTGATCGCCGAGGCGATGATTGAACCCATGGACTACAACGTCTTGCAGAATAAGTTTGTGCTTCGAATTCTTATTGAAGTTGCAGAAAAGGGTAGGAAATTTGACCAATGAGTGGTTTTTTTCATCTTGAAACGTTTTAGAAAGCGCAGAACGGTAGAAGCTGTTTTGAAGGTCTTTTTTTTCATATTTGAACACCCATTTTCATGTTATTCCATCATGTAGATTTTTAAAACTTAATGAATCGATTTTTCCACCCTTTTGCGGCTCTTGTACATGGAAAACTTCCTGAGATAGATCAATGAAATTCTCCTCAGAGCCGGCGTCAAACTGATGATGTGCATGTTCGGTTCCTGTTGCTGCGACCAGAAAGAACGGAAACAGATCTTGTCAATCCTGAAGTCGTGCGCCTCGATGAGAACCGTCGCCCACGATCTTTTCGCCCGAGAAGCTCTGCATTCGTGGATCGTCGTCGTCATCAATGTACGCCGTTTTTGGAATTCAGATGTATCGAGCAGCAAAGTGTCGCTTGATTTTTTTCGTATTCATTAAGTTTTTTGGGGTGTTATCAAAAAATCGAAAATTGGAAGCTCAAGTTTTTGGTTTTTCTCTTACCTGTGAGAATGTAGAAGAGGTTTGAGCATTTCTTTATTGCACCCGGTTAGAAATGAGATTTTATGTTGTTATTTTTAAAACCTCTTAAATCTTGGTTTTGAATGAAATCCAAATCGCTGAAACTAACGCTCATTTCTTATCCGAAAACAAAAAATTCTCAAATTAAGATCATCGACAAACTTTTATCTCCTAAGTAACGAGAAGGGATACACAAGAATTCATACAAATCGATATTATTAAAATTTGACTTTTTGAGTTTTTGGTTTCACTCTACACTAGAAACAGAGTGAATTCCAAAAACTTCAAAAAAATTGCAAATCAAGTGAATAATTCCTGCGCGAAATATTTACGACCAATTTGCTACAAGAGCCCAAAAAAAAAAAATCAATTTTCAGAACAAAAACTTGACGCGATGGGAAAAGTGTTACTTGGCGCAGATATTCTGTATCCTGGTCGAAAATGAAAGGAAATATCAACGCGGAAAAAGAGGCAAGAAGGTTTTTGGTCAGGTTGGAAAAGCCTCCGTCGTCATGTGCGTTCAACCGGTTCGTCGAACTTTTTTTTTTAAACCAAGAGTTTTTTCAAGAGTCCATGAACTTCTCATAATTACCTGTTTCAGATGATAGACTCTCTTAAAGACATCGTCTCCAATGAAGCTTTCGGTGCCGAAAAGAAGAAGGCCGAAGAATCCATCCAACTTTTGGAGAGAATCCCGACCCAGAAATGGTCGAAAAAGAAGAAATATGAGGCCTTGTGACTTTTCTTTGTTGTTTTTTGTTTTCTTTGTTATCAGTTGAAATTGTTTTGTTATCCACAGAATGAATACTGTTACATGTTTTGAAGCTAATACTTTATTAATTTATATAAATTAGTAAGTCTAATTTCTATAGCCAGTCTTTGTTAGTCGTATTTTCGGCTTGTGCTTGAGACATGGCGAATTTCCTGAATTATTTTCAAGATTTTTGGAGGAGAAGAAGGACTAAACCTTCGTCCAACCGGAAGGTTTCCGGACTTTCGTACAAACTGTAGACGCACCGTAATCGGTTGCGGTCGTTTTCTTTAGTGAACACGTGAGGATAGACTTTTGGATCGTAGTAAGGTAGGGGCCCTGAAAATATAATTGCCCATTATTCAAAAATACTTATAGTGTTCTTCTTTGACAATGAGTTTCTTCTAAAATCATCAAAAAAGAGGTTAGGATATCCCTTAAGTGTTTTTGTCTAAAGCTTACTGTAATTCCTACAGTACCCACCTCCATACGGTGCCGGAGCACAGTCGCAAGGTTTCGCCTGCCACATATTGCCCCAGTCTGGATGCCAGGAATATGTGTGCTGCACGGCGTCGAACCCATCCAACATACCTACAGTAATCCTTTCTTACTGTAACTTTATGTGTTTTCCAACCTTTGCAGCTGAGGGAGCGATCCGGACCTGCTGGAACGTTGAAATAATTGCAGAACCATTTGAAGGCCTTGATCCGCCGAGACTCGCCAGGACCTCCTGAAAAGGGATTTTTAATTCGGTCGGGTACACTTTTATGGTAACCCATTGACATATATTTTGCCCCTCTGAAAGTTTTTTGCGAGGGACAAGAGACGCAGACAGGTCAGACAGTTTCGATTAGTCATGAATGATATTTACCTGGCTCTTCTGGATCTTCACCGCCGCACTCGTTGTTGATCACAAGGCTTGTAGGGCCGAATACCGGACCGGTGAAGCCGGCTCGGCGATTTTTCGGCGACGGACGCCAGTCTCCTGAAACACAAAAACTTTGAGTGAAACATGGAATATTGGTTGGTTTGACCAACAACGATGCTGTGCATGGACGGCTTGGGCGGCTGCGGCGTCATGTAGAACCACAGAGAGGCGAGCATCGCCAGCGGGGGACTCATTTTCGTCATCACCTAAGAAAATTTCAGCTGTTGCAGAAATTAAGAAAAAAAATCAAAAAGCTTATGATGACCAAGATAAATGAATTTCTTATAACTTGGAAGATCGGTACCTTGAAAACTTGCAACAGATAAATTGAAGATGAATTTGAAGCAAGCAAAAATAAAAACAAGAAAAAAATATTTCTTCGACATAGTTTTTGAAACAATCAGTGATATTTTGAACTCGGTCCACAGCCGAAACCTCTATGGGAGCTTCGATTTTATTTATTTTTTTTTTAAATTTTGGCAAAGTCTGAAAACTGACTGTTTTGAACCTACCAAGTTGGGATTATTGACCAAGTCAACTTTTACGTTTCTGGAGAGTAGGAATTGCTGGAACAGGCCGTAGTTGTAGTTCCAAGAAAGCTGAAAGAAGTTTTTTTGAAATTTTTTTCCGAAAAGCTAAATTTTCCGTGTAGAAACTGTATTCTGAAAATAAAAACTTCCAGAACTGCTTAATTCTTACAAGGAAAATCCCTTCAAATTTTTTTCCGAATTCGGAACTTGACAAAAACTGTATGATGTACATTACCAATATCTCGAGTTTTAGAAAAATAATAGTTCGAAACTTTTCCTTTTTTTTAAAAGTTGAAACCATCTCTCTCAAAGGTTGAGAAATTCAAAATCTTCATCTAGTTCTTCCAAGAACTTTTTGAAAATCTGCGAAAAGAATTCTGAAAATCTGAGTTAACTAACGTTCCTTGCTATTCCATGTGTTCCTCCAAAGCACTGATGAAAAAACTGTCCCAAAACGAGACCTGCAAAGCTCCCCGACCAAAGTAGCATCCTCGATGGTAGGTCTGGTTCATGTGGCTCTCTGTCTCATCGTTGCACGGATACCAGAAATCCAAGACCGGGTCCTTTTTGCAATACTGACCTTCTGGAACGCACCTGAAGTCGACTCAATACTTCTTCCCTTCTTCATCCCCACCTTTTGCCGTCGATCGGACTGAAACCGGGGAAAGTCGGCAGCAGAAAGGAGCTGTTGGGACCACGCTCGAACCAGTTGTAGAATCCGCCACGGTAGAAACACTCGTGAGCCTGATCCAGCGTCAAGTCCGTGTCACTGAACGTCTCAGTGTTGCTCATTGTAACGAAGAGTGCCTCACTTGTACACGGAGACGTCGTTTTCGCCAGTTTCTTGCAAAGCGTGAGCGAAAAAGGCGGCGACGTCCCGAGCGTGGTGTTCTTTCGGCTTGTAGGCCTGAATATTTATGTTTTAGTATTATCAGCGTACTTTATTCCGTTTCATCTTGTTGTTCCGAGAAACCTTGTTAGGATGAGCTGCTCCAAAGTCAGGAAAATAGCGAGCGGCTATGACGAAAGCGTCATAGGAGTACGGTAGACAGTCGTCTGGACCATGGCCAAGATTGGCTTTCGGAAAGAGGTCCTTGGAAAAGTTGATGATCTTTTAAACGATTTATTCCAACCTCGAACATTTCCTTGGTAAACCATTTCTCTATAGGCGACCTGGGTAACTTGTTGGGGTCCGAAGCCGTTTCGCAGAATTCGTCTGGTGGCTTTGCAAAGGAATCGCGTTTTGGACAGAATTCTGGTATCCCTGAAGTTGGAGGTATTAATAAAAATAATGTAGAACTTTTTTATTACCTAACAAGGAAGATCAATCTACTTTTTGGTTGAAACTTTTCTAAGAAGTGTCCAGAACACTCTTTGATGTATCAGATGAAGAACCTGAAAGCATAAAAATGCACAAATACTTAGTTTTTGAAAAAGACACCTCAAAGCTCGTAGAATGGGCTATTTTGGGGTTAGAGCTCGTGTTTATCCAAAACTAGGAAGTTGTGCACATTTTCAGGACCTTCTTTTAACACATCAAGGATTCTTCTGGCTGAATTTCATACCGCGACCTTCCTTGTAAGATTCTATAAAGATCTTTTTCCGTATAACAAATTCATGTCAATCTATTGAAAAATCTCTTGCAAAAGACGATCCGCATTGCTGGAATTCCGAAAAAGGCGAACACAAGGAGGAACCTTTGGTGAGCGGAGGCAAGAGGAGAAGAAAGATGACGATCATCGCGCGGAGCAGAAAGCGAGCCGACAAACAGACTGAGGCGAGCTCCCACGAACTCCATTAAGTCGCCGGAAATGCTCGCCGCGGTCCGGTCTGGTCACTCCTTCCCTGGGGGTGGTGGACCGTCTCGCCCGAGGCTCTACTGGTTTCCCTCGGGGTTCAGAAGTTCGGATTGCTGTTGTTCTAACACGCTTATCGAAGTCAAATTCAGGAGCTGACTACAGGGAAATGGCTCAAATATCTGTAACTAGCCTTTTCGAAAGAGAAGCGTACAATATCAAAAAAAAACCCGCACCTTGAGTCTATAACTCATGTCCTATAAGATCGAATTCTGTATTATCCAAGCATATTTTCGAGGTTTTTTTTTGCGAAGTTTGGAATTTTCCACAAGTATTCTCAAACTCTCTCTGAATATCTTGATGAGGATACTTCATAGTTTTTGTCTATGAAACTTTTTTCTTTCCGTTTTCAAAGCTTCGTAGATATTTCAAATTTTACAACACGATCCGGCGAAAATCAATAATCCAGAATCAAGTTAAAAGTCCGCAAAGTTTCATCGAAACATTCAAAAAACTTTTTGGAAGTTTTCCAGAAAATAATGATCTTCCGACTCAAATTACTTTTTGTAGTTACTCCATTTCACTGTAAAGACTTCAGTTTACTGTAATAAAAGATCAATTTTTTTGAGCTGAAGAACCTAGAGTTTATTTAAAAGACTTAAAACCGGAAAATACTAGTTTTTTTTCTTATAGTCTGATACAGATTTTTCTTACAAATCAACTGCGAAAGCCGTGTCTAAACGCAATTTTCCTCGGTCTCCAAAAAAAGCTTCTGTCAAAAATACTGTAAAACAGAAAAATATTACATTTTTTTTTTTCCACCTCCTGGAACTCTCCTCTATCAGGAACATAAACCAGAAGATTCCTCAACTGATTCACTGGGTACATAGCGAAGAAGCGTCGGCCCTCGGGGCCCAACCTTTTTTATCTAATCGAAGTTTGTTAATTATCGTTTTTAATAGCTCTCGATGGCCGTATCTCGCGATTCACACAAAGGGCCGCCAAGTCCTCCATTTTACGACATTCACAAATAAGTGCGTTGCGTCGATTTATGTACACGCAGGTTGACGAGCTCTGCAATACCAAAAACGAGTGCCGTGGAATGTGTGCGGCGGCGGCGGATTCGGTTGGAAGAATTTCATCCTTACTGAGAAAACTTTAGTGGCTGTTTAAGGGGTTCCTTAGGGGCCGCTTGGAGAGGACACTAAGGTGGATTCTAAAACTTTCAACCCTAAAGCGGCCACTGAAGTTTTCCTAGAACATGCGGAAACTAATAAAAACTAAAAAGCTTATTCTGAAGAGGAGTCATGAGAAAAGAGCCACTGAGATAGGTTCAATCGCGCTCCGGTGAGAAGTTGGAAAGAAAATTCCGTGGCTTATAACTTCGATCTCAATCACGAGCTCATAAGAACGAGAGTTTCCGACCAAAACTGCTGTTTTTGGTAATTTTCTTTCTGATATCACTAATCGTAGTGAGTTTATTTTTATTTTTTTCATTTTTCATCGTCTGAAGCACGTGACTGCGCGCAAAATGAATGAAAAAATAATTTTTTTTGATTGTTACTTCAAATAAGAATTTTTCGGCAAGCTCCAATCTTTCCGATTTAAAATTATTTTTCAACCCAAATAAAAAATATTATTTCAACGTCACTGTCCTGAAACCATTTGAAGCACTAAACATCGTCGTTGAGCCTCGCCCGATAAGGACCCGAGAAATATTTGAAAGCTCAAAAAAGGGAATTGATAAAAGATGCCCGGTAGCGGTTATCAGCCACGTCGACCCGATCCAGTTCCCTCTATACAGTTTTGAGTATGAAAAAAAAGAAGAAAGAGGCTGAATCACAGTTGTTTAAATTGGATTATCTTCTTGGGCTTTTCGTCAATATTGGTAACATCGAGTTCCGTGATAAAATATTAACTGTACTGGCCCATGGCGTGCTGATAGCTTTGTTTGGAGTGACACCTCACCGTTCGGTTGATTTCAAAGTGATGTGTTTTTGAAGCAGAGGAATTTTCGAAAGTTGGTCAGAAAAAATCATTTTGCAAGGAAAGTTTGAGTCATTGTAATTTTGAGGAATCTTTCTGGTCGCATTTTTGGTTTGGAAACTGAATGAGAATTGATATTTGGATAATTACTGATTCAAAACAGAAAGTGTCTCGATTTGTGGAAAAAAAAACTATTTATAGTCAGTTTCTCACGACTTAAAATGATGGGATTTCTCTGCGCCCTCCTCGTCTCTCGACGGTCCTCTTTTTTTGACGCGCTTTTTCGCGTTTCTGCGACCTCGACGATGTGGGAACAGAGAGACTCAGACACTCGAAAACTGTCAAGTTGCGGCGGAAGGACTACACTTACTTGATTTTTGATAATCCACACACAGTCCGCATGGAAGGCTAGAAATTTCTCGGTAGAAAATAGAGTCCCAATTTCGGTAGTTACTTTTAAACTGCACCCGACCTCGAGCGACTTCATACTTGATGGTACAAGATCCAGCAATTTTTTGTCCATTAAAAGATCGACCCTAGGACTTTCCAGTCGTAAAAATTATTACACTAATAATCAGTCAGTTTCACCTTTATACAATATTTTTCAAACTAGTTTTTTCTGGAAACGTGCCAATTTTCGTATTGTCGTTCGATTGCAGAACTAACAAACTACTCGATAAGAAATTAGTCGTTGGAATGAGAGCACTGACGTCAGAACACTCTCGACAGAGCAACCGAGAAGATAATGAATTTTTGGCTGACTGTACTTTGACACCGAAAATCGGGAATGGGACGCAATGTTGTGATCTGTGTAGTGTTATGCCGAGTCTTGCATTGGTCAATTTGAACTTTCTTATACCTTTGAAGCTTGCCCTACCGAAAAAATTTTCGAATGGCTTCGCTACTTATTTTTTGTAATTTTTAAGGCTCGCTGTTTTTCAGAGGAGCTTTGAAACTCTAAATACTTAGAACGAACTACTTTATAATTTTTGTCAAAGAAAAAATAATTTAAAAAGGCGAGGCTCAAATAGTCTACCTAGAAAGTAAAGAATCAGAATAAAAAATAAGGAATCTCCCCATTGTGCTTTTTCACAAGGAAGGTAATTTTACCTTGCGGATGGAAATTTCCTGAAAATCGGCCGGAACACTTCTCAATGTACCGTATGAAGATTCTGGAAGTCTCAAACTGCACAAATTTCTATTTTTTGAGTAACGACGCTTCAAAGTTGAAGAAGAGCCTCAAAATTCCTTATAATAAACAATTTCATAGTTCTAAACCTTCCTTTCTCAAAAACTGAGTAGTTGTGCAGGTTGCGGCTTTCATGATCTTACACCTAGGTACACCTAGTAGTGTTCTGGCCAAATTCGAAGGAATTCCCAACCGCAAAGAAAAATGGCCTCCCTTGTTAGTCTACTGCTTGAAAAAAGAAGACAAACATCAAAAAAAATAATTTCAAAACTACATATTTTTCCCCACGACTTGGAATGCTTTTTTCGTGAAAATTGGATTTTTAAATAATCATTAGCGTTGAGCATACTTGATATTTGATTATCTTTCTCTAATAATTTCCGATGCTTTCTAGCGTGAGCAGTTTCTGGGTCCGAAGCGCCTCCGAAAAAAAACCTCTTTTTCGATCTGTGGATCTGAAACTTCTCTAAAGTCTTATCAGTTCCCTAGTTGCCATATCTATTGATAGCTGAAACTGTTGAGAAGTTAACAAATATTGTCTGTGACCCAAAGTTCGACTCGAAAATCAAAAAATCACGACACTGTATTTTTTCAAATTTTGAAAACAAACGGTCAGCTTTTTTTCTTCAAAAAAAGTTCTCGTTATAGTGGAATCCAGCGATTTTGGACCAGTCGCTTATCAAGTAGCTAAAATTAATTATAGTCCAATAAGTGCATATCCATCAATGTGTAAAATACGATAAGAATTTTATTGCGTTGCAAACCGATTTTTTTGCTATCGCTTTGTGTTGAGCAGTGCTGTCAACTTTTTTATGACATTCCTGCGTGGGACAAGAAATGACAGAATAAAGGCCGAAGTCCTAATTAACTTATTAAAAAGCAATTTCAACACTTTTCAATAAGTAGATCGGAATCAAAAATTGTTTCCCATACACTCTTGTTTCGAGGAAATTTATTATCAGCACTGATAGGAATTCGAATCGGATTATGGTTCCAAAACGTGGTTTAGTCGTTCCAGTCGTTTTTAAATAGCTGCTTAAGAAGCACAGAAAACAAATTGAGCTTAACTCGCTGTCTTTGTTAAAATGAACTTTTGGTACTTATTTGTAAATTTCAAAAGTTTCCATGTATTTGGGTCGTTCAACTTTTGCGACAGAACTCTTGTTAAAAGGATACCAAATGTTTTCTAAATATTTAAACTTATATCTTTCAGAGATTTAAAAATCTCTGAAAGGTTTCAAGAAATACGGACAATAACCTTTGATTTCTTCATTTATCGAAACAATAATACAATGTGTTTTTGGCAGTGAAGCTGAAAACTGTCACGTAAATTGCTAGAAGCAATAAATGTCCTACAGAAAAGCCATAAAAGCCTTGGATCTTTACATCCAGACGAGCAAACCAACCGTTCTTATCAAACACTTTCTAAGATCAATGGCAAATTCCTTTTCTTAGTGAAAGTGGAGTGAATGGAAGGCTTTTTATAAATCAAAAGTTAAAAAAAAGAAAATTACACTGAAAGAGCAGAAGTTAGCTCTAGAAAAAAAGAAATGAATGGGAAAAAAAATTAGACACAAATGAAAGATGAACTTGAACGGGTGAATTTTTTCCTTTGTTGAATTTTTATGTTTAGATCTTGCTGAGGAAAAATCCATGAGCTAGACAAAAAAAGGCACAATAAACTTAAAGAAATAAAGCTCTCAGCATCTTCTTACTAAGTGGTTTAGAACTTTCTTCCGATTCCTTGCATGGGCTACAAAATGGTTTCTGTACTTAATTAGAGCTAAAATAAAACTGTATTTTCAATTTTTTTTTCTCAGATAAACTTATCATGGAATCGATTCTGCCAAAAAATCATTATTAAGAGAGAAATGAACTAGAACTTTTGCAGAAACGACATCGGACAGAGAAAATTCATTCCACCAGCACTTAACTTCTGAAAATTGCACTTATCCATCTGTTTAGACTCGATGAAAAACCCTTTTTATTACGGAATGATCAAAAAAATACGTATAGAAAACCAAATTTTAAGGCGAAATTATAAGATAAAACGCCTAATATACCAGTAAACCTTCCAAAACAACAAAAAATCAAATTTTAAAACCCTTTCTGCTTCTTTGAAAAACATTCATTGCAAAATGAAAATCTTGGAATTAAAGTAAAGAGCAAAGCTTTCATCAGGACAACTCTGCCAATTTCTTTAGTATGACTCCCAAAAACTGAATTAAGTTTTCAAAAAAAAGAACAGAATTTCTGATTAGCTCAAACAGACACAAAATCACTCTTTTGACCGACAACTCATACCGAAAAGGCCATGCAACCGGCCTCTTCTGCAGGACTAGTACTAGTTCTGAACCCGTCACAGAGCCACTTTCCAACTCATCTTCCAGAGCTTATCAATAGTACGGGCTCTCCTTCTGCCTCGGAGCCGTGCCTCACGGATCCTCGACGCGTTGGCAGCGGCGTTATCTGCCCTCCGGCGCCGCCTCTCTCGTCGTCTGCCATTGTGCTCCTACCGTATCTCCACGTTGTGAGTCCGGCCCCCAACCTCCGAGGCCAACAACCACTATTCACGGTCCTGAAGCCGATGCCGCACCATTTTCGGCTCTGTCCGCAGCCTCAGTCGGCCGCTCTCCTTCTCGAAAAATCATTTCGACTCCTAACTCCTGCAAAACCTAACACTATTGTCAAACTTTTTAAAGTTTTTTGGAAAATCTTTGCTGGGGCAACACTGGAAAAGCTCTTAGGCTTGAATAGGTCCATGCTTTTCATACATTCAAGCAAGGTTTTCCAATAAACTACAATTATTCGAAGTTTGAATTTCAATCTACTTCACAGCCCATCTCAAAAAACTGAAAAACTTGCTGACGAAAAATTCTTGATAACCTCTTCGTGTCAAAGTTTCTGCTATGAAGCCGTCTAGTCTCTTCAAACATGTCAATTTATATTTTGATATCCCATGTTTCCGAAAAGGAATAACCCAAAAAAATTTGCATATTCCTAAAAATTTCTTCCTTAAAACTAACCTATGCTCCATGAAACCTGTCCACAAACAAGGATGATTCCATCTTTGTCTCTCCCCATATAATCGCAAACCTCTGATCCTACAGTAGTTTTCACGCTACAGTGTACCGCTTCCAGATGCGCTTGGGTGTATTCCTGCTGGCGGCGTTTGCCGCTGGGTGTTGTGCCTCAACATCCGAAACACCAGAATGTATCGTTGGTAACGCCCTCGTCAGATCAGGAATTGTAGAGTCAAAAAGTGTTGAATCCGTACGTCTTCGCCTACTGTAGCTTTGGGAATATTGTGACTTTTACAGAGAGTATGCGATGGATTGTGTCGGAAGCAGTCGATTCAAGACGGCGCCACCACCCTCGTTCTCTTCTCCTGCGAAGACAACAAGGTACCTTCTTTTCATAGGTTACATTATATTGAATCTAGTTTGATATTTGAATTCCGACAAAAAAAAAGCCGTTACCTCATAGTTTCCGATGATCTGACTGGCTACAGTAGTCAAAACATCAACAAAAAATTCTTTCAGATTTTGTAGAATATTACTATTTTTCAAATTAGACCAATATTCCAAAATAGTTCCTTTAGAGAAAAAATAACACTGTTGATGTGATTTTTTGTGCGTGCATTGAATTTTGGAAGCACTTGAGGACAGCTTATCAATTTGCCACTGGTTGCACGTCGCTTATCAGCATAATTGATTAAAAGGGCTTAGTGCCACGTTGAGTACTCGAGTTTGATAAGAAGAAAAAAAGCGGTGAATTAAACTCGTACGACAATCCAGGATCTAGCTGATTGACAGGGGAACGAATGAATGAGAGTTTAGATGGAAGTCTGGCTGAACTCGGACCAGTCTTGCTCGGAGTCCAAACTCGAGAACTCGTGCTTCTGCCGCGGTCAGGAGTGCAACAAACTCTCGCTTCCCGAGCAGATCCCCGAGCCAACTTCTGTTGACTTGGCCAAGTGAGTCCAAGAATATCGAAATAGACAAGAAACAATAATAGAAGGGGGAATTCTGCGATATGAAGAAGTAAAGCCTATGAAGTAAAAAAGATTCAAAAAAACCTACTATTCGAAACTTTCAAAATGTCTTGACGAAAAAAAGGTTTACCCAGCCAAAACTTTCCCAAAAAAAACTTGAAACTTGGAGAAGATTTTTCAAAAAATATTGAGAGCACTAAAAAATCAGTTTTAAAACCGTTATTTTCAAAAGGAAATGTATGTACCTTTATCGAAAGTAATTGTCAGAAGAAAGAAGCATTTGAAAAAATGTTTCTAATTCAAAATTTCTAAACATTCTTCCCAAAAAACTTCAAAAAGAAAGTATAAAAAAATATTTCTGAATAACAAATTTTTGAAAATCAACTCCAAAGCTACAGTAACCCATTGCTGCTATCAAAAACTCACTTTTTTCTCTCTCTATCTCTCCTTCTCGATGGCAAAAAGCCACGTTTTGCCGTCAGATTGTTTCAACGCGGCCAACGTGTCAGGCCCCGTTATCTCCTTTTTTTTGTAGAGATAGACGCTGAAACTTTTCACTACAAGTCGTAAAAACTCGGCTAGCCGTCTTCTTATCACATACACGTAACACATTCGTTTCCAAAAGCTCAAGCTTTTTATGACCCGCAACGATCCGTTTGACATGAAAAAAATAAACTAATCGAAAATAAAAAAATATAAAAAAATATTCAATAAATGAATCGACTTTTTTTGAAAAAAATTATAGGACTTCAAAAAAAATGTGTTTTTGTTGAAATTTAAAATCCAAAGAATCCTCCTTAGGTTTTACAGTCTACCAAAAAATCCTTTTTGAAGTGAACGAAGGAAAATAACGTTTCTGATAAAATCGGAAACTGAAAACTGAAAAAGGACGGCTTTTCGCCTAGATGAATTTTTTCAAAGTTTTTTGTGCTCTTTCGAAAATTCCAACGAGGAATTCTAAACAAACTGCAAGGCCTCGAAAATTAATGGAAAAAAACACGAAAAGAGTGAAGGAAGTTGCGTAAAATCAAAATAATGGGAAAAGAAAAGAAAAATAATTTTTTTGTTCATATTCGCGTTAGGGCACTTTTTCACTTCAATAAGAGTTTTTTTTTGAAAATTTTGATGCACGTTCAATTTTTCTAGTTTTTATTGCTTTTTTTGCATTATAGATAATAGATAACTATATAGATAACTTTCTTTCATAACTATTTTTCACAACTATTTTTCACTACCTTTTTATTGTTATTAAAATTGAAAGTTCACAGCAACGTCATTTGCTACATGGGATATTGTCTATTTCTGTAGATATATATTTATATATTTATATCTTTTTTTATCTTTTTTTATATATTTTTTTCTTCAAAACGATTTGAAAAATTTTTCTTTCTATATTTGAAAAAAATCTTTTTATTTGTTTCTTTAAATTGATTATTTCGAGCGTATTTCTTGTTTTTTTAAACTTAATTTTTTCAGCAACATCGCTTGCTTCACTGGATTTGCCGCTAACAACTCGTTCAGCCAAGGTACCACCATTCGGTGCGCGCCAGGAAATGCCTGCATCAAGCTTAATGGAACTTACCAGAACTTCGATGCCGAGGTGATAATTCGACATGTTTTTGGATTTCAAATGTTATGAAAAATGGAAGAAGAAAAATATATTTTCAGTGAATATTTTAACATAAAGAAGGACTTTATAAGAATTTTCTCAGATCTACGCTTGCATGCCCGCCGCCGTCTGCACCAACCTTCTCGGAGACCCCAACACTAGCGGAACCAAGTGCGCCAGCCTCCAAGGATCTCCCATCCAAGGCTGCTGCTGCTACGACGGTAAGATCCTCCAGCTCCGCCCCCAACTCTCCCGTTTGCAGCCGACTGCACGACGCTGGTCAGCCCCGGAATCACCGTCCCGACGCCCGGACCCATCGGAGGAAACAACATCCAATGCTACCAAGGCGTTGCCATCAACGGCGTCCCCATGTACAACGGCACCTTCAACCAGTGCCAGGGCGAGTGCGGCTCCGTCCGAATCCGCAGTACCCTCAACGGCCAGAACATCTGGGGCGAGGTCTTCTCCTGCGACCCAGTCAGCATCTTCTCCAACCTCAACATTGACAACCAATGCCGTACCATCGACTCGACAAATGTCACCGGTGAGCAGCTGCGAATAATTGTTTCAGAGAAGCGCTAAAGCGTCTTTAAGGATTTTACGTAAAACTCGAGTTTCAGGTATCCCGACCGCCTTGATCACTGGCTGCGCTTGCAACACCGACAAGTGCCTGGACCCCACCGCTTTCCCGCCAGTCTACCCAGTCCGCCAGCTCAAGGTACCTCCAGGAAGACCATGTGATCATTGAAAGGAACGATTCAGTGCGCCGTGGGTCTGTACAACGGCTCGACTTGGCTCGGAGCCGAGATGGGCTGCGACGGCCGTTGCGGTCGTCTTGCGTTCAAGTTCAACGGCCAGAACGTCAAGTACTACACTTGCGCTCCGTACTCGATCTGCGCCGGATTCGGTCTCGAGAGCAGCGAAGGACTCACCTACAACCCGCCCCAGGACGAGGAGCTCGAAGCCTACTGCTGCTCCGCCTGGGTACTTTCATCTCCAACAAGTTCCTACACAAACTATGTTTCAGAACAACTGCAACGTCGACGAGCCTTCCATCGCCAGACAAGTCAACAACACCGCCGTTTCCACCGTCAAGTACCCCATCCTCTGCTACGGAGGTTTGGAATCGAGAAAAAATAATATCGAAACAAAAAACTAAGTTTTTAATATGAGACGAAACATTTTAATGAGGTGTATTTATTTGATAAGATTTAGAGAACAAAAGGAGTGATTTTCTAACAACTCACGCTTCCAGGAATCTGGGTGAACGGCGTCCCAATCACCGGCTCCTCCTACGGCCTCTGCCAAGGAGAATGCGCCTCGGCCAACTTCATGACGACGATCGGCAGCGTCCAGCACAACGCCACCATCTACACCTGCGACCCCGTGACGATGTGCAGCAGCGCCGGCATCAGCAACGGCTGCAGCAGCGTGTTCGGCGTGAACGCTTGCTGCTGCGACAGCGACACGTGTCTCGACCCGACCCGCGGCGCGGCTCGTCCCAACCTTCGCTGCTACGCCGGTATCTCTATCCCTGGCGCCAGCTACAACCAGGGCGGCGACATGTTCTGCGACGGCTGGTGCGGAAGCCTCAACGCCACTCTCAACGGCAACGCCACCACCGTCTACTTCTGCGCCCCCATCGACATGTGCCGCTTCTACGGCCTCGGCATCGGCGGAGCCAACACCTGCGGAAGCATCGTCGGCGCTGACCCACCTGTCACCGGATGCTGCTGCTCTGACAGCGTTAGTCGAACTGATAGCATCCAAAAATAGTTGATTTGAAGAGATCCATAGAAATCCAGAAAACCCTAACTTTGATTGATACAAGTCAGTAAGGCCAGTAGGTTTTATTGAATGGTCGAAAGATCAAGGAAATTGTCATTATGGATCGAAAAAGTTGATAGAGCATTATTTTTCTTCTTTGAGTAGCCCCATCATCCCATAGAACTTGGATCTTGTAGAATAATTTTCTTTTCCCGTAAAGATCTTTTTTTTTTTCAAAAATAATCTATTCTCCCGATTAACAGCTCTGAAACTCTTTTTTATAACCTGAAAAGATTCTAAAAATTGGAGCTTGTAGGACAACTGCCTGGCCCCTCCCGGCGTCAACGTGACGGCGATCCCAGCCCGCGTCGATCCCAAGATCGTCTGCTACGAAGGTCTTTACATCAACGGAAACAACGCCACTCGCCCATAGTTTGCCTCTCTCTTGGCTACAGTATCCTACAGTATTCATCTTCCAGCTACCGTATCTGCGACGGTGAATGCGTCTCCATGCAGATGGGAGGAACCATCAACGGCACCACTCATTTCGCCACTCTCTACACTTGCGACCCGTCCAGCGCCTGCGCTTCCATCGGTAGGATAGAAATAGTCACAGATTACTGTAACTTTCGTTGCAGGAGTCCGCAACAACTGCTCGACGATCGAACCTTCCTTGAACGTGTGCTGCTGCGATTCCGACGAGTGTATCGACCCTACCGTCCAGCGTGTGGTAAGACTGCTTGGGTTACTGTAAGACTACGGTGTTTCTCAGCCCGGAAGACAGCTCCTCTGCTACGTCGGTGTCAAGAGTACCTACAACAACCTTTCCGTCGGAGCTGAGGTTTGGAGACTTCTGAAGTCCAAGAAGAAGGAAGGTTTTGTGTGTAGATTGCTTGCAACGGCTACTGCGCCTCCATTTCTTCCCACCTCGGAGACGGATACGACATCGTCGCTTTCCACTGCGCTCCCCGATCTGTTTGCAGGTGAAAAATCCGAGTTCGAATCTACCAAATAAGGCTAGATCTCTCAAAAAGCGATTATAAAAAAATATTGACCCCCTGGAAACTTCCACAGTGACGCCAGACAAAAAAATTCGAACTTTAATTCCTGAGAAAAAGAGAATAAGAGCGATTTTAAAATGAAAGACATTTTCAATTACTTTTTTTGAGTTATGTACTTATTTTTCATGAATTGATCGAGCTTCATTTTGAATTCCTTTCAGCCAAAAGAGGCTTTGATTCACAATCAGAAAAGAATCTTCTCACAGAAGTTCATTTTCAGATCCCTCGGTCTGGACAACTCGAACAACACCCTGTACCTGGACCGCGCCGTCACGGCCAGCTGCTGCGACAGCTCCAACTACTGTAACACCATCGGCTACAACGTCAACCTCACCGGCCTGACCGTCTCGCAGAACGAGCAGCCCAGAGCCTGCTACCAGGGAATCTTCGTTAACAGCCAGCCCGTGTCCTCCGCCGGGTTCGTGTGAAAACTAAAAAAAAAGCCTTGGTTTTGAAAAAGAAAGTGGATCCATTAGGTATCTTTATTTGAAAAAATGTGCTGATTGGAAAATTCGGTTAGCCTACGAAAAAGGAGACAAGTGCCTTTAAAAGGGTTTTCCAATATCGAGCAAATTTCAGACTTTACTCTCTTCTTCTCTAAGCTCTTGTGTTGAACCATGTTTTTTCGTCATATTTTTTTCTTTCGACCTTCTGGACCATTGACTTTTTCAGATGGACCGCCTGCCTCGGAGACTGCGTCGCCGTCAACGTCAACACGACCTACAACAACCAGGCGATCACTGCCTCGCTCTACACTTGCGACCCGACCACCGTCTGCCGTGGACTGAGTAGGCCTTCTTCCGCTTTTGATCTTCTCTGAAATTTGTTCCAAAGAACCTTACGTCGAGTCTTTTTTCGCAATGAGAGAAAGTCTGAATTTCCTGAAGTAACTAAAAATAACTGCCTTCTGAGGAACCCATCCAGTTTTAAAAGCCCTCCTGTTGCAGACGCGACCAACCGATGCACGTCGATCGAGCCCGGATACGTCGAGGCTTGCTGCTGCGATTCTGACGCCTGCCTTGACCCCACCGTCAACCCGCCACGCAAGCCCAACGGAGGAGACGGCAACTTGTGCTACGTCGGAGTCTACTCCTACGACAGCAGCAACAACACGATCCTCAACGCCGGTGGAGAGTCTTACTGCGCCGGAACCTGCGCCTCGATGACGTCCAAGATTGGAGGAAACACCGTCACCGCCTACGCCTGCTCTCCCAACTACATCTGCAGGTTTCCAAATAAAAGTCTATCCATCTAACTTGTACAAATTCAGCTACCTCGGCCTCTACGACGACTGTAACTCGGTCGACTTCGACCGCACCGTTTCTGGATGCTGCTGTACCAACGGCCCCAACTGCAACTTGGACCAGGTCTCCCCTCGTCCTCCGCCAACGCCGCGTGGAATCAGACGTCGCGAATTCCCGATCACCTGCCCTGCCGGCATCGTCATCAACAACGTCTCTGTGACTCCTCTTGAGTGAGTCACATGGAACCTTCACAGTCTTAAATCCGTTCTTTCAGGTTCCAAGTGTGCAACGGCGACTGCGCTTCGATCACCATCAACGGAACCATCGGATCTACGCCGCACATCGCGACCCTCTTCTCTTGCGATCCTTCCAACGTCTGCCAACAGCTCAACCTCACCAACAACTGCGGATCTCCCGAACCAGGACTCACCGGCTGCTGCTGTAACACCGACGCTTGTCTCGACCCCAGACGCGGAAAATACGTGCCGACGCCTCCTCTCACCTGCTACGTCGGTATCTACTCCGAGTTCAACCCAGCCCTCCGAACTGGTGCCGAAATCCCGTGCAGCGGAAAGTGCGCTCAATTGAACACCACCGTCGGAACCGACAACGCTCACGTCTTCGCCTGCGTTCCCCACAGCGTCTGCAGATCTCTGGAGCTCTACGACACCTGCTCTCGTCTTGGCTATCCCTACCTGGAGTTCGACGCCTGCTGCTGCGACAACTACGACAACTGCAACGTTGGCCTCGTCGGAATGAATGACCGCATCAACACCTCGATTCCGATCACGCCCCTCGACGACTTCCCCATCTCCTGCTACTCTGGATTGTTCATCAACGGAACGGCCTACAGCTCGGCCGGATGGACGACTTGCCAGGGCGAGTGCGCCTCGATCTCGATGACCGCCCAGATCAACAACATCTACGCCACGGCCACGCTCTACACCTGCGACCCGACCCTCGTCTGCAGAACCCTTGGAATCGTCAACAACTGCACGACGCTCGAGAACGGCGTGACCGGATGCTGCTGCAACACTGGCGGATGCCTCGACCCCAGCAAGTTCCCTCCACGTGTGAGTTTTCAAAAAAGTTCAACCAGAAGTATAGGTTAAAAAGCGGAAGTAATTTGCAGACCTGGTTTTTTTTTATGACTGTAATCGAATTTTTCCAGACCCCCGGAAACCCGCTCCTCTGCTACGCCGGTATCCAGTCCAACTACACGGTCAACGGCGCCCCTCTGAGTGTCGGAAGCGACGTCGTCTGTTCCGGAAAGTGCTCCTCGCTGAGCGGCATGATCAACGGCTACATGGTCAACTCCTATCACTGCGTGCCGAGCTCCATCTGCCGTGGCCTCGAACTGTACGACTCCTGCAAGACGATCCCAGGAGACCGCGCCATCACCGGCTGCTGCTGCGACAACGTCAACAATTGCAACATCAATGGAACCAACGTCAGCTTTTCCTGGAATTTTCGCACGAATTCTCCATCTTTCAGATCGTGCCAGCTCCTCCAGGCCCCAACGTTGACTACACTGTCGCCTGCTACAGCGGAGTCTACGTCAACGGCGTCGCCGCCACCGACATTTCGTATCGAACTCTTTAGAAATATCAGCTAGATTTACGGACTTTAGGGTGAGCGCTTGCCAAGGACAGTGCGCTTCCATCTCTTTGACCACCTCCTACATGGGCCAAAACGGCACGGCTGTCCTCTACGGCTGTGATCCGACCGCTGTCTGCGGTGCTCTCGGTCGGTTATAGTCAAGAAAAATGGAGTTTGAAATGATTCTACGTTTTTTGTTCTAGTCAAGGGATACCTAGCAGTTTCAAAACTACTAATGCAGTGCCTCTTTAGGGTCTTTGAGCTTTCAAAGCTCTGCTAAAAGGCGAAATTCGCACTTTCTTCAGTGAATTCCAAATCAGTATATCCAAAAAAACAGAATCTAGTCAAATTTTGTTACCATCGCCTTTTTCACCTCCCCGTGTCAAACATTCCTGGCTCCTTATCCCTTCGAAAACAAGAAATTAAGGCATGACCAACGGCTGCGCTAACCCCGAACCGGGAGTCCGCGGATGCTGCTGCAACTCGGACCTTTGCCTCGACCCGACCAAGGGCGTGATCACGCCGGCCAGCAGACGCGTCTGCTACGCCGGTATCTACTATCAGAACAAAGCCCAAGGAGGAGAGGTCGACTGCGACGGCACCTGCGCTTCCCTCAACGCCAACATCAACGGCGATCCGGTCACCGTGTTCGCCTGCGTGCCGCGACTCGTCTGCTCCAAGCTCGAGATCTACGACGCCTGCAAGACCATGCAACTCGACCGCGCCGTCACCGGATGCTGCTGCGAGAACGGCGACAACTGCAACATCAACCTCGCCGGATTCAACGGCACCATCACTCCGACGAGGAAGCCCACCAACCGTGGCGACTATCCGATCACCTGCTACTCTGGCGTTCAGTTCAACACCACCAGCACTAACTTCGTCTGGGGAGCTGATGCTGGGTTAGTTTGAATACGAAAAAAAACGAGTTTTTTTGGTTTGAGAATTTGGTCAAAACTTTGTAAACTTGTTATTCACAGGCCATTTTTCGAACGAAAACAGAAATTTCTTATCACAGTCTTAAAGCAAAGCTAAAGATTTTCTCATCTTTTTGAAGGGTCATTACTTGTAATCTCTAACTATAGAACTAATACATATAAAAATGTTCAGATGGCAAGCGTGCCAAGGCTCGTGTGCCTCGGTCAGTTTGACGACGACGTTCAACAACACCTTGACGACGGCCACCATCTACTCCTGCGACCCGGTCGATGTCTGCGTCAGCCTCAACGTCTACAACAACTGCTCGACGATCGAGAACGGACTCACCGGCTGCTGTTGCCAGACCGACGCCTGCCTCGACCCCACCAAGACGCCGCCCAAGACTCCCGGAAACCCTCTGATGTGCTACGTCGGAATCAAGTCCGTCGGCCCTCAAAACATCAACGTCGGCGCGGAGACCTTCTGCTGGGACGGCCAGTGCGCCTCGCTCAACGGCCAGGTCGGCCAGAACAACGTCACCGTCTACTCCTGCGTCAGCAACCTCGTCTGCAAGTCAGTATCACAAAGAAAAACTCTCATGTCATCGAAAAATCTTGCGTAGAGAAGACACTCGAAGTCGCGTTCAGAGTAATTCCGGAAACTCAAAACGATTGTCAGCAATCTGATAGATAACAATAATTTTTGGATTTTCAAAGGCCCTTTGGAGGTTCCCAAAATTACTGTGAATGAGGCTCAAAGTTAGAAAAACTCAGACTAGCCTCAATCGAGTTATATGCCATTATCAGAAAAAAACATACCTTTGCTGTTTTTCGAGCTTTTTGTTCGCACGAACTTCTTTTGACCGCTCAATTTTGCAGGACCCTCCAGATCTTCGACACTTGCGCTCAGATGCCGCTCGACCGCGACATCACCGCCTGCTGCTGCGACAACTACAACAACTGCAACGTCAAGAACGACTCTTCGGCAAGCAAATCTTCCGAAAAACCTTCTCAATCCACCCTTTCTCAGATCACCATCGGTCCAGTCACGCCGTTCGGAGACTTCCCGATCGCCTGCTTCCAAGGTCTCGTCGCCAACGGAAACCCCGTCACCCCGCTCGCGTAGGACCTTACTGAACCTCTAGAGAAATCCGGAGTTTGTTCAGTTTGTCGCAATGCTGGGGACAGTGCGCCTCCATCAACATCACCACCACCCTGAACAATGGAACCAATACCGCCACCCTCTACACCTGCGACCCGACCGCCGTCTGCCAGCAACTCAGTCCGTTCTAAGTTTAAAAAGAATTGGGAAACGTCCAAAAATCAGCTCTTTTCTTTAGATTGAAAAGGAAAAGGTCAAAAATTAAAATCATACTTTCATTGGAAAAACCCATGATTTTTCTGCTCTACTTCCATTTTCCTGGATTTAAAAATGGCCAACTTTGAAAAGCAAATGACAACTTTTTGTTACTCTTTGAAGATTTTGCTTCATTTTAACATCAGCCTATCTTGTTTCAGTTTGTCAAAGATCGATTGAATGTGACGACTTCTGTACTTCAACGTACTTTGTTTCAGACATGACCAACGGCTGCGCGACCCCCGAACCAGGAATCACCGGCTGCTGCTGCGACTCTGACGCCTGCATCAACCCCTACACCAACACCTACCCTGGTCCGTTGGCCTGCTACGTCGGAGCCTACACGGCCGACGGAAAGATCAACGCCGGCGCCACGGTTCCTTGCGACGGCTACTGCGGCTCCATCAACACCACCTACAACGGCGTCCTCTACAAGACCTACCACTGCGTCCCGAAAACCATTTGCCAGTGAGTCCAAGTTGCGATTGGAATGGAAGAGAATGGGTTCCAATCATACGTGGGCCAGTTTAAATATTAACTAGTTCAGAAGGCTTAAAAAGGATTGGCTTAAAAATTAGGCTTTTTATTATGCGAAAATATTAGAAGCCTTTAAAATATTCTGCCCATTTATGATAACAAAGGTCGCCTGTTATTACTGATGTACTTCTACTCGAACCTTTTTGCAGCACGCTGGAGGTGAACAACGTCTACAGGACGATCTCGACCGACCGCGACATCACGGCCTACTGCTGCACGACCGGCACCAACTGCCACGTCACTGAACCCGCCGTCAAGGCCGGCAACGTCACCTACCCGGATCCGAACACGAAGGTCGTCGCCTGCCTCTCCTCGATCTACCTCAACGGCGCCTCCGTCACCGGCGACGTCTACACGGGTTGCCGAGGAAGCTGCGCCTCGATCACCTACAACACGACCCTCAACGGCGCCCCCAACGTCGCCACTCTCTACACTTGCGATCCCACCTCCGTCTGCAGTGCAATGAGTTCGTTTCTGTGCTTCTTTCAGGGACACAAGAGAGCCTAATCACCCCATTCAGTCTTGAGAGATTCCTTGAAAAAAAAAAGTCCTGAAAACACGGATACCTTTCCGAAAGAAACAGGTTAATAACTTATTCAGTTTTAATTATTTCTGAATTTGGACTAAAACTCAAGCGTTGACACAGATTTTTGCAAGAAACACCGTAACTGAAACGAATTGCAGACTTGCAAAACAACTGCGTGACACTGGACGCCGGCCTGTCGGGCTGCTGCTGCAACAGCGACGTCTGCGTCGCGCCCGGACTGACGCCCGCGCCCGGAGGCTCAGCCTCTGGACTCGGCGCCGCGCTCTTCACCGCCCTCGTCGCTGTATATATCGCCCTCTGGCAGCAATGATAACTCCCTCCCAATCAACATCATCAGCTCTTTCGCCGTGTACCTTGTCCCACGCACACATCTCATCAACGTCTCACTTCTCCCAGTGTTGGCATTACGCCCGTCTAGTCGTTTTTTCTCAATTTTGTACTTTTATTCTGCCTTTCGTTTCTTGTTTTGTTGAGTTTTCTTTCAATAAACATTGAAATCTCTGAGGATTTTCGAAAAGGTATCATTGCTTGAAAGTCCTCGATTAAAGCTGGGAAAAGGACGGAAAATGATCCTTTAATGCCATTCTTCCTTCTTTATAATTGGTACATGTGATGATACCGAAATTGCAATGGATGGTGTGGCTATTCGCATTATTTATAAGTTTTTATTTTTCTGTAAGTTACACAGTTCTACAGGAGTTTAAAAAAATATTAATAAAAAGTCATTTATTGCTGCCTTTTTGCGCCCTTTCATCGGCTCTTACGCACCATTTTTGCTGCCTCTCCCCTTTTCCACCATTTCTTGAAAACCTCAGAAAGAAGGCGAGGCTTGATGAAGGGACTCTCTTTCCTGCCTTTCTGATGTCTTTTTGCGGTCCTTTTTTTGAGCCTCTCCCTTTGAGCGGCCATTATTCACCATTTCCAATTTTGTTCCCGAGAATGGAAATAATATTCTTATCATTTTTTTAGTAAAATAGATCGAAGAAAGGTAGGTTTAAATCTATTGAAACTCAAAAAAACGTGAAAAAAAGTTTTTTTATTGAAAAACCCTAGCGGATAGTTCATCCGCGAGAAATCGGGAAGTGAAACTCGAAAATAAATTGATTTTGAAAGTCGGTTTTTTTCAATGATTCTTTCTGAGTTGAAAACTTTCTAACCAAATCAACATTCGGTTTCATGTTGGAAATGGAGAGACTCAGAGAACTGAAGTACAAAAAGCGAATTGTGAGATATCCATTGAGAAATCAGAATATTTAACAAACGCAAATCCAATAAAGCCTCAAAAAATCTCAAGGAATTCTGAAAACAGAAATTTTCTCATCAATTTGCATTTTTCTAACAGATTATTTTTCCCATAAAAACACCTAAACGGAAAAAAATTGTAATAACTTATACCAGTGAGAAATATCGTTGTTTCAAGGAAAAAAAGCTCTCTTTTCTTCCGGCGCAACAACGAAAAGATAAAAGTGATACGCCGCCAGCGATGTTTCCATGACGACAAAAACAAAAACGACGCTACGAAAAAGGACTTTCTCACTTTACGGAAAATCTTCCCTATGATAAAAACTGCCCCTTGTTCTATTTTTTTCAAACTTCTTTATATGATAGATTTTTCTTTTCCTTCACTTCTATTCCATTCGGACCACATCCTCCCCACATTTCCCAATTAATATTCATTTAACTCTCGCAACGCTTTGAAGTTTTTCATTTTTATCAGACCTATTCGTGTGGTTTTCAGCAAAATCACAACACAAATATACACTCATCCTTAAAAAAATGATTTCCACGCACCGAGAAGCCTACCGAGGAGGGAACTGGAGA